CTAATTGACGGTTCATCAGCTTTTTGTTATTGGTTATCTCTGTAGTCATTATTCTTGGTTATTTATTCTGGATTATATTTCAGTGTTATACTATCGAAATGTGATGCTGTGGTATTTTGAAATTATTGAATTTGTTTTGAAACATGTATATTAGAATTTCCTTCCTTCGCCGTACATTATCCATTAAGCTTGATTAAAAAATGTATTTGTTTAAATCTTATAGAATTTAGTCAGTGCATTATCCAAACAGTGGGAATCACGACTGGCTCAACAACGAGCTGAGGCAAAATTGCTGTCACGTCCTAATAATAACAATACCAAAAGAATTGACGAAAAGATCGCACTGACTCCTGGTAAACCAAATGAAAGACGTGCTGCTCCAGCGTTTAATCCTCGTCACCGTCGATCTCGATCAGTCGGTGGAGATAATGCGCGTTGGTTAGAGCATCAAGAAGTTAATAGTACACCTTTAGGGACACTATTTTCACCAAATTTGAAACATCGGAAATCTGTTACACGTGTTGAACTAAAAGATACTTTAAATGCGGATAATTATCTTTTGCATCATCAAGAGGCAGATTCAGATGGTAACGTTAAAACAAGTCTTTTTAAAGTAAGTAGAGTGTAGTGATGTATGTCTTTTGAAAATATTTATTTAACTATTTCATATCGAAAGAATTCAACATCTATTGGTTTATAATATCTCTGTAGATAATCTCCACGTGATAAGTCAACAATAACAAAAAAATATAAATCTATTCACGACTATTATTCGATACACAATAAGTGGTTATCATCACTCAGTGGTATTATAAATAACGCAGTGATTTTTTTGGACATATCTATTTGGATGTTTATAGAAATTGTTTAAATAATCTTTAGTTAGATATGCCGAGTTTTTGACAATTTGATCATTAAGTGTTTTTATGGGAAATAACAGTAGTATGTTAACAAGCTACGGTATAGGTTAGAAGTAAAATACATGACCAATTAATTATTTGTATTTGGTTTGTCGAGAGTTGTGTAAGATGTACGACTTTAAATGTTCAAGACAACAACCATTACTTGGTGCTCGGCTGCAGTTGTCTTCCCTTATTGGTTTTCGCTTTTCATCAGTTCTCAAGTTATCGTTTATTATTATTGCCATTCATCTGAAGGGATTTTATATCCCATGAATTTTGGAAATTTCAAATGCTTATTACCGATGATTATTCCTGAGTGATAGTACAAAACACTTCCTAACATTTATTCCATTTTCTTTATATGTAGGGTGCCATTATTCCTACTGCTGGTGGCGGTTCTGCTGTTGTTTTTAATGATGTAGAAGTTTTACGTCAGTCTTCTCCTGGCCGCGAACAAAGGTATATTCTTTTCACTTGAAAGTGTTCTTACACTATCGTTTTATTAAGATTCCTGCTAAGAATAGGGTTTTCCTAAAATAATATTTTGAATATCTCTTTTTATTCAGAGAATATGTTCACTTGTGGTTCTGATTAGATAATCAGTATGAAATACAATGACTGTATAGATAGAATAGTTTTCAGTAACCTATTTCTTCAGACATCGGACTGTATAATCTTAAGTTTATAGGTCCAAATTTTTAGTACAGTCAGAGCATTCGAAAAAGTGGTGTAGTCTCGCTTACAAACTACTACACGGGTTAATTTGTCGTTAATTCACTTTATATAGAATATATTCAGCTTAACATATGCCTTCACTCTTGCTGATCGGTTGTAGCAATGATTTTGCGTACTCGCATCAACCACTAATATGTAAAGTATGATTTATAGTCTCTGCTCATCTTTACATGGATTAGGCGGGTGCGTTTTTACATACGAACTGTCAAATACTTCCAGTTTACACCTTCAAAAATGCAATCAAATCTTTACTGCTCCAGGTTTTAGAGAGAATCCATAGTTCATTGTTTTGACTCGATTTGAGTAGTATATTCTAAAGGTAATGGCTTTAAAGGGAATTAGAAGATATGCATTAATTTGGACTACTTGCCTTATATTAAAAGTGAAATAAAGTGTTTCGTTAGACTTAGCAAAGTAGAGGCTTAATTAATAGGAAGCTACGCTTAAAAACTGATGATGACCTTTAATTTGGATTCTACGCTGATCCAGGTTCCCTACTACTGTAGAAATTCCTTTAAGATTTCAATTATGTAAGTTTTTTTACTCCTACTTATAGGAAAAGTAGTCGCTCCAGAGGCACTGATGCTCATCTGAAACAAGTTATATGTGAACCTTCTCGTCGATCAGGGATAAAACGTCGCTACTCTAATTCACCGCCAAGAAGACCTTCTAATGAATCTGTCTCAACACATAGTTCTCAAAGCACAATGGCATCTGACTATTGTCCTATTAGTCCATCTATAGAAAAGATCTCAACAGCTAAATGTTATATTGGCATTGACAGCAATGGAGGAATGGGCTTACGAAAGTATGTTGTTTTGATTTCATATCTATATTGTTTTTCTCCAAATTATATCTCGTGTACTTTGAACTCAGAGGTCCACAATTCTATTGTCCTTAAAATAGTTCTCTGCCATAGTTTCAAAAGTCAGATAATATACGTTCTTCACGGGATACAAATAATTAGCATTTGATTGGATAAACGTCCTTGTAGTTACTCTATTACACTCATTTATTGACTGTTTTGCGTGTTACTCATATTACCTATAAACATGGACTTGTATTTCAAACTCGATTGTTCGGTCGTTAATTATTTCTAGTATCTAATTTTTGTGTCCCACTGATTGTAAACCGTGACGGGCCGTAAAAGCAGCGGCTACATATGTCACTAGACAGTTTAGACTTAGAAAATTAGAGTTAACCACACAGTCGTAAGGTGGGGCTGACATCAGGAACGATTTTACCTTTGCTATTCTGTCATCTGGCCTGACAATTTCATCTCTGTGCGCTGGTGGGATGTGGCAACTTGAGCCGATGTGCATACGTACCAGGTTCTACGTTGCGACTGAGTGACATTTAATTCAGGTGATTAAAGTCATAAAGGAGACACTTAGAAACAATTCAACCAAACCTTAGTTACATCCTAGTTATTCACATTTCCTCGATAGCCTAAATGATCAGCATTAACATCTGACTCTTAGTGGCGTTGAAGTTTATAACAAATGCAAATGAAGGAAAAGCGACTGGTCTTGATCGCAGAACTCCTTTAAGTATGGTGGTCCAGTTTTAACAGTTATATTTACTGAAATACTAGCCAGAGTTTGAGGGCTAGACAGGTTGCTGTTACTGAGCGTTCTTCATTCACAAGAAAACTCAAACTCCCTCGTTATAACAACAGGGGAGTCATCTAAACAAATAGATTTTTTAAAAGATTATATTCTATCGTTATCTCACACCCAATTAATGCTCAGCAACACCAAACTTGGAAAAACCAGACCTTGCTCTAAAAGTAGTTATCAAATCTATGGAAAACAGGCATACGGATGCAGATCTGTAGCCATATTTCTTGACCTGAAGGATGAATTTACCTCATCAAATTCTAGATGATGCATCGAGAATTACCTGTACTAATACCTTGTCTAAACATAGAGTGAAGTAATCGGGGACATCATTTGAAAAAAACAACTCTGGTGAGTTATTAATTGACGGAACTTTGGCGCAAGATAAAGATGGGTGGAAAAAAGAATGACTTGTTATGAAAATTCAAGCCTTTGTGATCCAGCAGTTCATGTTAACTGGTAAAAAAAACTTCAAAAAACCTGCCTAGTCTCTATTCGTTCTACATGGCAGTAGAATATTAATTATTTCCAATAAGAGACCTCATATATGCTACGTTAATATCAGCACAGAAAAGTAATAAAACTATATAAATCTTCCACAGACTGTTAATAATGATTTAATCTATTGTCGTTTTCCGACTATCAGCAGCATCTACTAAGTCAAATTACCATCTTTCGGACAACAGTTACTGATCTTCAATATAATGTGAAAAGTCTGATTCTATGTGTTTCTTATTTTGACTTATTGTCTAACAGTTATTTCAAGGAACACCGTTTATTTATTTTTCCTTTTTTAGAAGGTCCAGAGTGTAAAAAAGCGTCGAAAGTAAAACTAATTAACTTTTTGTCTGTCTATTTATTATTATAAAAAACTACTAACTTATCCATATTCATGTGCATATTTTTTGTTTTTAACCGTTAAAGCTATTTTGTATTTCATTAGTCTTTTGTCATTGCTTATTTTTGACGTACTGTAACACTCATCAGATTCCTTTATAAACTTAAATACACTTATTTTATAACTTTTCTCGAATCTTTCTTGTTTTTACTGGCAGATATTTAAACTTTGTTATGTTACTATGACAGTTTATGTGGATTACAACTTGCCTATAGGAACATTAGTGGCATTTATATTACTTTTAGTGTTACTTTTAGAGTTAGAACATTAAGAACGCCGATGTGAACTTAGCAACGGAATTCATAAGGCAAACAGCTTGCATCGTTAAATTCAGTTGTATAGTAAAAAGCTACATTGGTAACACTGTTGATAAGAGTGGAATGGTCAAAAACTAATAGTAGAAAAAAAAGTATGCTACAAAGTACAGTCGGAAAGCCCAAGTTAACTGTTAAGGTGCAAAGATAGCTCACAGAAAAACCGATAAATATGACGACTACGCAATTGTTTGAGGTTACTCATCAATAACTGGGTCCAGACAATATCTCTTCGCATCTACTGTTCGAAAACCCCCCGAGAGTATCTCGAATTCGATCTTCGAACATAATCATAAAGATGTTCTTGGAAAATGATCAGTGCATTAAGAATGCTCAATCGAAGTGACTCAGACACTTTCACATTGGTACCTATCAGTTGAATTTAAAAAAACAAGTTCTACTCCGTACACATGATGCATCGACACTGTAGAAGCTGTTATGTCTTAGAACCCAGATTAAGTCTAAATTTTAAAACTCAACCTCAGCACTATTAACTTTGTAAACCCAATTAATATTAACGATGAGTTACACATGATGAAAGCATGATATATTTTGATGTTCTCAATATACAGAAAAATAACACTGATTTACATAGACCTTATAATACATAAATTTACTAATTACAGCAAAGGAATATATTAAGCATGAAAGGCTTTTTCAAATAAATCTTTTTTACAGTTTACTAAACAAAACAGTTGCGAATTATTCACAGAAGAGCATTAAACACACTAGTAGATCGGTGGCGTTTCAAACTTGGAGGACTTAACAAAACAGAATTAGGTTTAATCACATCAACCGGTCGTTTTTGCTGAAAAAAAATAAATATTGAGGATTTACTGTCACCAGTCAGAAAAAAAGCAACAAAATTTATGGTCAGTCAGTCAAAACGGAGAACTTCGTACGTATATATATCAGTCTGAATTGTCATGCCACATTGGCACAGAGATGCATTTGTTAGTATAAGCGGTAATCCGAAGGACTAGGGTTTGAAGATGTTATTCAAAAAGTATAATCCAGTGAAGTAAATTTATAGAGAAGAAAGATAGGGACATGAATTCAGATTAGAGTTTGGGAGAACACAAAGAGTGGATGCACCTTCGCAATTGCGAAATCTATGGAGTATAATCAATTATTATTTGATAGGATCCGTGATTTCGAAGTTTCCGGTGAAGCGTATCTTTATGATATAGACTATCCAATATGAGTTATTGCAATGCCAAGACATCGTAAAATCTTTTCTTAAGAAAATCACTTTAAGTAACTTATGAAGAAAGACTAATCGAACTATTCAGCAGGCTTGTGCTTTTAGATATTGATATACCTTTACTGATACTGCTAATTAAATTAAAATTTTAGTAGTGATCAGGTCATTGTTTATATATGTGTCTGGGAATTTATTGCTTGAACTATGGAAACTCGTTCCTTGAATCTGATTAGGCATTAATTTTTCCGTAATCAAACCGGTGTTAGGGTACTTGCATAAGTAGCAGACTGATTGATCGAAAAATTTGAAGAGGATAGCTAGGATCGAGTAATGTAATCAGGCAAAGATGTCTAAATCAGGAAGGTTCAGTTCTTGAAATACTAATATTATATTTACAGAAGTATGCGTTTCATAAGTCTTATGCAGAAAGGAAAAGATAGTCTAATTAAATTAGAAGTTTCGAAGTGAATGTTGACTAGATATAGTAAAACCTGAAATAAATTTCTGTAATCAATGATTATCTAAGTGCATCTTTGCATGAAATATAACTTACCTTAATGGGAAAATTACAGGATTTTAAGGACTTCTGGTTAGATGCACCGTCATCAAATGAGTCGGTTTTTTCTGGTTTAATTTGAGCCGTTACAACACTAAAGCACGATAGACCGACCTTGCTCCGTAAATCTAGATGTGTTTGGTCGCGACGGCTTCCACTTTTTGATGTACCAGCATCGAAGCCATCATTAACATTTGAATGAATTTGGGTAGGTTCAGATTTATAACCAGGAACGAGGCCTCCAGCAAAACGACTCAATAGAGAACCACGCTATAAAATAAGAATGAGATTTCGTTTGGAAGGTAGGACTAAGTAAGCATATGTAGGCAGTTACAAGAATAAAGACGCAGTGATATAATATGTCTGAGTTTTGGCTACTCATAAGAACGTATAATTGACTTAGGGCTCTGAATGCTTAGAAATCAAATACTAGATCACTACTACTAGCCAGAGTAGTAGTTTTCCATTTAATAAAAAACATGCTTATATACAGAATATGAACACAAAATAAACATGATAAAATTTCATAGGTGATTGGAGAAAATCAGCATGTAGGTCACTTATTCTCCAATCACCTAACTGTCAATGTCAGAGTTACGTTGAGGTGTAAATGCGACCTGGTTATTATGACTAAGTGAATTATTCATCTAGCCAACTACGTAGCACACGTGACTTCATCAATGTGAAAATCTACAAATATGCTAGTACCCGGCTTTTGAGAATAAAGCTTACTAAATAGTCTTGGTTTTTCTTTTAAATAAATACTTGGATAGATCGTTATTAACTAATTTGTACCAGTGAACGAATCAATAAGATACTAGGGGTTTCGAATGTAATTTCTTCATTAACTCTTCTGATGATAATATTGTATTTTTATTTTATCGGTCTATTAGAATATATCTTATTGCTAACTCATTCTCACTATGATTTATATTACAGTCAAGTGAAGTGTTAATTAGTCAAGATATACTAGACAAGGAAGAATATAACAAATAAGGAATATAATAAAATGACAAATATTAGTAAACTTACTCTGATCGTTTGAAACCTTACATCATTAACAGCATTATTAACATTATTAAATTTCACAGGAGCAATTAATTTATCATTATTATTACTAGAAATGATAACACTGTCAACTTTACTATTATTGTCTGTATCATTAGTAACACCTTCATTAATTGGTAGGTTATGAGATTTAGGTTGCAAGAAATAATTAGAGAACAATGGGTTTCTAAGCGTAGACGCTGATTTGGTAGTCTTTCCTTCAGAAGAACAGAAAAATTGAAATATTAGTTTAAAATATTCGTTTCGATAACCAAAGCTTTATTGCATAATAATAATAATATGCTAGATTGTGAATTAACTAACGTTTTCAGAAGGGGGGTTCGTGTAGATTTTAGTAATTTTATAGAGTTGAGATCACGAGTCAATTGAAGCTAGACCACCATGGAAAACCTGGAAGCATTGGACAACCGTTTCGTCCTATTGTGGGACTCCTCAGCGGTTCACATCCATTAACACTGTCAGATGCCGGCTCAGTGGTCTATCAGTTAAGGGCTTCGGCTCGAGACTGGTAGGTCCTGGGTTCGAATCTCACGAGAGCGGGTTCGTGGATTCGCACTGCTGAGGAGTCCCATAATAGGACGAAACGGCCGTCCAGTGCTTCCAGGTTTTCCATGGTGGTCTAGCTTCAATTGACTCATGATCTCAACTATATAAAATTAACTAACATTTGTTAGTGACTGTCAATCACTTGCAATGGCTCAAATGCAACCACTACTTTTTTAACTTAAATTTTTAGATTATTTAATACTTTTCTAATTTCATGAATTCTTACATGCATCTTGAAATATATTTTCATTTGAATAACCTTTCTTGCTATAATTGAAACCGCTACTAATTCTACTACTCTGGTGTCTCTCTTAGTGATTATGTAGTGTGGTAACTTTAAACAATCCACAAGTATCAGGTTTTACAATGTGTATGACTGATTATCAATGAAAAATTTTACTACAACAGGTTAATTAAATGAAGATTACAAAATAAATATGGGTACTTTAGCAATTAATTCAACAATGAATCAGAGAAATAAACAGTAACATATAAGCTGTAATACTATTGTGATGCATACATTAAGCTATGATGAATACGAATATTTTTAAAGATACATAAAAAAACGAGACTAAAAAGCTTTATAGTGAAGCAGAATAACAAGCCATCAAAAAGTACGATGAATTGAAATAGTTATCCATGGAAGAGACATTAGTCAATAACAAACAACTTAAAACTTGGGACACATGTTCATTAGCTCAAGTTGCCGTACTTCTCCCTCAATATGCTAAGAGAGAACTAAAGAGATGAAGGGTAAAGGAGTCTGAATAATAGTAGTGTCAGTGATAACGAAAACAGAGAATACAGTTTGAAAAGAAATGAAATGAACAGGATAAATAATTATTACGAGCTATTTTGACTGATTTTAAATACTATCGCCAAATAGATTAGAATAATTTAACATAATCAGTAGATCATAGCGCATATCTCAACCAGAAAGTTAGAAGCTTGAAAAACAGCTTTGACCAACAGCAAAGATTTTTATTGGTTGGTGCAACTTTCGTTTGGTCGCTTCTAACTTTCTCCCATCCTATTCAAACACTAGACATTGTCACACGTAAGAACAGGCGTGACTGATACATGTTACAGATCTTTGATAGCTGATGTGACGACTTTATGAAACAAGCACACATGACCCGATATTTATAAACATTTAAAATTGTTCTTGTAACCTGATTTGTTAGGTTCATACCGATTTCTAAATTTGTAATTGAAGTCTTATACATGTGTACTTATGTAACTGATTGGATATAGACAGCATCAGAGTACGATCAGATTGGAGCCAAACAATGGGTCACGAAAAAGTGGTAGGCTTTACGAGATTACGAAGAAATTAATAGGTGTGTAAAAAAATGAACATGCATTTATGGCGTGAATTTCTGGACAATATAATAACACGTTTGTGTGAGTAATTCGGAATACTATGATAGACGAATGCTAAACATATGCGATTATGTAAAAGTCGAGATTATAAGCGAATAACTGACAACATCAAAATGTGTGAATAATGAATCAAGAAGATTAAATCAATTAGTTTGTTCAAAACCTAGAATAATTCATGTAAACATGACATAGTACTAGACTTTAGTGGCCTGAAATTTGTCTCCAATTAGATTGTATAAATGATTGTTGTCAAACTATACATCCTGGCTATCCTGGTATATAATTATCGTCTTCATTCATGTTAGTTAATAACGGAATTAAAATAAGTGAAATACGAGAAATGATTTCGAATACGTTTATTTTGCACAGTCATTGATCCAGGCAGACGATCAAAGGAAAGAAGCAAAACGAAATGATGCGCGATGGAGAAAGTATGTGAGCCAACTCCCTTTCAATCAAGCGTCAATCGATATTTCTAGTCACACAAAAATAGGCTACAGACATGTGATGAGTAGGATAAGATGTACACACACATACGCTCATATTAAAACAGTCAGGGTTGATAGGTGAATAATTAACAAGGTTAAAATGTAGCTTGAGTAGAATGGATAAGTTGGCTTGTCCAGAATTTAGAATAAGTTATGTAGGCTTAACATAGTGGCCGACATTGCAGGACCATATAGTGACCTCGTGAAGAGACTTGTACAATTATATGAAAAAACATCTAATTTTGAAAATAATACCGAAGTGGTGTGTGAGTGATGTCAACAATAAGTAGCGAAAAATAGCACTATTCCGGATAAAGTATAATCATACATGAGGGGTGAGTGTACAATACCGTACAAGAGTGGACACAGATGAAAATTTTAGCGTGTGGTTATGGGCTCAGGATTTAGGGGCTAACTGGACTGTTTTTTCATCGTTCAATATCCTAAAATTTTTGCAACACGAAGTGCCGACATTAGTTTATTATTGAATAGTGTAGATCGCAAAGCCGCAAGTATACCAAGAGAATTTGAACAGAAAATCTAATGCGCGCCAGCAAGCTAATATAGAGGCGGATTTAGAGTTAAATCAATACATAAGATACAAACACATAAGTATGGGAAGCGAATGATTCATCGAGCGATCTAAAAGCAACTAATATTTAACCTCAAGAGAAGGATATATGCATAGGCTACCGCATGTGATCAAGCATACGTGCTCATACCGACATGATAAGAAAACCAAGATACACAAGTTGTTACTGATCAAACAACAATCAGTTTAAGCAGTCAAGAGAACTTCCTGCACTCTGATGATAGCACAGTCGCAACCAATCCAACAATGGTAAGGATCAGCAACGCTATCATAGACATAAGTTTGGATTCATACTTCCGGTAGTAGTACTCAATCTGCAATAATGTCCATTTATCGCATATATACACAGAGATAATCGTTCTCCTTTTTTAAACGAGGATTTCAGCAGATTTCCACCATATATTCACAGTCAGTTGATGTTTAGTCGATAAGTCTTAATATCATGTTCATACATTCATCAAAATTCTGACTCAGTATTGATGGCCTAGAGAAATCAGATGTTGGCCTATGATAATAGATTTTAGGGAGAAAAATAATACCAACACTAATTATTACTAACAAGCACTAAATTAATAACTTACCACGATTGCCTGGTAACTTATTACATACAACTATTTGAGTTTGTAACTTCGTTTGAGATTTTAGTAAAGCCTTTTTTCCTAAAGATAAAACCTATTAAAAAGATAAAATATAGAAAAGTATATTTTAACAGTTGCACAGCTGGAAAACAAAGTTCACAGCAAATAACAAATTAAAATGGTATAAAATCTGACTAATCTACGGCTGTGCACTTATACAAATAGAAAACTTAGTAAATAAAGGAAAAAGATAACTTTATTGGATACATGTGAAATGAATAGTACATATCATCATCAGTTTTGATTATGGGATCAGAATACACATTGAAGATTGCTAAATGATAAGAAAAAATCTTCAGTTTGCTATATTATTAGTGCATAGTACAAGTGTAACTTCTATGACTGTTAAGCTGTGTGACAAGTGGTCAAATCCGCTAGAAAACAGTAGTTTCCTCAAAATTGCTACCACACCTGACTGACAAGTGCCGAATAGCATGAAAACTAGGCGACGTAAGGGTTTCAATTTAACTGCTTTCAAACACCATTTTACATTTCACTATAGTGCACCTGATGTCGAGTGACTTTGACTAGTGGCTAAATTTCAACTAGGTCGACAGAATTCAAACATCACTAAGACGAACTTGATATAAATGACATTGGTCATTTACTCAGTGATCAATCAACTGTAAATAAATACTCATATTTGCAGTGAGAATTAACTTACACCAGTTGATAAATTATCAGTTACTGCCTTTGAATTTTCTATTTCTTCATCAGATTCTAATACTGAATCACTAGGATCTTTATCATTTGTTTGTTTATTAGATGATGAATGTATTGTGTCAGAATCTAAATCACCATTTTCAGTGGATTGATTATTTTCACCGTTCGAGGATTTCATTGGACCACGACGTAACCAATTATCTATAGGACCACAAGGTATACCATGTTTTTCATCTTCACTTGAATTATCATCACCATCACTATTATCTATGTTTATTTGATCAGCAAACGGATCATCGTTATCTAAAAAGGAAGTTGCTGATTAATACGTTTTTCAAATATCTCAAATGAATAATAAGTGTTCAAAAATCTAGTTCAGTATTTGGGAGTCTACGCTCCCGAGAAATTCAAATGTACATTATAAAGAACTAGTACAGTGAAAAACAATTCACTTTTCCTTGTCATATTTCTACAGTATTAGAAAACTAGTGTGGAAAATGAATGACATAAAATCTCAATTGACTTGGACTTCAATGAGGAGTTATTGTTTTTAAAGGCAAAGAAATAGTCTACATACATTACAGAGATGTAAAATAAACCAGAAAAAATTAGTCGACGTAAAGCTAACGGTTGACTGAATTTTCTAGGTTAGATTCTGCGAATGTAAGTATACTAAATTTAATAAGTTAACACATAGAACTTAAATGTGATAATTCATATGGCTTCACCCAGCTAGTGAATCGTGCATCTAGGAAATTGATAAAAAAGCTAACAATTTTATAGAGTTGAGATCATGAGTCAATTGAAGCTAGACCACCATGGAAAACCTGGAAGCACTGGACGGCCGTTTCGTCCTATTATGGGACTCCACAGCAGTGCGCATCCACGAACCCGCTCTCGCCAGCGAGATTCGAACCAAGGACCTACTAGTCTCGAGCCGAAGCCCTTAACCAATGGACCACTGAGCCGGCATCCACCGGTGTTAATGTCTAACTTCAACCGATTCACAAAATTGAGCAACCATTCACCAATGCCATCAGTGAGTTACTATCTCACAACAGACCTGGTTGAACTCCACCGGTTACTGCTTCTCACTAGAACTCCAGGAAATACCTCAAGGAGTTAATCACCAGTGAGCACATACTGAGGAGTCCCATAATAGGACGAAACGGCCGTCCAGTGCTTCCAGGTTTTCCATGGTGGTCTAACTTCAATTGACTCATGATCTCAACTCTATAAAATTACTAAAATCTCCACAAAACCCTTTCTGATAAAGCTAACAATTGTTTATAGTTAAAACAATTAACTCTAAAAGTCCGTAGGTTATCCTAAAGTATCTTTGAATGAAGAAATATTGAACACGTAACTAGTTATCTAACTAGAAAGCTCTTGAATACATGCAACCTAGATTGACCTCCACTAGGATGTTATAATGTTTAGGTTTAAAACTGTGGAATTTTGTTTTCACTTTTGTTCACTTTCATAAACGGAAAATAAACATTCATAGAAAATTACTTATATATAAAAAGGTTACCTAAACCGCGCCAACGAAAACGCCTCTGACGAACTCGTCCATTTTCAGCATGTAAATCACCGTCTTCAAAATAAAGTTCCTGTCAAAATATTTAAAAAAATAACATCTCAGCAATAGAAATGGTAAGACTGTAATTTATGGACGACCTTTTAGCGACCTCGAGAGTGTCCGCCTGATAACTAAGATCAAATGAAGATCATAAATCTGTATAAGGAATTAGAATTATGATTTACAGTTGACGGTTAGGATTAGGAACAAGATTTAGAGTTTTCATCACGAACTGATATCAGTTATAATTTCAAAAAGGTATTTTGCCACATAGATGAATGAATTTCGAGCCTGATTGGTTCGTCCACAAATTATAGTCTCGTCAGAGAAATCATCAAAATGTGACCAACATCATTCTAATAAGGATATTCTCAGGAAAAATATGGGTACTTCGAGTTGCAGTGAATACGACGAGACATGTTGGTATAGAAATATATCTGGTTACTGGATAACAATTTGAACAATATGTGGTAAGCAAAACATTACTGGTATATACGTATAGAAACACAGGTTTTGGTTGTTTATAACTCAACGACTGGTTAAGTACATAAATCTTATAAAGGTTGGAGAAATTCGTTAATTATATTCTCTAAAGGTTCATTATCACTGTGAAATATACTGTAAAGGAACTCTAAATTACGTAACTACCACACACACTTGTACTTTAGTATAAACTATTCTTATAATGTGACACAACAACTCTATCTATAACGAAATAAACTTACGGGTCTTGACTACGTGAACAATTAGCCAAATTAAACTGTCAGGTAGAAGTAGATCATTTGGTTTTTCGTATAGTAAAGGTGATCAAAACGCACCGCAACACCATTCAAACAGAGGTGATTAATTGCTAAATATTTTTGAAGGACGTCGTTTCAACTCATCCATTAGTGTATCCCTTTAAATGGAGATAGTCAGTACTATTTCTAAGCGTTGAAGAACAAGAGTTTGACTGTGTTCATCGACGTGACGTTTTACGGTCTGATAAGTTTTGAATTATACTATGCAAACGAGTCTGATATTTAGTTCCTAAGTGAATTTTTGTGTAGAAGAATATGTTATCACGCATATCAGATTTACATATAATATTAAACATTGCTATAGGATTGCGTTCTCTGAGGTCGGCGTTTTAAGTCTCGCTTGATGATGTTATCAAGAAAGACAATGAGAGTTTCAGAACAAAACCATCTAGATGAAAGAATGTAATGCCGCCATAATCATCCTTATAAACTACATGGAATATTACGAGTCGATCACTTGAAGAGCATTTATTTATCAAATGTATTATTTAAATTGAATTGTGCACGAATCTTTAAAAAAATACACGATGATCAGACTTTGGTAAAGTACTATGAACAGTGACAGCAGATTGACAATCATGTACGTTCAAATTTAAAGCAGCATTAGTAATGGTAACTATGAAAAAATTGTTACGACGATTATGTGTTCTTTTGGTGATGGATCAGTGGAAGACAAAACGGAGATTCAAAACAGGGTAAATACTAAAATATTAGCGCAAGTAGGTTTGAAAAGATTGTTTGAATTTATAGTTTACTTTACGGACTGTTCTTACTTTAAAAAGTATTCGAAAGCACAAATACCAGACAGTTATTTTGTTCTAGGATGTGGCTCCTCAGCAGTTCGCATCCACGACTCTAAAGGTGAAATCCAGGACTTTAAGCCTAGTGGCGAGCTGTTAACTTCCAGACATCTGAGGTGACACTCAATGATTTAGATGACTGATTTCAATCAGTTCACAACATTGCACAACCGTCTTTTAATGGCAATATTGGAGAAATGGTTGTAGAACGAAAAACACAACCAATACTAACTGACAGGACAATAATAAAAGTTGTCACCATAACAATCGGATAAGTTTGAAAAAAAATTCTACGTAAATATACCTTGAGATAACGTAATTCACGTAGATCTTGATCAGTTTGAAGGCGGTGATGTACACGTTCAATTTGACGTCTTAAGCGACCGGCGGATGGAATATCTGAGTCATCTTCGTCAATTAAGTCAGCGAATTCTGCATTAGCATCATCATTATCGGGATCTAACTCATCTTCATCGTCCATGAAATAAGCTCGTTCATTTTCATCACCAGACAATTCGGCTTCTTCATCCACAAAGTCGTTTATACGAAATCTGAAAATATATTAAAATATATATGTATAACATAAGTCTGAAAACCAGAATAAAAGCTTTAAGCAAGTTGTTTTATTAAAGCTGTGAATTTTCCGTGTCCACCAACCCGGTTAAAGCGCCGGGCATTCGCTTTTCGTCCTCTCAATTTCGTAAACAACACCCCCGCCACAAGAAGGCAGTGAGTAGGTTTTCCCTGGAAGAGACTATATATTTGCGTGGCCAGATGAGAGCATTTCGAGAGGGAGAGCGGACTCTCTCCATTCTCGGCCATACCAGGGCATTTGTTTATTTTGACATTCAGTTGTTTACATTTAACATGCAAAATATTCATTTAAAAAACTGATCAGTTAAAAGATATTTCGTTTATTAGTGAATGAAATAGGAACAAAATAAGTGATGAACTTCAGTTTTTCAAGTAAGAAAACGGTATCATTGGGAGAAAAAATATTTACATAAGTTAAAAAATACCCAAAAGTTACCTGAATGAATATTATTTATTTAATTGTTGTATGATTCAAAGTCATAAAATTGACTCAGGTTAAACGCCCTAATTTTCTTTGGTCCTACTTACTCGAGTCAACTAAAAAGGTAACTTAACTTTTTCGATTTGTGTATTGTTGAGACAAACAGCCTTTCTGAGATGTAGCGGTCAGTCATAGCGGTTTAAATAAGTAAACATTGAAACAAAGCATATAACACTAGAAAACTAACAATACTCATATAAAAGGGTATGATCCTCACCAACTATATGAGAAATCGAAAAAAATAACACATGACGTGTGAAGTATGTGTGCAGGTAACTCAAAAGCGGGATTCTATTAGTATGAAAAAAACTTCCGACAAGACATAAGAAAAGCAATTCACTCACTTTTTAGTTTTCTTAATTTCATTCGATTGTATAGTTAGACGTTGAATTTCCTCTTCATCATCTTCATCTTCAAGAGAATTATCTTTTTCTTCCTCTTCATCTTCTTCCGAGGACTCATCATCACTACCATTATCTTCGTCAGTTATATCATCAGGATCAATATTTGCTCCATCATCTCCTGCTTCAATAGTATGATCATCTGATTCATCAACAGTTGAGATCTTATTCTCCAATTCCACATTGTCATCTGTATGCAATACAGATGACAAATTGTCACCAGTAAAATTAGATTCTGCAAAGGACACATATTAGATTCATTAGGAAACATGCAAAAACAAACCTGATGTGGATTTAAAAGGATTATTCCGTATGAGTGAAGATGGTTCAATAAAGCTATTGTCTTTTTTTTCTTTGTTCTCTTCTTCTTCATCATCCTCATCATCAAAAAGTAAAACTCGTCGACGAGACGGATTCTATGCATGGAGAATCAAACAGTGGTAGAGCGATTTAAATTTAAATAAAACTAAGCGAACAGATTACAAGCATGAGGAGAATTAATACAAACAAAATGAAAATTTCGACTAAAAAGGAACGTTAATAAAGACAAACCATCTGATATTTTAAAGTTTGTAGGTGCAAAGGTCATCTTTTAAAAATGTCAAAGTATCCATTGGGCTCATAAAACTAACAGATGAAGGATGTTTGCCGGAATCTATTTGACTCAGAGGTTGAAAACATAAGCAACCGCTCTTATTTTTATCCACATGGCATATATGAGTAAGAATGAAATAAACATCACTAACCGATCTCATTGGTTATCATAAATTCTAAAGATGAATCTCTATGAATACTAACAGTTAATCTATTTAAGGACAGGAATTTAATAGAACAGGTTAAAAGAAATTACTTACTTGAGTCGTAAACCCAGAAATAGGGTGCTCAGATTCCTGAAAGTCTAAAAGATAATATAAACAATCATGAATTCTGCAATTCATTATGATAATGAGCAAGTATTATTACTGTTTAAGTTCTGATACATCTTTTTATGCAACATGACGATGATCGCCACTAAGCGTGGATAAATCGGGATTCTCTAAAAGTTCATCTGTGACAAGAATAACTCAACATGAAGCTCTTTGACTATGACATTGTGTCACACATGAAATACTAGTTACTTTAATACTGTAAATGCTTCGGAGTAGCATGTGTCGACTAAAACGAAAATGGAGTCGAGAGATTTTACATCAAATGGACTAAAAATTATTGCTGATATGACGTCAGCCTACTAACTTTATCATTATTCTCCCTTTTTGACTCATATCCTTTTGAAAATTCTTCAAACTGACTAGTTACCGTTGACTTAAGTAAATCAACACAACTCTTCAGTCTAAGCATGTTTTATGCTTATTTTGATCTTATTATCAGTTTTGTTAACCTTATTATTCTTACAGAAATACCCGACTTACAACCATTTCGATCATGAAAGTATTCATGTTTACTCAAAGTTTTCGGTTTTTTTTAATTATCATCATTGTCACAACCATAAGGTCAATGAAATTGATTCTCAAATGCATTATGTACTCGGACTTTACTAAGAAAATTATTGGTTATTTTGTCGCTATATAAATCGAACTTCTGCATGATCATAGTGGATATCAATTAATCGTTTTGGGCATACTTTCATCGTTTACATAATCAATTGGTTTGAGTTAGGAAACCACCGAAAACTAGTAGGCACTGGACAGCTGTTTTGTTCAAGTATGGGCCTCCTCTCAGTAATACATCTACGACACTATTAGAGAGGATAAAACTCAGGACCTAAGGTCTCGAGACCACTGAGCCGGGGTCCGATGATGTGATGTACATGTTCAACTTCAGTTAACTTGCGATAATGTACGAACGTCTTCCATTACCTGTGGTGGGTAAGTGACTTACACCCGACATGGTTGAATTTCGTGAATCAAACCTTTTAACTAAAACTTCTGGAATTACATTTCAAAGTTAGTCACTAGTGAGCAAATGAACATTTCAAATATAAAAGGTTTGTAAAGAATGTTGTATTGTCATGGTTTATAGATATTTCTCTCGAAGCCATAAAACTATATCTTACTTTTAAAAAAAAGTTATCAATATGTGAAAAGTATAGAGAATATAAAATGGATTCCACTTTATCCTAAAAAGTTTGTTAACCCGTTTAACAGACCATTTACTTACAAGAGTTGTAAAACATTAACCGAATGCAAAAAAAATACCTGGATCATCATGATTATTTACAGGTGACTTCAAAATTTCATCAACATGGCCTTGTGACTGGTCACATGTAGACTCGCCAAATAGATTACGACGGTTTTCATGAGAATCTGCTTAAGAAGATTTATAAATAAACGAAGAAAATTAGATAAAAGTAGCTTTATTACTGCTACGGAATGTTTACACTACAATTAAGCATACTTTTATCACAAACAAATAGCTTGAGTTATGGTGAACTATTTTTACGGTTGTCTGCATTGTAATGTATAATATCCCATTGCTTAAGTGATCCTGCGAGCCTATTTGCCCATCCAACTGTTTCCATGTTTCAGTTCATTTTTTCCAGTTAGTAGGAATTAATGAACTAGAAAAATACAACAGAAATTGACAAGAAGGAGCACAGACAAAATTATCTAATGGAACTAAGGAACTAAAAGATAAAATCTATTTTTGACAGGATAAATGACGGTATTTTATAGTAATACGATCAACCTGTGATTTAATGTTACTTTATACTACTTCCTATCGAAATAAAATACTTAAGCTATCTGAAAACTACAACTGAAATAGCAAATAACACTGCAAATATACGGACGACAACTTGTCAAATTATCATATGATGAAGTAAAACAATATCATCATTTTAGTTAAAAAGAGGCGACGAAATACCTGGATTATTATTGATAATTGAGTTTTTCACTTCATTTAATGATTCTTGAGACTGGACACATATTGATCCGCTGAATAGATTACCATGTTTTTCATGTTGAATTTGGGAATCTATCAAGAGAAATACATAGACACAAAGATATAATACTTAACTTCAAAAGTAGACCCTAAATTAAATACTTTCAATAGTCAGAAAAGAAATAAGAATTATGTTGCAGGTAAAATAATGAGAGAATATAACAAAGAGGTTGTCTATTAACAGATTAAAACCTTTATTTCGCGTTTACTGTTTTGAAAAATAGAATCCACTTAAATATGTCGAAAAACGATTAGAGGCAAGAAAAATTGAACAATCACAGATAGATAGATCATTACGGAGAGGTGGACCAGGGGTTAGAATGTTCAGCAACCAAGATAGCAGTTTGAAACCCACTTCGTCTACTACGTTTTGGCTAACCGGGCAGTAGTATCATTAGCCCTAACACTTGGAGTGTGACTTAAAGCCAAGTACATGACTCTGTACTTGGTAAATAAATATCGATGAACAGTATCAGCTTCCGAAAGCTTTCATAAACCTATAAATGATAGTATCAACAAATGGAAACATAATTCAAAAATCGTATGATGGATGGATGCAAACCAATAATTATGATCGTCACAACCAACAGGAAAGTGAAACCTCATATCAATAAAATCTCTAACAGGTTCCGTTTCATTTTGTCATCAAGTTTATGGAAGAATGAAGAGTTAAGTGGATTAGTTTAGTGAAACTGTAGAAGAGTAATATATATATATATATATATAAGAAAAATGAACTCGAATTACCTAGATCATCATTATCATCAGCCAAATCCATGAAAGCTTGCGATTGAGTACCTATTGATCCTCCAAACAAAATACGATGATTATCGTGATTAGTTTGGGAAGCTACGAAAAAACAACGAGAAGGTAGTTGAAATAATGATATAATCCCTTCGAATTTTGAACAGACATGGGCATCTCACTGCCTTAAAGTGACATGGGAAAACAATGTTATCAACAACAAAAAATACGTAATTGGTTTGGGATACTGTTTTAAACGGAACTAAAATGAACAGAATTGGTAATAAACCTAAGGAAGTGAATATTGGGTGATGTATGCGATAGCGTTCGCAACAAAAGGGATATATCAAACTGAAATGTCTAAACCAATTTACGGCATATGACTGAAATTGTGAGAAGTCGCCAAGGTTAGTATTTGGAAGATTTATTATTGACTATAAGCTTTTGATAAGTGAGAATTATCTACTTTTCTGTGTTTATTCAGAATATGTAGAAAATCTGTATAACTATATTAAATATTTAACTAATATATCAATCCAGTCAAAAATATTCATATACCTGTTACATAACCACCTGTGATTGATTTTGCAGTTTCATCGATAAGTTCTTGTGATTGATTACTGATTGATCCGCCAAAGAGATTACGACGATCGTTATGGCAAACCTGAGAATCTATGCATACAAACAAAACGAGCAGATTTAGAGAATAAAACAAGAAAAAGGTGAAATAAAACATACTTATTCATACAAAAACTGTGATATCATAGAGTGTATTCGAAAGTATAAGCCAACGTACATTATACAGTGAAATGTATGAAAACAAGTAAATAACTAGCAAACTAATCTAATTTTACAAGCTTCAGTTATTCACTGGATTGGATAGGTACGTATCGACAATTGTTAAAAAAGCATACGAATAAACAAAGAAGAAATATTCATGAAAGTAATTAATTATTAATAAACTTCAGTCGTCAGGAAAATAGTGTACAACTAGAAAAAAAACATTAAGCAAGAATGAAATCAAATGTAAATTGAAATTACTGTTATATAAAGATAAATTAAATTAAGTTTAACAGAATATACAGCTACAGGCTCAGTGGTCTGTCGGTTAAGGGCTTCGGCTCGAGACTGGTAGGTCATGGGTTCGAATCTCTCTAGTGCGGGATCGTGGATGCGCACTGCTGAGGAGTCCCATAATAGGACGAAACAGCCGTCCAGTGCTTCCAGGTTTTGCCCCCAAATGCCCTGGTACGGCCGAGAGTGGGGAGAGGCCACCCTCCCTCTCGAAATGCTCTCACATGGCCAGCGAATATAAAGCTTCTGACAGGGAAGTCCTACTCACTGCCTTCTCGTGGCGGGGGTGTTGTTTACGAAAGTGAGAGGACGAAAAGCGAATGTCCGGCGCTTTAACCGGGTTGGTGGATGTGGAGGATCCACCTAGGGGAGTTGGAAAGCCGTGATCCCAAACCAATGGTGCACATGGGCTCCAGTATCCTGAAGGAACGAATGGCGTATGAACCTGCTGTTGGTCACCGGCTACCATGGGACTGCATCTCCTCACGATGCTCCACTGCCTTGTGGATCAGACCATTAGGTCAAAGGCTACTGGTGTTGCCCCCTAAGAAAACCACCTGCTTCAGTCTGGGCACCTGGGCAGTATCACAGCCCTCACACAAATCGAATGAGATTTGTGTGGCGCATATTTATCTGGTGCTTTCTTGTACCAATATTTATGTGTTTAAATAAAATAAATACACCTCAATAATCCTACTAATGATTGAGGTAGTGAGTTAGAAAGCAGTAAAAATATCGATAGATATTATATTATGAAAATGTAATAATTAGGGAAAATAGTGGTTAATTCATAGAATAATACGTTTCCCTAAATGAATTAAATTGTAATCGAACTAAAATAGTAACATTTTTTTCTTCATAACGGAATATCATTTAAGTGAACGAAGAGTGATATTGACTTCAATGTTTGTTTTGTTAGTTTTCACTTTACTAAGAATATCAATTGTTGAGTGATAAGATTGAAAGGTGAGAGACTGCCATAATATAAGACTAGTATTTTAATAGGCACATAATTCTCAAGTTGAAATGCTGGAAAGATATGTGGATGATGGAAGTGCGGATATATCAATAAAGTTGATAGAATCATTACCTAACGCCGTCTTTTCAATCAGTAAAGAACAAAAAATGATTTTTTGGTGAGATATCTTTTATAACGAAACGAATATTGTAGAAGTTGGAACCGGTTTTCCGAATTTTCATATATTATAATCTTGTTGTATAGCTATTGAGTAACTAGATTACTATGTATATGTATATCTTCAATTAGAATCTCTCGGTTAACCTACAAACTACTGTTATACTATTTACTATTTCTAATTTGTTGCCAGCTCCTACTGAAAGCCACTTTTTGTTTGTCTATATATGATTGTTGTTTTTCATTTTATAATGTAATGTGGCTGTGTAAGTCTGTGTAAAAAATACGTCTGTTTGAAATATGAAGATCGTAGAGGCTGGATGCCACTTTTGAAGTTAAAGGCAGGATATAGTGGGAAGTTTGTGAATGGTAAACTAGTGAGACTCTAGCTGTCGACTCAGGCGTGTAATTTGTCATGTTGGAGGCAATAAGCTATAGAGTAAATAATAGACCAAATTTAAAGTCGGATTCTGATTGGTAGCTTGTCACATTATTTCGTCAGCAGGTTTCAAGGCATAAAAATATCACTACTGAACAACATTCAGTTCCAATGAATTGGACTCGAAACACAGAGACTTGATAGCCCGTTTCCGACTAAACAGTCATCAAAAAATTCCCTGAAGGATAAAGCTGTGACTTAAACAATCATCATTTAAAATATATTTGCGTGACAATGACGTTATCCACCCATCTTGAATGTAATTGCAAACAATAAAAAACATATTGAATGCTGATGCACAAGCAACAGAACACTATACCAATGAAAAGTTGTAATATCAAATCATTAAAGTTTTGTAGTTGTAAATTTTTAATGTTAAAAATGCCTAGATTATTAGTTCTTTCAATAAGCTTAGCGACTGAATGCATAGACACTTGATATTGTTTTGATATCGGACTACTGAACAAATCACAACGGTTTTTATGAACATCTTGAGAGTCTAGCGTAGCAAATATATATAGCATAACTAAATATTATCAGGAGTTTGGTGGAGATTTTAGTAATTTTATAGAGTTGAGATCATGAGTCAATTGAAAATAGACCACCATCGAAAACCTGTGAGCACTGAACGGCCGTTTCGTCCTATTATGGGACTCCTCAGCAGTGCGCATTCACGATCTCGCACTCGTGGGATTCGAACCCAGGACCTACCAGTCTCGAGCCAGAGCACTTAACCGATAGACTACTGGTAGGTCCTGGGTTCGAATCTCACGAGTGCGAGATCGTGAATACGCACTGCTTAGGAGTCCCATAATAGGACGAAACGGCCGTCCAGTGCTTCCACGTTTTCCATGGTGGTTTAGATTTAAATGAATCATGATCTCAACTCTATAAAATAACTAAATATTCTTTAGAAAAACTTGAACATATAAATACGCAATCTTTAGGAATCAAATAGAAACTTATTCTACTAATTTTTATAAAAATGATATAAAGTATGTACATTGGTTATAAAGAATTATTACTATTCTTCCTAAATTGTAAGCAGGTGACGAGAATCCATGAAATAAATTACTTCACCTTATTCTGCTAAGGTGATTGTTCTTGCTTTATTCACAGTTATCAGTGGGAAAAATTGTATGACAAAATATAATTCTAACAACCGTAAACTGAACATATTTCTAGTTGTTATTATCAGTTACAAATTTCGAAAACAAATGTCTATAGAACCCCAGCATAAGAAAACATATCTTAAGGTAGAAACACTTAAGTCATTCCTAATATAACGGCAACAAAGAGTATTAATAAACCGAGAAAAAAAAAGAAAATATTAAGAGTTCTCAGTTTGAAAACGACTAGTTGGTGACTGACTTTGATCTTACAGCTACTTTGGAATTTAACAGTTTAAAAACGATACTTTACTAATCGCTCAGAACACATTGGAGTGAATGCTACTGAGAGTTCATCCAAGATCATAGTGCCTCTCATCTGACCGTGGTAATTCATCCTCTTAAATGAAAACAATGATGTACAATTTTTTTTAGCAATAAAAGCAGTGGTATAAATTAAAACATTATCTCGTTTCAAGTGTACTTTAAAGTAATTCGATTTCGCAAAAATCTACATGAAAGAAGTAGGTATCATTACCAAGGTTTGACTTGATGATTTCAAAAAAATTGAGCATTGGGTAGATTGTTATAAATAAAATAATATACCTTAATTCACAAGCATGGTAAGCATAGATGGATAGTGGCTTGTGAATTAAGGTATATCGAGGCAATACGCACAGTATGCACATATGCTAATTAGAGACTGACCAGTTGCAGTCCTAAACACATCGATGGGAAGATCCAAACAAACAATACTAAGTGAATTCAAAATAATATAATTGTAATATCCCAATGCGTAGAAAAATTCTAGTACTGTAGTGTGGTCTACTTATATCTACATAAGTAGTATATGGTGATCAGACATAGAATGTATTTTGTCAGAAGATCGATAAGGAAAGAACTGAAATGAAGCGCAATTGGTAGGAAAATGCACAAACAATGAAATTAGAGATGGATTGATATTTACAGAAGAAACAGTGAATATTGCGACCATTGATAGTTATTTTGCAAATTAACTGTTCATTGTATGGTTATCAGAATTTAGTGAGATTGTCTGTAATTTGTGTCTCAATAAATTCGATTGTCCCCAACTAGTGTTTTGTTCACTACACTACTACATGAAAAATGTTTTATTTTATATGTTTATAACACAGTTGTCGATCCAGAAGCTGCCGTGTTCAGGATTATGGTGTTAAGAACAGACAATCATCTAAGAAGTTAGGCAATCACTTTTGAAATGATGAATAATATTAGTGGCTCAGAATGAGGGTGGGTTCTTTGGACTGGAAGATTTAGTCATGAAGCCATCATTATTTTTCTAAACAATCTAATCAGTTCATACTTCAGAAAGTAGTTGAAGTTAACCAATCCACCTAACACATATATTTAACAATTCAAATGATCTTTTTAATAGTCTTCCAGTGTTTTATTTCAAACACTTTTCTATATTTTACCAAAGTACAGGATTGATTATCCCCAAGAATTCAAAACTACATGTCACATAACAATGGTCAAAGTGAACAATATTCAACCAGTCAATGCAGTGAACTCTATCACTACTCAGTTAATGTGATAGTTTTTTTTCGTATCGTCAATAACAAAAGCACTAGTACTAGTAAATGTGCATGAATGGGTAAGATGAGTGATATATGAAAATGGTATTTCTATATATAAGGAATATTAAAGAACCAAATAAGATAAACACCTATATCATCATTCTCATCAAAGGATTTAGTAGTGACCGGATCCATAACTGCTTGAGATTCGTCGCACAACGATCCACCGAAGAGATTGTGACGATTTTCATGATGAACCTGAGAATCTGCAAAAGAACATGGAAAGAAAAGAATATGAAAACATAACGAATGGACCGATACAATATTTTTAAAGAATTAACTAATGTCAGTCAGTTACAACGTAGAATCTCGTACGTACGTACATCAGTTCGAGTTGCCATACTACATTAGCACAGAGATGCAGTTGTCGATTCAAATCCCATATTGGTAGAAGTAGTAAGAGTATAAGCATTAATGTGAAAGATTAGGGTTTGAAGATGTTATTGAAGGAGTATAATACGGTGAAATAAATTTGGAGAGAAAACAAAGAGATATGAAGAAGTCAGGAGACTAGAATTTGGGAGAACACGGAGTGGATGCACCTTCGCCATTGCGAACGATTTTGAGTTATGTCATCCAAAGTCCCTAACCATCGGTTGCTATCATCTCGCACATCCGAACCACGTAGTTTACACCTACCAACATGGCTCAGTCCACTTGTCAGCGACTTCATCGATTTATGCCACGTTTTGGTCTGGCCACCCCTAGCTTTCTTCCAACCTACTCCTACACCATAAAACATTGCACGTCGGGGCAGTCGTTGGTTGGACATACGTAACACGTGTCCCAGCCATCTCAACTGATGAAGTTTCAGTACTTCATCAATCGATTTGCCATCCTTACCTAGTACCCGTTTTTTAACAACTGCATAACTTACCCGGTGGTCCCAGGATATACGAGCAATGCGTCGAAGACTCTGCATTTTGTCAGCGTCTTCACCGAATAAAACTATGTCGTCGGCGTATTCTAAGTCAACAAGCGAATCTCCCGGTAAAAGTTCAACTCCTGGAGATTGAGATGATGAAAGTGATATCTCCAAAAGCATGTCAACGACAAAGTTAAACAAGAATGGGGAGAGTGGACAGCCCTGACGAACACCACTTGAGGTAACCAATTCTGATGACAGTTCTCCATAGGCTCTAATTCAACCAGTTGTGTTCGGGTAGAGAGTTTTTATGAGGTTAATGTACTTATTTGGTACTCCTTTCACTGACAAACACTGCCATAGAACCTTACGATCAAGGGAGTCCAATGCCGCCTTAAGGTCAAGAAATACTACGATTGTGGGACGTCTGAATGTATGCCTATGTTCTAGAACCTGACGTAAAGTGAATATCTGGTCTATGCACAACGTCCAGGTCGAAAACCAGCCTGGTTTTCTCTAGTCTGCTCTTCACGAGTTTTGGTTAGGCGTCCAAGTATTATTGAAGCTAATATTTTAGTCACTATATTAGTCAAACTGATCCCTCTGTGATTGTCACAGGAGGACTTTTGTCCTTTCTTATAGACTGGCACAATCAGTGATTGGGACCAGTCAGATGGAATTACGTCCAGTTCCCAGATTCCACCTAAGACCTCAGTCAATCTCACTACTAGTACTGGACCACCATCCTTAAAAATCTCAGGGGACAACCTGTCAGGGCCTGCTGCTCTCCCTCGCTTTAGATTTCCTATAGCTTTTTCAACCTCGTAGAGAGTTGGAGGACTTACATTAATTTGCCATTCAGGACGACTGCGGATCGTGAGTAATTGAAGTATGGCTGAAGGCCAGTTAAACTGATCCCTAAAGTGTTCTGCCCATTGATCCAATCTCCTGGATTGAGAATGAATGATATGCCCATCTTTGTCTGAGATGGGCAACCATTAGTTGGGTTCCTAATGCCGGTTTCTTTAATAAGTCTGAATAGTTGTCGGCTGTTACCTATTGCCGCTGCCTTTTCCATCTCTCTTGCTTTCGCTACCCACCACTGTTCATGATCTTTGCGTAGGTTTCTTATTAGCCTTCGCTTAAGCTGACTCCGCTCTTCGTTATGTTCAGACCCAGGTGGGATGAGTTTTCGAGCATCTATCAGTGCAGTAGACGCTGCCGAGATCCACTGTTTCTCCCTGACCTTATGGCTTACCTTACTAGCGGATATCACTGCTGTTACCACAGCTTTTCGGATGTCATTCCATGCTGCCTCGGGGTCGGCACAACTTACATGTCTGTCTAACTGTTTTTCCAGTTGTTCCTGAAATATATTCTTAGCTTGCCTATCATTAAGTAGAACCCTTAGAGGCTTCCCTGAAGTGTCTTTCCTACGTCCAGTAAGACGCAGACAGATACGTGCTCGCACTAGAGCATGATCTGAGTCTAAACATGTGCTCCAGAATGAGCGACAGTCTTCTATCGAGCCCCTCCATCGGTGGCTGATAGCGATGTGGTCTAATTGGGTCCAACGTTGGGACGAATTCGGGGGTCGCCATGTCAAAAGATGTTTTTCCTTATGCTTAAAGTTAGTATTTGCAAGAAATAAGCGGTTATCTGAGCACAGCTGCAACAGACGGTCGTCATTATCTGTTCTTTTAGCCACGACACCATAAGATCCTCCCAGGTGCCTTTCCCTTTCGCTTAGTTTACCTACTTGAGCATCTTTTATATCGTCTGAGCTGCAGTCAGTGGGAGAGTAGGCAGAGACGACGAAGAGTTTCCCTATCTTTCCGGGTCCTTACTGATCCGTTTAGTCGGACAGCGCATAGACGACTGTCTACTGGGATCCAGTCTAAAAGAGCCGGTTCTGCCCTAAGACTTAATGCTATACCTACTCCAGCGAGGCCACGGGAAGCAGCATTAGGGCTTCCAGATACACGAAGCGTGTATCGAGATGGTTCTTTATTTTGATTAGGTGAGGTCAAATGAATGACGCTACTCGGATCTTGTATGCGCGTTTCGGAGACGCAGCACACATCAATGGTATAAGATTCTAGAGTCCTAGCTAAGGAAGCCTGTTGTCCTATTTGGCACAATGTTCGGACATTAAAAGTTCCTATATGTAGTTTAGGGCGTGGTTTCAGGAGACCGGGAATAACGTTCCGTGTACTCGAATCGTTTGCCCTAGTGTTGCGAGGTGATAAAAGGACGTGGGAAGGGTTAGTCGTGGGAATAAGAGAGTTATTAGGTGTAGGAAGGATTTGAAAGTGACTAACTTGGTCTCGTGTGCTGTTACGGGTATGAGGGCTAATATCACTTCCCGGCTGCCCACACCGTGGAAGGGTATTTCTTGAGGGACCTGAAAAGGAAGTTGGATTAGTGTCGGTCTTAACGACCTGGGAGCGTGACCGCAGTGCCCAAGGGACATCTGCTTGAGGCCGGTCACGCACGGCCTTTTTGAGGGATTTTTGACGTGTTAGCTCCGTTCTTCAAAGGACCTGATGGTTAAGTCATTTGACTTTGACAAATACGTTTGTAATTGAGAACACGGACCGATGAATGTTAGATTACCATTGAAAACTTGGATGCATCGAACGGCCGTTTCGTCTTAGCATGGTGCTCCTCAGCAGAGCGCACCAACGACCCCACACGCGGAAATCGAGACAAAGATTTCCAGTCTCGCGCGCGGACCCTTGACCTCTAGACTACTGAGGCGGGATCCAACGTTATTAATGTCTAATTTCAACCAATCCACGATAACGCGTGACGAACTTCCATTGTTTTCCGTGTGTCACTGCCTCACACCCAACATGGTCGAACTCTATTGGTTTAAACCCGGCAAGCCTATGCCAATTTGGAAAGTCGAATCGTACGCTACCACGTAAAGAAAATGTAAAACGAATCCATATTTTCTAACTACGGTATATTAATTAATTTTCATTAAGGACACCTAAAAATATCAGGAAGATATTTAATAGTTTTCGCCTTCAGTAGTTATGATGTTGTTTTAATTACAGTTATGGCAGAATATGTATACCATCGAAAAAATTACTTGTGTTCATATAGGGTTCAGTATGATGTCCCTCCACCGACGACCGAAGAAATCAAGATTGCCATCAGACAAATAAAGTATGGAAAGCAGCAAAACCTGACAACATACTAGCTGAAGCACTGAAGTCAGACATTGAAGTACCTGGAAACATGCTCCACATTCTATTCAGGAAGATTTGGGAAGACGAACAAGTGCCAACGGACTGGAAAGAATGATACCTCATCAAGATATCAAAGAAAGGAGATCTGAGCAAATGTGAGAATTACACAGGCATCACACTACTGTCAGTACCAGAAAACCTTTTCAACAGCGTTGCAGGACCGGATGAAAGACTCAGTAGACGCCCAACTTCGAGATCAACAGGCTACAATCCTTAAGGATCGGTCGTGCACAAACTAAACTGTGACACTACGGATCATTGTCGAACAATCAATTGAGTGAAACTCGTCACTATTCGTCAACTTCATTGACCATGAGAAGACATTTAACAGTGTGGACAGGAGAACATTATGGAAACTTCTTAGACACTATGGAGTGTATGAGAAGATTGTCAACATTATCCAGAACTCGTATGACGGACTACAGTGCAGAGTCGTGCATGGAGGACAGCTGACAGATGCATTTCCAGTAAGAACTGGAGTCCGACGAAACTGTCTACTCTCCCTCTTTCTATTTCTTCTGGTGATTGACTGGATTATGAAGACCTCCACATCTATGGAGAAGCACATAATACGATGGACATCTCAGAATCAATTAGATGATTTGGACTTCTCAGATGACTTAGCACCCCTATCTCATACACACGAACAAATACAGACGAAGACAACAAATGTAGCTGCAGTACCTGCATCAATAAGCCTCAACACACACGAAGGAAAAAGCAAGATTCTCAAATACAACACGGAGAACACCAATGAAACCAATCACACTTGATGGCGAAACTCTGGAAGATGTGGAAACACTCACGTACCTGGGAAGCATCATTGATGAACAAGGAGGATCGGATGCAGATTTCAAGGCGAGTATTGGCAAAGCAAGGACCGCATTCCTACAGTTGAACATATGGGACTTAAAACAATTCTCAACTAACTTCAAAGTGAGAATCTTCAATACGAATGTCAAGACAGTCCTACTGTACGGAGTTGAAAGTTAGAGAACTACTACAACCATTGACAAGAAGGTACAAGTATTTATAAACAGTTGTCTACGCAAAATACTTAACATTCACTGGCCGGATATTATCAGCAACAGCGTTTTATCGGAGAGGAGAAATCAGCTTCCAGCTGAAGAGGAAATTAAGAAAAGACGTTGAAAGTGGATCGGACACACATTGAGGAAATCACCAAACTTCAATCACGAGGCAATCCCTAACTTGGAATTCGGAATGGAAATGGAAAAAAGGAGGGTCAAAGAGCACATTGTGCCAGGAAATAGAAGCAGATATGAAAAAGATGAATAGCAACCGGAAAGAACTGAAAAGGATTGCCCAGGACAGGGTTCGATGGAGAATGTTGGTGGGCGGCCTATGCTTCTTAACGAGGGGTAACAGGTGTAAGTAAGCAAGTAAGTAAGTATGATAAAAATATACTTAACACTAGCATGTGTACTTCGCAGTTATATGTATTTATTGTTAAAAAAGGAAACGCAATAAAATACGATAATTACAAGATATCTTTCATACTGAACAGATAAACGTTATGAATTTGGACAAGGAGTAGTGAAAACTGACTTAGATCAGTGTGGCACTGGAAATTAGCATAAAACAGTTAAGAACGAATTAAAAGTTACAAAACTTTAAATGTCTATTACTCTTCAATCTGTAGAAATGTAGTTGTAAAAGTGTCTTTTCATACAATTATGATATAGATATGCAATGTAATGAAGTAAAGTCAATGAAGATAATTTAAAATGACAGGTTCAGTACGCATAATGATGTTATAAATATGTATAAAACGCTTATAACTCACGAAGACTTGAATTCGTCTCCTCAGATATTATAATCGTAGGATTTAGTTGAGATGTTGGTTGAGTTGGTTCCTGAGATAATAAGACCGTGTCCTGAGATGATATATTATGAGGGTTAGCTAAAAAGGAGGGAATATTGATAGAGAGAAACATTTAGAAGGGGAGGTGAATACAGATAAAATGAAAGAAAATAAATTATCCTTTGTGGAATAGTTCAAGAGACTTCACTAAAGAAAAAAACATTATTTCTTTGTTATCTTACAAAGAAAATATCTCTGTTTATCTCCTAGTCTAACTACGCCTATATATATATATATATATATATATATATATATATATATATATATATATATATATATATATATATATGCTTCCAGGCTTTTAATGATTTCAATGAAATTTAACAATCTCCACAACCCTAAACTGAAAATCATCATGTGCCAGTGTGAGGCAGTTACTCATCGCAAACAATGGGAGATGGTCGCGCAGTGCTGTGATTCGATTGAAGCTATAAATTAACACCGTTGAATGTCAAGCTTAGTGGTCTAGAGTTCAAGGGTTCGTGCGCGAAATAGAAAGTCCTAGCTTTGATTCCACAGTACGGGATCACGAATGAGCAGTGTCGAGGAGTTCCACACTCGGACGAAATAGCAGTTCAATGCTTCTAAGTTTTTAGTGGTGGTCTAACTTAGATCGGTTAGCGATTTCAGTGACATATGTATTAGATATTGTATAATAGATGAACTTACATGTCGTTATATGATTGTCATCAGTGAACTCTTGAGTGATAGATTCTGATCTGGAAGCTACTAACAAAAGAAAATACAAACCAATAATGGAACAGCTTTAACACTTTAGTCCATAGTTAATATAAAGAAACAACTTAAAAAATAATTAAACTCTACGTAAAACTTATTTCAAATGAAAATTCCTTCAACTACTTTTATGCTATCCAGTTAAAACTGAATGCTGAGGTTTGATGACAATTACATTTCTCTCAGTTTCAGAAGAAATGCTTCTCTGAAGTTATTAAGATTAACAAATATGAAAACTAATGAATCGATTATATAAATGGAAATTGTTTAAATAAATTAACGATGATTAAAAAGAGAAATCTTGCAAGGCTTACGCAATTGACTATTTGGCTTTTGAGAATACAGTAATTCATAAGGTGTATTATTCCACTGACTATGAGTAGATGAATTTCGAGTAAATCGAGACTTGTTTTCGTCCTAATTAGGGAAAAAAGAACAAAAGGGATTTTTTGGATGAAGTAATGAATTTGAGAGAAATTTATCAGCTTGAGTTAATCAGACATAACAGACATAAACAGACATAACACTAGAGTCAGAGTAGGTCAGTTTAAAACCTTTGCGACTATGTTACTGAAAGAGACATATTTTCGCTTGATGTCAGATACATTCTATTGGGTAGTGATAAGAAGCATAAAATTTCTTTCATTTGTAGCTCTCTTTAAAATTCAGTAAAATACGTAAAGATAAGTATTACTATCAAAAACTGACTTAATAATTTCAAATTGACAAATACATCATAATTTTATTATTAGACAGGTAGATTAGTGTGGGAAAACTTAATCTTCTACAATTTTAAAAATAAGCAGTCAGTCGTTACTAACGTATATATGATCTGAAACGAAAGTTCATTGGGTCGTGGTGTTACAGAATAGTGGTAATACCAACCACTAATTGTACCACGCAGCTTTCATTTTTAAACTACAAAAGTAAGATAATCCTTTGTAGATTAACGCTGACTAATAATTTAAACGATTAGTTTCACTGAAACAAATTTTTATTTATGATACAGGATAAGACTTGACGATTTATCTTTAGTTTAGAAAAATAATGTTACATAATTAGTTAAGTCAGGTTTAGTGTGAAACAAGAGAAACACAAGATATACTTACACCGATGGTGGTTGCATCTAAACGAGTAGAGGCCAATATTGACTGAGGATTAATAGATCCTGGCAAGAAAGAAAAAATTGCTAAGTAAACATCGAGCATGTAATGAGATTAAAAAATTGAAATTGTATTAGCAGAGAAATGACTAAGATCATTAAAAAAGTATAGTTTTAATTACCCATACTAAGAACACGCTTTAAGTGAGAGAGACTGGGTGAACTAATTCATCCACATATTTGCTTGTTACTCTAGGTGAAGGATACCATTTATATAGATATGGATATAAGTATCTCTAACATCTTTAAACTAATATTTTTCTTCTTTACCGTAAGAAAATATGTAGAATAATTCCTATGGTTTGAATGACTAACTGATCTCAGTTAGACTACCACTGGAAGCCTGTATGCATTGGACGGGCGTTTCGACCCAGTACGCGACTCCTCAGCGGTGTCCGTCCACAAACCCGCTTCTGGCGATCGAACCCAGAACTTATGGTTATATACACTACACGATACCGGGTCAGTCGTTTAAGGTTTAGGCATTCGCGTGAGAGACAGAGGGTCCCACGTTTGATTCCTGGATGGAGAACACTGGTTGAGTACTGCTGGGGAGTCCAATACTGGGATGAAATGCTTATCCAGTACTTCTAGGTTCACAATGCTGACCTAGCTAAGATTTTTGATTCATGCAATGAGAGTTCCACAATCTCCACAAATCTCCTTATAGTAATGTACAAAAATACAAATATTTTGATCACCTGAAATGTTCAGAAGGTCTAAGCGACAACCTTTATAGAATAATACTACTCAACGTTTTATCCTAAATGTGTATTTCAAACTACACTATGGTTAACAATAGATACAAGAAATGTATACTTTCTAATACACCCTTTGGTTAATTAGACCTGACAAACAATAGATTGGGAAACAATTTAGATATCTATCCATCAACAAAAGGATAAGACTGATCTATTAAACTAAATTAACTTTACACAAAATTAGTTACCAATCTGTAGATAAGGTAGTGGATCTTTGTCGACTAAGATGGTTAAGATATATGCTACAAATGCGTAACCACCACCTAAATTAACACGCATTATTTCCTGGTGTACAGTAGGTTGAAATACAGTTAAAGGCAGTCAAACCAAGAGACGTGGCATTGGTTTATGAATTTATTGACTGTTGAACTAGAAATAACAAATATTGAGTAAACGATTAATAGAAATAATCTATAAGAAAGACAAAATGATTAGTAATTACTTACTGTCTAGAATACCAGAACATTCAGATGCGAAAAGGTCTATATCTGCAGGACCTAGAGTTCCGTGATGATGTCTTTGTGGAATACCTAAACTGTAACCATTATTGCAAGCTATAATAAACAAGTGACGATGAACAAAAATTAGATGAATTAAGGAAGTAATTAAAATTGTATGAACTGTGTTAAAACTAGAAAGAATATTATAGAAGTGAAAAGGAACATTACTTCTGATAAATAGAAACAAAAACAATTGATCGTTGAACAATTACGATACATTACACAAACTTAGTTACACTAGACAAACTGAATGCAAGAAGAAAAAGATCATATACTTGAACTAACAATTTTTTGGAATGAAACAGTTACCAACGCATTTTTAAGTATCATTATCACAGTTAGACTTGATAATTTCAAGTAAACTGAGTATTGGGTAGAATGTTGATAATAAAATAATGATATTCCAATGAGTAAAAATTATAATTTCCGACTTTTCGTGACTAGTCGCAAGCCACTTATTCAGAGTAAATAAATAACTGAATTAAATTAATACAAGTTTAAAGCATTGTCCGATGGAATATAGGTATTATAAATGCTATTACTACAGACAATTACGAAAGGGTGTTCTGGAATTATTTCAGTACTGAGATCTATTTAAAGACGAAAAAGGACAATTGGTTTGTGAAGGTTTACAGATATTTACTTTTCATTAAGTACGGAACTAGAAGTATCGTATTTCAAGTAAAACAGGACGAACCAAATGCTGTCTTAAGGTTATACTGTAAGAGAGATATAAGTTTGGTATTTTATTAGGAATAAACGAAATTTTGATTTACTCCGCATGTCACTCTCACTCTGGCAACTTCAGTAGTCATAATTACTTCGATTTTGCTAGTTTCAGCTTCTTACATAAACAGCAAAAGCTGAAGTGAACAACGGAGCATAAGATAATAGTTGGCTTACAGAACTGATGGAAGTTCAGAATGATTTATAACTACAAAGTCGTTTATGTGCGCTAATATGAACAATCCAAATTGTTATAACTGCTCTAGGTAAAGCATGGTACAAATTGGGTAATCACTGCTGATGAGAGGAGACATGATTTCACAAATACACAGTTGAGTAATAAAATTGTTCTAATCGGACATGACAATTTTGCCAAAACCGAATCTACAGAAACCTAATGACAGGATAGGAGATTAAAATTTTACACAGAACAATTTAAAGACTTATTTGATCGTTAATAACTTTACAAAACACCTATAACATCATTTATATGATTTTAACATACCGAATGATTAACTGTGAGAATAAGTCAGATATGTTAGAGATGACTTACTGTGGAATAACTATGCCTAAAGGTAAAGAGGAGATTTGTAAGACTATGAAAAAATACACCATAAAGACAACCCAAAATCACTATAAAACATTTAAGAGACATACATGAAAAAAGCTTAAACCCTGTGGTTTCCTGTGGTAGGTCTGTGAAATCATCCAACTGTAGATGTTGTTTCTGAGGGGTGTGAGATCTGCCAATCTAAATATGAGTGAACAGAGAAAAAATAGAGAAAATACCTGAAATAAATTATGAAGGAAGTAATTGAATTTGACTATCTTCAATTATACTACATTTTTTTCTATTATCAATAACGGGTTTTTAGTATAGGAGAAAAAAAGCATGGACTTCATTTATAAGTTCATTCTTTTCTCAATAGGGTGGTTGACTAGACAAGTCGTAAATACACCATAAATTTTAAACGAAAGTAATACGAATCGACCGAAGTTACAAATGTGAACTACTGAATCCAACTCTGTGGTTTAAAGGTTGAGTACCTACTGTGCGGCCGTCTAAGCCCTGTGTTCAATCGACGGTGAGGTTTAGCCCAACTCATCCTGTAGTGCGGGACAACGAAATAACTAATTTGAAGATAATTTTTCGAAGACAGTCTTTAGAAACCTAATAAACGAAGAAAACAATGATAAGCTAGTGTTAAGTAATTTAAGTATGAAAAATAGTAACTTACAAACGTAAGCAGAGTTCGAGCTGGTTTCCTATTAGTTGGCAAACAAATATTCACACTCATTAACAAAAGTTTCAAAGGACTAGATAAATACTACGTTATTAATGCAGTCTGCACATAAATACCATTTACATAAATCAGTTGTCTAGTGATAATCAATGATATCTACTAGTGCTAAATACTGGTTAAATGTTGTCAATTGACCTCAATCACTCAACACTGAACACAGTACACGACCGGATCAAATTAACTTATAAATATAATTATCACTAAAAATGTTACTAGTTTTGGCTTGACATGTAGAGGAATAAGGATTCTAAAAAATCTAAGTAATCTCGCTTTAACAACAGTGGAAGAGAGCCACAAGTAATGTTAGCTACTTAAAGGTCAAAGATGTTCTATATAAGTGACTCCTAACTGACAATTGATTGGCACTAATGAGTCATACATTATGTATACGAGTCTCCGTATGCGAAAGCATGATCCAGAAGAAAATATTTGTATTTTAAGAGAGTTACATTCTCTGAGTAGGGTGTTTTATTGAAAATCTATCATTTTCGTACTAAATCATCTTCAGTAATTATAATGAAGCGTGTGCAAATAAATTATATAATTAAAGCACTTCCGTCATATTTTGGCCTCTGATGTATAACGCTGATATTGCCATAATCGAATTGACAATCGAAATTTTCAAGCAATATAATGACCACAGAATTCAGGTTAAGACACACCAAATCTAACGCATGGTCAGAATGTAAGTAGATGTTCACAAGAGTGAGAATGTTTCTTCCAACCACTACTACACTGAAATTACCAAGAAATATAACTAAATTAATAAGTCTCTGACAGGTTTGGACTAACGACAATAATTTGCGGATGAGAGAAATTCAACAACGTACTAATACAGTTACGCAAAAAAGCTCAAGTTTCAAAGCTGTGCATAAAACGACATTCTTAAAACTAAATACTCACAGAGTATTTTCTAGCACAATTTTTCATAACTATAACAAATATTTTTTTAATTTAGTATAAGACGGTAAACGTTTAAGTAGGATTATAAATCTGTGAGTAATAATGGGAGAAGTTGAAATATATGAAGTAAAGCACGAATGCAATAGCAGTATATATGCATGTTTGACACCAACAGTACTTTAGAGAAATATCAAACTAAACCAAAGTAATGATTTATGTAGCCAAAACTTGAATTAGTTATTAATAGGTGAATTCATTCAAGAACGTTTATGATAAGCATCATAACAGACACAAAAATAAACTGATCTACACTACTGAACAGGTAACTACTAGATTATATAATTACTTAGATCAAACACAACAAGGTTAAGGTCTTAACTAAATAAATGATTCGAGGAAAAACCGATTCACGAATAATAAAACTTACATTTTTTCCAAAATCTACGTTTAGATTATTGACACTAGTAGTTTTACTACAAGATTTGTTTTGTTTTATATCCACCGAATCTTTACATGTTAGAGCCTCTTCATCCTCAGGATCATCGGCCTCTGCAACTACTTCATCATTTTCACTTTCTTCTGCTTCATCATCAGCAAAGAGACAAGGACGCTGTCTTGAAGCCTTTTTACTAACAACCACTACATTGTCATCTTCCTCATCGTCGTCAAGTGACTCGTTTTCTTCTTCTTCTTCTTTTTCTTCACCGCTTTCACTATCACTGCTACTTTCTTCCTCGGTATTTGAGTCTTCATCAGATATTTCACTGTCATTTGCAGCCCCTTCTGACCATTCTTCATCGCTATTGGATACTTCCTACAAAAGCATAATATATTTTGAACAATAATACAGTAATAAAAAATCACTCAATTCCTTATTGACTAAATAATTACTCCGAAAATTATTTAATTAGATAAGAATATATTGTAAACTGAGAAATTAGATAAAACATATCTAACGACAAAAATAAATAAATATTGAAATATACTGTAATAATACAATAATCAAAAGCCTAAGAAGTAGACTTAAAGATTGCTGGTGTCTGCTAACTTGGCCAGAGTTGCTTTTAGGGATAATTAAATTTATTGACATTAAGTTCCCTAGAGTCTTGAACGTGCACACCAGTACTGGTTTCTCGTTTTACCACTTTGATCCTTCATTTGACTCATGATTTCAACTATGAAAATACTAAATTCTCCACAAAACCCCCTTTGATCTATAATCATATGCTCACTAGTGACTGACTTCAAGAGATATTTCCTTGAGTTATAGTGGGAAGCAGTGATCAGTGGAGTTCTACCAAGTCTGTTGTAGAGATATCAACTCACTGAAGACAATTGGTGAACGGTTGCTCAAAATCGTGGATTGGTTGAAGTTAGACATTAACACCATTGGATGCCGGCTCAGTGATCTATCAGTTAAGGGCTCTGGCTCGAGACTGGTAGGTCCTGGGTTCGAATCTCGCGAGTGGGGGTTCGTGTATACGCACTGCTGAGGAGTCCCATAATAGGACGAAACGGCCGTCCAGTGCTTCCAGATTTTCGATGGTGGTCTAGCTTCAATTTACTCACGATTTCAACTATGAAAATAATCACACAATTATTTTTTTAGTAATGTCACCATTTGTGATGTCTTCACAATCATAAACACAATCGCTAGAATAAAAGCTGTTGAGGAAACACGTCGGATGTCTTACTCAATAAGGAAATTAAAATAATGCGGGCAATAAAAGTATTCATCAAAGGTGATTACTTCTGAATTTAATACTCTTATCTGATGAAGATCTTATTTTCTACATATTCATTCGAGAAAAAATATAAGATAAAATTATTGTTCATGGGTACTTGTATAAATAATTTCTATTTGATTGTATAAAAAGTAATAGGAAAGTTGATGAACTATTTCTGCTTATCCGGCTTCAACTTTTGTATTTATGTACGATTATAATTTGTCAGAATGAAATAAATAATCCTCCATCAGTTTAAATTGAATGTAATGCAATGGAAAGCTTCGGAGGTAACTTTCGTATTGTTAAAGATACGTACAAAGACTCTACTGTTGTTGGATGATTTCTCTGATAACAACTTTTTTAGTTACAAGAAGTGACAGCTTACATTTGGAACAGTACTTAGAATACGCGTATCCTAGTATCAAATCCATACTATTAAGTAATTAACCACTGAATAACAGTTGGGAGACCTAATGAGAATTAGTGACATATGCAGATGTGGATAGCGGCCAGCAATGGAATTCAGGATGAGCGTTTCATCCTATTTGGGATTCGTCAGCTGGATTCACATGTGCATCCAACAGTTGATGATCACTACGGAATTCGAACCCAGTACAGTTTGCTTTAAACGCCATCGTGTTATCCACCTAACTAGTGAGTTCAGATATTCAATGGCTTGTGCAATGGGGTAAAGTTTAATTCATTTGTTGTATGTTTGTTCTCTGAGCTGGATGGTTTGGTCGTGGAGCTTTTATCGTCCTTCTGAACGACATCATCAGCACAAACGTCGGGTAGATGATGTCGTTCAGAAGGAAGATGAAAGCTCCACGACCAAACCATCCAGCTCAGAGAACAAACCTACATCAAAATCACCCACCTGAGCTACAAATCTTCTCCACCATCTTAATTCATTTGTATTGATTATTTGAATCTTCCCACAGACTTTCCGCAGTGAACATGAACTCTGGGATGCAGGTACATCTGACTAACGAGTTTAAATAGGAAAAAAAGTCAGGCTCTGGATTCTACTGCTAACCACCATACACTTCCGCTTACTATAGTTGTGACTTGATGGCAATTACGAGGCAATCCGCAAAGGATCCACATATGACAAAAGGAGACTGATCAATTGCAGTCCTTAACATCAATGGGGGTATTCAAACAACTAATACAAATGAATTAATGACCTATACCTCTAGAAAACTTCAAAATCGGTAACAATATTCAACTCATAAACAAAGAAGGTCAAATTAGCCTACAACCAAATAGTTACAGTTTTAGAGTGGATAGCTCAATGGTGACGTCTCTTGATTGTGAAGCCGGGTAGCACAATGTCGAATCCAAAATAAAAATCAGTTCTTGTAATATTGCAAGTATACTTTGCTAACGAGTGCTAAATGGCATGAAATCTAGGTCCGGAGTAACATGTCGACTACTTCCCAAACACCATCTTACAACTTAAAATATTCAATAATTAAAACATTGATAAAAATATATAATAAAAGCGATCCAAATAACGTTACAGTCTAAATACAATAACGAACCCCAGTGTTTTCATTTGTTGACTTTGGACATGTACCCTCTTCCTTTAACCGCATTTCATACTGCTCAAGCCTTTTTTGACGCATTTTTTCTTCGAGAACTTTTCTGTGTTGCAACCAATGTTTTCTACTAACTGACATAGTTGTTGATAATCCTTTTGATGGTTCATGTGTAACTGTTTCTACCTGTAGTTCTTCGCGTTCAGCGTCACTGCTTTGTACCTTAACATGAATAAAATTAGAAAAGCAATAGACAGGCTAAATTTGGAAAGAAGAGAACGTAAATGTGAGTGGAACAAAAGTCAACATATCGTTATATAAAAAAGATTGATTGAATGAATAAACACTGCATATATTCTATATCTGTTCAATTCATGAGTTTAACTACATAGTAGAGAATAGTTTAAAAAAGTTATGCATCTCCAGTTCTCACACTCCTCAATAAGTACATAGAAAATACAAACATAAAGATTACAGAACCTCAAATGAACGAGAATGAAAAGGATTATCGTGCAGTGATGTCAAAATTAACAAATTTAGGAGAAAAATCTAGGGTGAATATTTCTGAGTCAATGAGGATAATAGGAACAATAACAAACAATAATACTTTGAGTCCAGGTCATGAGAGCGGGATTTCAGTGTTATCCTACCTCTAAATAGTAAAAAAGTCCGCTGATCAAAGAACATCAGAGTGAATGTGATAATAAATTGGGAAGTACTATTATTATAAATTTAGGGTAATTTCAGTATAATCAAATCAGGAAGTTAACATTTTACATCATGCAAAGGACTATAAGATTAGCTGTATGAGTCGTACATTACTAATGGCTCACTGCCAGGGTTTTATCACACAATTTTATACAGACCGATGCATTTTTCTGGTAATTATCTACTAAGTAGCTAGTAAACTCGTTCGATGTTAATTAGATCAGTATCAACGGATATCTGTATTATTTGTTACTATTTTCCTGTAAACCTTTTTGACTGTATTGAACTACAGTAACCCCATATTAAATCAGTAGTACAATTGAAAAAAGATTTCAGTTTGGGTTAGCACTCCTTAAAAATAATCACAGGTAGTACATTCAGAAGTAGAACTCAAAACCATACAACAACCATGATATTACTGAAACGCTGAAAATAGGTATTTTTTATGTTAGTTAGTTGATCAGGTATAGTAATCATTTTTATATTTGGAAGCAATCATCCTGACTGACTGAACTGTTTTGGTTTGATGGAATTTACTGCACGTTACTTCGGTCACAAACCACTTTTTGATATAGACAAGCATGTGTTTTGCTCTTGAGAGCGTAAAGACTAGAGGGATTGAAAATTAGGCCTATAGTGATGTACAAAATTAGGAAATAGTAAAAGAAATCTTACAGTGATCTAAATCCAATAAATTACTATATATATTTTGATATGTTCTCACACAAATACATGGGACATACCTTTGTTATGATTGAATATTGGATGGGTCCACGTACAACTTTTTCATGAGACACGTGAAGATGAGATTTTAAACGAGCCAATAATTGACTAGGAGTTACAGATGACGTTGAAGTAGGGATTGATTCACCTTGAAAAAGTTAATGTACAACAAGCAATGAGGAAAGAAGTTATTTATGACGACATAAAAGTTGATAAGATCGTTAGCAGAAAATGAGTTGAGATAAAAAAAATCATGAGTATGAATAGGCTTTAAAGCAGTAAGAACTGTTATAGAACTATTAAATCAATAGAGATTAAATAAAATCCTTGAAATATTTACTTGGTAAAAATTTATATCTATTGGATACATATTGTACTTTCTTATCCAACTTTATAAAGTTTCATCGAAGTAAGGTCTACTCATCTTTACATCTATACTTTGAAAGGTACTTCAAAATATTCTAATAACTATAATCTAGAAGAACACGTGAGAACTAGGTTTTGAGGATAGACATAACGTTGGCAGATCAATAGCTGGATAAAAGTAAACTAAAGAATACAAAACTGACAATAGGTAAAATAAAAAAGAGGACCTATTCATACCTAAATCTATGAAAAATTCTTCACTTTCATAATTTTTCAATTTTCTCGCATCAAGGCGAGGTAACAGATTAGTTAGTACATCTGGTTCGCTTGTGACATCGAGTGATGGTTTGGCATCAGATGACATTGATGGTGGTTCCAAAGTGGTACAATCAATGTCAACAGCATGATCAACTGAATAACCTTGTGAGACGAATGGTTTGATATCCAGTTTATTTTCAGTCTCTTCATTTCGGGTAGATTGTCCTGAAATTGGTTGAAAATGAGTGCTACAATCGGAATGTAATCTAAAATAAATAAAACGAAGCACAATATTCATATTTTGAGCTGTTTAGTAGGAATCGTATTTAGTTTAATAATATGGTGGGAATTTTTTCTACAATCAAGTTACACCGTAGTTGATACTCATCATGATTAATAGACCGATGATATCACTAAGCCTATGAGGAAAATCATTCATGATCACATGTCAAAGACGTGGAAATTTGTTTCTTCCTATGATTAAAGGAAATGAAGGTTACTTATTTGGGGTCCGAAGAACAGTAAAAAAGTGTCACTAGAGCGTTCGGTAAGAATGATTAAAAGTTAGGTAGTTTATAGATCTGTGTCTCTCTATTACAGAATTCGAAACTTCGAGATAACCATTCTAAACCTTTTAATTATAATTGTTTTACTTAATAGTGTTTATTACACTAACGAGTTTCCACCATAAAATATCGCGACAAGATCCATTTAATCTGCATTTACAACGTACATATATATGATTTTAAAGTTACTTCTAATGTTTTGTTTTTACTATCTTTTTTCTCTATATAAGTTAATTTTAAACATGGCAACTTAAACGAAGAAATCAATGTAAGATTCTACGTTGATCAAGTCAATAATAACCTGTCGAAAAGAAACATATTTAAAGGGATAATTTATTGGGGAAAATGAGTAATTAGAGATCATCGGCGATTTGGTTATGCAAATTCCAAGTATATTTTGTTCAAGACAGCATTGAAACAAGTAAGGAGTAACGTAAAACAATCCATTCGTTTAGCATATAGTCTTAATTCAGTATAACACTAGATTAAACAGTCATGCAATGTACTATCACTCGAAATAAAACCGACAACCAGAAACTGAAAAAAACATCATAAGAATATATGTAGGACATGTTTTTTTGACTAAAGTAACTATTTACCTCTATAATTTCAAATTATTTTTGTATCAAATCGGTACTGACAGACAGAACCAACGGTCCACTCTACGTTCAAAAAATGAGCATGTACGAGCAACATATACAACTGCTGGACGACTAAATAGACTGTCTGAGCATTACTTAGTAATTTATTGAGCCATAATTGGATTGGAAATTATTTCAGTTGTTTGTTAAACTTTTTGAAATGCTATATCCAAGCTAGAGAGGTTCAGTTTATTAACATGATGTAGGGGATGACATTCATCACGTCAAACTACGGGAGTTATGTCTACTAATATTTGACTGATCTGTCTTGTCATCAATGAGAAGGAGCCCTAGTGTGAATAAGTGTCGCAGTATGTCAATCATTAGGTGTTAGTAGTGTAGTGTGGTCTACTTGTATCTACATAAGTAGTATATGGTGATGATCAGACATTTATTATTTATTTATTTAATCACATATATATTGGTACAAAGGGAACCGGATACATATGCACCACACAGAGTGCGAACGCAGACATAGAATGTATTATGCCAGGAGATCGATAAGGAAAGAACAGGAATGAAGCGCAATAGGTATGAAAATGCATGAACAATGAAATCAGAGAAGACGGACTGATATTTTCAGAAGGAACAGTTAAGATTGAGACAATTGATTGTTATTTTGGAAATTAACTGTTTACTGTATGGATATCAGAATTTAGTGAGATAGTCTGTAATTTGTGCTTAAATACATTCGATTGTCCCCACTCGTGTTCTTATTCACCACAGTAGGATAGAATTTTGTCGAATCTAAATACTATAACCAATCCACTGTCAACTAATAAGCGCTAGGGGAAAATAACAAATAAACTATAAGTTTCTTATATAAATTCCGTACAGGCTTGTTTTTTCTGTGTTGTTTCAGTTTAGTGGAATATATTTTATATTTAATTATTTTTACTCTTGTCGCAATCATCAACAAATCTCTCACTATGAAACTGGACAGGAAAGAAGAGGGTAGAAGTGGTCTCGTTCATTGTGCTGAAGTTAGTGTTACAAAATATTAGTTTAGTGCTCGAACATATTAGTAACAATAAGTCCACGTTAAACACCAAATATTGGTTTATAAGACAATAAAGATAAGAAATTCAGCACATGACAGCACACCAATATAGAAAGAAGACTTACTTATTCTGAGATGAAGTTTCACAACTTTTGGTTTCATTTGACTTGCAACCTTTTAGAGACTGACGAAACTCACTGAAACATTTAAATTGTTTAGGTCTATGGACTGGTAAATGTACATCAGCTTCTATAACGTAAACAAACAAAAGTAACTAAAATGTCTAACCGACCTCGTACAAGTCTTTGTGATTCACTATAGATTTGAAGTCTTTCTTCCTCCATGTTAGTTGGTTTAGAATGATTTTTATTGCGCCCCCTAGATTTACTTTTAGATACGTTTTTAGATGCGCCCTAAAAAATTACAATCGCTTTCAAGAATACTTACAGAGCTAAGTGTCCACCGACCAACTTTTCCTTCTGTTTCTTTAATATCGTCTTTAATAGTCCATAACTCGTTATTTTCATCAGATGAATGTATTTGGTTTGAAGGTGGAGAATCAACATTGTTATCAAATTCATCGCTTAATTCATTGTCGACAAGATCAGGTGGTAAGATCTGGAGAATTAACAAAGTAGATGGTTCAATGAATTACAGGAATAAAATTAACTACAAAGAATATGGATTTATGAATTCACTTAGTATTGTTTGTTTGGATCTTCCCATCGATGTGTTTAGGACTGCAACTGGTCAGTCTCTAATTGGCATATGTGCATACTGTGCGTATTGCCTCGATATACCTTAATTCACAAGCATGGTAAGCAGAGATGGATAGTGGCTAGCAGTGGAATCCAGGACGCGCGTTTCGTCCTATTTGGGACTCGTCAGCTGGATGTACCTGCATCTCAGAGTTGATGTTCACTCTGGGACTCGAACCCAGTACCCTCGCTTCAAACGCCATCGCGTTATCCACTCGGCCACTGAGTCCTGATAGCCACTTGCTTGTGCGATGGGGTGAAGTTTGAATTCACTTAGTATTGTTTGTTTGGATCTTCCCATCGATGTGTTTAGGACTGCAACTGGTCAGTCTCTATGGATTTATGCCTATCAATACAAGCTCGAGGTTCATCCAGTTGTTCAGAATTAATGTAGAGTCTCAAACAGACAAGTGTTGTCCCAACTTCCAATTTCCTCCTCATCGTAGTTAGATGAGATTAGCAAGATGACATATTTTCATAGTTGAAAGCGTGACATATACTGGCTATGATATTATAACCATTCGGTTTTTAAGTTTTACTAAGGGGAAAAGAGGAGTTACATATGTAAAATAGTAAGCATGACATTTTATTAACACAGGAGACAATCTCATACAAACATTAGAAGGACAAAACACTTTGGTGTAACAGATCAGACCCTTACTGGGCAACAAATATCTAACCTTTACTTCTCATTACATACATTCAAATTTTAAACCATTTAGGTTAGATGTTGCAGAAGAAATCTCTGGGTAATCAACTGATGCAGTAGTGCCTCCAGAACCACAACTGCAATAAGCTGATTGTCGCAACGTAGAACCTAGTATATGTGGTAGGATCAAGCGTGAGTAATTGAAAGGGATCTCTTTATCGACGAACCTCAGGTTTATCCTTTTTAGATGAAATCATGCCAAAAACTCTAAACCAATCAAATATGCAAGCTTAGATCTATTACTGTTAAACACTTGCTAGGTTTGTATTTCAGTCACACACATCACCACCGCCACAAGACTCAAAAAAGTCAGATAAAATATTCAATAGCTGGACTATGACCAGAAGTGAGAACTTGGTGACCGAGTAAAAGAATTCGAAGGGATGTGAAGACTTACTATGAGTATTTACTAAAATATTTGATGATGCATATGATAGATTGATTAATAAGGTTCAAATTCCCACCAGCTTTTCTTCAGAGTTTTAATCTAGAATTCACTGCTTATGGCTTGTTAGGCTACCGAATGAAAATTGTTGACTTTTATGTACTAGAACCAACAATAATAGGCTTCTATTCCCTTCTACACCAATGAATGCAGAGTCAACTACGAGTTCGTTTACTTAGGAGAGACAGATAAAGAGCATCGGCATTTTAAATCAGTGATGAATGATCAGGAAAAGCGAAGGCAAAGCAACCCAGATCCACTGAACGTGAGGTTGTTTTACATGTGCTCTTGTATAGCTGAGGATAGGAAGAATCTTTCTTCTTTCTCGAAATGTTCATACAAGGTTAGACATTTACAATTTCCAGGGACTCCCTACTTACTGTACTAATATGACAGCGGGGGCTCCTGAAGGTCGTGTAACTCAGTTGCTTTACACATAAAGTATAAGTCAAAATAAAAGCCAGTGGCTTCTATCACTTCACATAAAAATGAAAACCTCTTAACTGATAGTCGTTTTTGGTTACATTTTCAACTGAAATTAATCTCCAATGATATTGTCATAGTTCACTTTCCAGTCGTAATCCCTTCTCCATTTCGTTACGATGTTATCTCTTTGTTTTGTGTTTAGCATACGTTTTTAGTAACCAGCTGTACCAAAATATAAACAAACCCCGGATAAAGTACAAACGATAACAAGCAAATATATAGCAATGCTTACATACGACTTCTCCACATTACTTTCAGGAACCATTTCTTTTGCATTGGAAGCCTCTATCGGCGATAAATTTCCGCCAGTAGACGAAAGGGAATCAAGCATTTGTTCAACCTTATAGTATAGCATAACAAAAGTGGTTAGAAGTTACACATTTATGTATACTTAATGAGTTCGAGTTCGTTTTTTGAAAAAAAAGGATGATATATGACTGAAAGTACGGATTAAGCTACCAAAACAGTATGAAAATAGAACAGATTCCTACTTGAAGACACTATGCTTCACAAGGCTCCTAGCAACTTACTGACATGGTGTATTTCAAGAAATGTTCGTTTTTGGACGTAACATTTCACAAACCTAGTACAGAAACCACGAAACCTGAAGATCAGAACTCGTTTTCAAAGTGGAAACGATTTTAAGAGTTTTCCCAATTCAGGCACTAACAGCAACAAATTTAATGTCACTTAGGGAATTCGAAAACAAATATAAACCTATTAACGACTTCCTCGAAACCTTGATCAAAATGTCCCACAGCAGGTATAAAAATGTGAACTTACACAAAAATAGATAAGTCCCAGCGACAGCACTTAGTAACATCATGAAGAATAAAACAGCGAAAGCAAATTCTAATTCTCTATATATCAGACTAGGGCCTACTCAAGGGTAGTCATTAGCACACTTTTGGAAGTTGGGTAAATTGAGGAATTTGTATATACCTATTAACGCGCCTGATAATCGAATATTTATTGCCCAATCTACAGCCAGGAAAGTGATGAGGAATGAAATGTATGGTAATATACTTATGATGTGAGGGAATATTATTTTTTATCATTTTATTTAAACACAAACATTGGTACAAGGAGGCACCAAACAGATATGCGCCACATAAATTACTCAATTTGTGTGAGAGCTGGGATATTGCTTGGGTGCCCGAACTGAAGCACGTGGTTTTCTTAGGGAGCCACAACCCGAGCCTTTAACCTGAAGGTCTAATCCACAAGGCTGTGGAGCAACGTTGAGATGCAGTGGCTTATGACGTTACTAATGTTGATACTGTAGGACATGAGATAAGTAGAGAAAATTTTGTGACCGCTGGCATGTGTTTATATAGCTTCAACTACGTTACCTGGGTCCACTACCAGATTTCCAAAAGCTGTTGGTAGGTACAACGTATCAACAAATTGCTTGGAAACTTAGCATAATCAGAACTCATGGGTAAAACTATAATTTATAGACGACCTTTGAGAGACACTAAACTGACCTTGGGAATGTCAACCTACTAACTAGAACTAAATGAGGGTCATAAACCAGTGTGAGGAAGTAGAATAATGACTTAAAGTTGATGATTAGGTAAGGAATTTGATTTAGGCTTTTCATCACGAACTGACATAAGCTATAATGCAAAACTCAATCCAGCCAGATGGATGAGTGAATTTCGCACCAAAATCTGAGACATGTTATCTTATACCTGACTGGTTCGTCCATCAATTAGTCTCGCCTATAAAAACTAGAATACGAGCGCAGTGTACTAAAGGACAACATCAACATGATATTATGGATTGGCGCAAGCTCATCCTAATAGTGACAATCAACGGCAATGATCCTTGACGCGGATACGCTCCCCTTGATTCGCGTATAAATTGTAAATAGGAATGAGAATGCACAAAAATTTACCAGCTCTACACTACGCTGGCAACATTAACCTAAGGAGATATTTCCCTGAGATGATCAGTAAATATTTTAACAGACACTAACACTAGTATAATAAGTAGAAATGGATCAAGAAAGAAATATCACTATAGATACGAAAGATTCTTAACTGTTTGAACTACCCACCATTAGTACAAGCTCATACCAAGCGCTCTGGTTAGTTACGCTAATTTTTGATTCTGACAAACAAAATAGTTTCAAATATTTCTGAACTAAATGAAAGAAACTTGAGCTTAACGGCCTTTAGTATACAGTAATAGTAAATCGACGATGCCTCAAGATAAGAGCGTGCGTATTCTCAACCATAAAAAAGGAGAAATATTCACATGGTTCAAATGGTTGAGGACGGAATAGAAGAAGCTTTCGCTTAACGGACTTCCGTGTCTGGTAGCAGTGGATCAACAATACCTCCAGGCAAGAACCTATGTATATGAACGATAATAGAGGGGAAAAAAGAATTTGGTAAATCATAATATGTTATCCTTAGTCCTTTAGAATAAGTCAAATTTCCTCTTAAAGGACTCCAGAGAGGTCTCTTGGACTTAATCAGTCGGCAGCAAATTCCAGTACTTGATAACTCTAACGGAGTAGAAGTTGTGCCTGCAGTCTGTTCTGCTATGTAGGGTCTCCAATTTCTGGGTGTTACCTCTCAGGTTAGTGTTATGACTAAACTCAAGATGTTTACGGGGATGACCAGAAGTATTAAGGATACTATAAGTCATAAGAAGATCACCTCTAAGACGCTTATACTCTAATGGGTAAAGGTTAAGTGATTTGAGGCGCTCTTCATAAGGTTTGAATTTGAGTCCCTGGACTGACTTCGTGGCTCGACGTTGTATACGTTCCAGAGTATCCTTATCCTTTTGGAGGGAGGAAGGAAATACTATGTTTCCGTACTCTAAATGGGGACGAATAAAACTGTTGAAGATTATATGGAAGGTTCTACCGTTAAACTGGCCCAAAATGCGCTTCAATGTTACCAGTGCAAGGTTTGCTTGAGAGGCGTTTTTGTCACAGTTCGCATACGATTTCAGGTGTAGTGGATGTCGAGTCGAAGACGGACTATGATCACCACTACAATTCGCTTACGCGCCCAAAAAACGACTTGGTTTCTTTGATAGCTCGTAAATCAGAAGACTTTATTAATCCAGATCAATTGTATTTATTGGCGATCTCGTGGTATCGAAATAATACCGAGACGTGCCAAAGAGTACAGGCGAACAGGCAGTGCGTGAGCAAGTTCGAACCAAACAAGGCGGAGAGCGAAAGCAGAAGTGAAACTGATACAGTTAAACAAATACAGTAAAACAATCTCTGGTACAATTGGTTACAATAATAATAATTGTTTCCGTTATTCCAACCGTGTTCTTATCGAGACTGGCCGGTCACTACACAGGTCGTAGGGTACCAACACTCCTAAATCTTTTTCAACTTGGGAAACTTCTAGAGGTGAACTACCTAAGTTATAACTATAGTCTGCAACATGTCTCAGATGAACTACCTTGCACTTTGAAGTGTTGAAGGTAAGTCCGTTGTCGTCTGCCCAACTTTGAAGTCGGGTCAAATCCTCCTGAAGAACTAGAATATCATTATGACTACGTATCTCTCTCCAAAGTTTCGCATCATCAGCAAAAAGCAATAAGTCAGATGAAACTTGTTGAGGAAGATCGTTAATATAAATGAAGAAGAGGAGAGGTCCTAGTATTGAGCCCTGGGGGACCCCACTAGGACATCCATAGCCTGAGAGAGAGTGAAGTTAACCTTGACCTTAAAGTGTCGGTTTTCTAAATATGAAGAGAGCCAATTAATCAAAGGGGGTTTTATACCCAATCGTCCAAGCTTCTTGATAAGAAATGCATGGTTGACCCTATCAAAAGCTTTTGAGAAGTCCAGGTAGATGACGTCAACCTACAGCTTTACTACAGCTACAGCTTTACTTAAATAAAAATGAAGTCCAGACATTTCAATCACTACACTATCTAGGAATTAAATACACAAGAAACCTAAACTTTGAAGCACACTCCTACACTATTATTTCTAAAGCTAGACGAATAATTGGTTTATTAACGATAAATTTCTTCACAACAGAGGCTAAGCTTACCCTTTACAAAATATGTGTACGATCTTTCCTTGAATGCTGCTCTTTATGTTCTCTAATATGAATATCCTAGACAAAATAAGAGCAGAAGATGTTCGAAGACGCTCCACACGCCAAATGCTAGGAAGTGACTCCATTCTTGATTACATAGGTAGATGTATGCACCTCTTTTTAGAACCTTTATGAGACCGTAGGCAAAGGAACAGTCTGATATTTCTGTACGAAGCAGTAAATGAACTCTCATCCCTAAACGTCTGCTTAACTATAATTCATGACCCAGCCTATAGACTAAGAAACAACGCATTATTTACCGTAAAACACCAAAAACAAATGCATTGTAAGTTTTTTACAGTGCGGTATACTTCATTATGGAACAGGCTGCCAATACCTATCCGTAACTGTGACACTTTCGCCAAATTCAAAAGGCTAATAACCTTGTTACTAGACTCTAAAGAGCTTCATCACCTAATTGCTGAAATCCCGTCCACCAATGAGGCACTTTATTATGAACCGCCTAATATCTAGACAGAACAAAAATATAACGGACCCCGTTGTTGTTAATATAAATATAACCAAGCCACAGAAAACATGCTTTATCCTCTCCCACCATTCATTGATTATTATTCATGGCCTTTCGCCCCTAACCTTCACTTTCACATTCCGAACCTCTTTAATGGTTGAAGATTTATTCTTCATCCAAAGTGTCATGTCTTCTTTTCTATCACTAATCTTATGGATGCTGATCAACTATGGTCGATCGAAAGAAGCTCAAAATGTCCCTAATTCTTATGAGTAGCTCTATTTTTTCATATCCCTTGATTTGTTATTAGTTCATACCATCTCTTAGCCACACATGATCTGACCTGTCTCTTATAGTTTATACCATTAGTTATCTTCATAGCAGTATGATATACTAGATGGATGTTTAACCTGTAATACAAATGCTTTAGCCATCTGATTTGCTTGTAACATGGAACTAGCACAGATAGTGTATTCCAACTATGGGCCTTGCATAAAGCAATGTATATACTTGCCATAAAGGTAAGAGAGACTAACATCACAAAAGGAGGTAGGGCGGCGGTACTGACCAGCGAATATGATGGCGGAGAGATAACTTCAACCCACCCGTGTATGTAGGGCAGAACATTTTGTTAAATTACAGCTCATTATGTCAAGTGGGATGTCACGAACCAACAGTATTAATGCCTATTTATTTATGAAAAATACCCTACCAAATTGTGTTTATTATGCTGAGTTGGTCTCACTTCCTACCAAGTAATCCCATCATGAGCAAACTAGACAATTCGTTAAAACCGAAGTTTGCTCAAGATTCCATAGATTAAAAAAAAGGCTCAAATGGCTTCAACAAAGAAGGGAGATAGCCATTTATGTATCAAAATAATGTTTTCAGTATTATATTTTATAGTTACACATAATCCTATTTTTTTAGCTTCTTTATGAACCACCTTCATTTATACAGTTACTTATCCACTCATACCTTGTTTACACTTATTTTCTTTAACATATTAGAATGCTCTTGTATGATAATCAGAAGTATTTGAATTGTAGTATAAACTAGTAATCCCAGGAATAACGCAATTTAATCAAGAAGTACAAGAGGAGCACAAACGAATGTATTGTATTTGGAATTCAAAATTACAACCTTTATCAATACGAAGAAGTCATTGATTTATTTAAACATCACATTCGCCACAGCTCGAATCGGAGTGTGAGTGTCTGTAATCGATTGTTCGTCTTCTTCTTAAGTTCATCTTACATGTGTCCGATGATGTATTGGATGTACACTCTGTATTATCTAAAATGCACTCATTAGTATTAGAATTAACAGCGAAAATTGGAACAGACTAACATGGGTTCTGGAATTGTATACAATCAGCATGTCGGTTGTTTAGTGAAACCATTGATATTTAGAATTTGCATCATATACTTTCCAACAATGTCCTCCCCCACGAAATAATGTTGGGTCTTTACGTCGCAATGTTTTAGCCAATATGACGTTCCCAATTTGCAGTATCTTCTCAAATCTCACGTATCGCCTACTGTATGTGAGTATTTGGGGATAAACACTGATATATAATTTGAGGTATTCCATCATGTGACTTTGACTTGAATAAAAATCATGGTACATATTCTTTTTGTTATTCATATTAGAATACACAGATGGATATGCATTGATATATGTAATTAACACATGTGATTCAACTAGGCTTGATTTACCTGCGAAACAATCGAATAGAAAACATTCATCTGTCTCATATTCGTTAGGATAATCTTGGACTTGATTTGGATTCTCTGTCTGTGCAAACTTCACTTCTGGGCAAGCTGGTTATTTGATTATTTCGGTAAATTTTGCTATCTCCTCTGATTCATTATACCACTGACTAGGGATTTTATTCAACATACATTGTTCGTGAGAGTATCCAATATCTAATACAATAACATCAGAAATATGACTACAATTCGACTCATTGGGAACATATTTCTCACATTCATTAGGAATATCATTAGAGATAAATTGATTGTGAGGACCACTGACACTTGATATGATATCATAATTCGATTCTTCTGAAATATTTTCCTCAAATTGATTAAGAGTTTCATTAGAGAATAATGGATCATCAGAGAATTCAGCATCTACCAAAACTGAATTTGGTTTTTGATCATGATGTAACTCATTTAGCATTCTATTCTCAGAGTCGTAATAAATTCCATCAGAAGTATGTGAATTATTACGACAAACCATATCTGGTACAATGACATGAGAAATTTGATAAGTTTGTTGACTAAAAATTTTTGTCGCACAATGATTCTGGGTTTCATTCAACTCTGAACTGTTATGTGACGTTGTAGGGTCACTGAATATCGAACAGATCACTGATCCCTGTCAAGGTCAAGGATAGTCAACGCGCTCAAACCAATCATACGCCATGGACTGGCCCACGCTGCAGTGGTTATTCTTTCACTTATGTACTTCCATAGTTGTACCTTAACTAATATATTCTTGTAATAACGTCCTTTGTGTTGTACAGTCTCCATAGCATCCATTATCCTTTGATGCGTCGATGGTTCAATCCACGTAAGGGCTGGTCGCGAGGTGTGACTTCAGCATTAGTTGGTTCGTCCCCATTCTCGTCTAACTATAGTAGGCCCCCGATCACTTTGACATAGATCATCAACGTAGATGGTCTACAACGTTATACCACTTATAGATAAAGATAAATGATCATTAGAAACATCCATCTTAGTATTAGTTTCAGCGAAATGAACCATGGTATTACAAACTGACTGAATATGTCCAGTTACACCACATTTAAAGCACTTAGAATTACGAAGTACACATGAATTACATGGGTAAAACTTGCCACGTCTGGTACGATAAGGCGAAATTCATTCAGAACCCTGTCTGCATCCCGGATACTCAGATAGGTGGATGTCATTAAATGCATTAGTATCCTGTTAACCTTCTATTTGCGACTCAAAGGCTTTGGACAGGGCAAATCGACGGTAGAACATTCTATAATAAATTTGTTAGCGTATGAACTTCAAACACGTACCATTATCTTCCAGAAGCCCTTCATTGGTACAGCTTGTGGAAGGTAATACAGTTGAAGGAATCTCATGACAATTATTTTCTCTGTCAACTGACATAGTTTATACATATATAGTTGCTAAAGTCAGTTACCTGTAGTTGTGCTTTCATTAGCAAAGTTACTAAACGAAAGCAAGTCATGTCTCCTCAGAAAATCGTTACGTAATTTATTCCAACGTCTGTTATAAGTAGTTCTATGACATCCGAGGACTCTTGACAAGTTCACGGTTGCCCTACGTCTACGAGCTCTATCACTGAATTCGCATAAACTCATGTTATTAGACTAACAACATAAACAGTTAGAAGTAACTAAAAACACAGAGCACGTCACTCACTTGTATCGTGTAAATAATTTGTGATGGCGGCCAACCATGTCGGAACACCTTAGCTAAACAACAGAGAAAGTAAGTACAAACGCATCACATACAAAAGCCTGTGTCCGTATTTTATTGCATGAGTAATAATGATGAAATTCATAAATTTCATGTAATAATTCGTTATTTTTGACATACTCAGCAAAATGTTGTTCCTAATTGCGGTTCATTCAAATGTTATACGTTACGACAAATTGTCTACAAATATCCCCCAAATATACGACGTAAGGGGGAAAAAGCGACTTTTCCCCTAAATAACCGACGTGCAGGCGAAAAAGCGACATTTCCCCTTTATTTACGCTTTCGTCCGCTTTATTTCCCCTTTGTTCGCCTTTATTTCCCCTCTTGCAAAATAGTACTCCCCTTTCTTTTTCTTACACCCTTTTTCATATGCCTTGAGATATGGCATCGAAAATGGATATGGAACGGGTGACTTCGTCTTGTACCGTCATTAAAGCCTCAGATATTCCAGAGGGATATATGGTTGAGGTTTCTAGAAGCCCCCAACTTCACATAGATCTGTTCTCGACCATTAGTTGCATGTCGCAACACAGCGTTCGTAAAGCGCGTCAATTGTGATATTGACAATACTTTTCTTACTAAAACAGTCTGCACCCATATCTTATAAAATATCAACCCAGCTGTGTAATTTGCTACAGTGAAAATCGTGACTTCTGTAACAATTTGATCTTGCCTGTAAACTGGCATGGTTCATGTAACACAAAGTGTTATTTCAGAATACACTATTAATATTACGTATTTTTTGGCGATCTCTTGGTATCGAAAAAATACCGTGATCGTGCCAACATCCACAAGCGCGACTACTGAGCGTACGACAGTTTGCGCAAAGTCACAAACAACGGAAGAGTTCGTTTTTGATACACTTAAACAAAAGGGTACATTAAAACAATCTCTAGTACGGCTGGTTATAATAATAATTGTTTTCATTATGCCAATCAAGTTGAAGATGCCACAGGTATTTGGAGTTTGACAACGCTTTAACCAGTAACACCTTCTATTATGAATCGTACCCACAAGTGTAATCACAAGTGAGAAGCGAGGAAGCTGGAAGATGTATTTGATAGATTATCAATATATCGAGAAGTGACTGATCTAAACTGGCTAGTGATCGCAGGAGACGTTGAGCACGCCGTTTCAAACCGTGATCTGGTGTGGATTCATGATCGTGCGCCTTCATCTAGGTGAGTCCATTAAAACTAATGTGGTCAACATTCATTGTCAAACACTTACAGAGCTATTGATTTTAGGGGATTTATTTACCATTACATATCACTCACACCTGGTGGGATAGTGGTCACCCTACGACGTGGCCAGCCAGAAGTTTAAACCCAACGAGTTTGTCGTTGGTAAACACTCTTCTGATCGCTTGCTATGTTTAGCGGTGTCTGTCCGTGTTTCCTTACTATAAGGGTCATGAAGTGCAACACAGTAATAAGGAAACAAAGTTCACTCAAAGTTTCGGTTCCTCGTGAACTTCATCTTTATTCATTTAATAATATGATATAAAAATCTACTACTCATAGTTTTAGAAATGAATGCATTTTTCAGAAAAAGCTTATTCACAGAACCACATTTGTATAATATTTTACAAGAAAAATGACTGTGAACTAAATCCCCATCTTCATGCACATCTTATTCAGGTCTTATGAATTGTACATAAATTACTGAATACATATATAAAGAGGTAAAATAAAATGAAAGGAAATAAGAATCATGGTTAAAATTTGAAACAGAATGTAATCGACTTAATTATTTGAACCTCATCACATACAATCTTTCTATGTGTATGTCAATGAAGTTTCGAATTACGTAGATTCAGATATCAGCTCGCTGTAACCTTAAATATTTGATAAATCACTCTGTAGTTCTTTGGACATCAAAGTGTCATAATTAACGTAAATATTTTCATTAATACTTTGAATAGTTGTAAATGGACTTCCATTTCGATCTAGTGAGTTAAAATTACTATCATTCTGTTTTGTTTTATTTATAGTATAAGGTAATTCATAAGTATTTTCCATTTTCTGTGTATCCATCCGTGGATTTGAGTTATCGCCAAATGTGCTCAATTTAACAGGGGAGTGAGTACTTTTCGGAATATCGAATATTTTTTCATGTTTCATGTAAACTCGTGTACTTTTATGACTGTCATTATCACTGATAGTACTATTATAGGGGTAATTGGATAAATATGTGATTGCTGGATGTTGTGGAATATTTGGATGCCTAAAGTAAAAAGAAATTACATATTAAATATTGTTTGTTGAAGAATATATAAAATCAGTTATCATACAATTAGTCATCTAGTTATATTATAACTATAAAGAAAATATTTATCGATTGAGATAAATATAAATAACCATCAAACCTCAAATAAAAATTCATTTGGTATTGTTTGTTTGAATCTTCCCATCGATGTGTTAAGACTGCAACTGGTCAGTCTCTAATTGGCATATGTGCATACTGTGCGTATTGCCTCGATATAGTCTTAATTCACAAGCATGGTAAGCAGAGATGGATTGTAGCTAGCAGTGGAATTCAGGACGCGCGTTTCGTCCTATTTTAGACTCGTCAGCTGGATGTACCTGCATCTCAGAGTTGATGTTCACTGTGGGAGTCGAACCCAGTAGCTTTCACTTCAAACTTCATTGCGTTATCCACTCGGCTACTGAGTCCTGATAGCCACTTGCTTGTGCGATCATACCTCAAATTAGTTGTAACTAATATGTTCATTCGTCGTTGAAGTTGGCTAAACCAATGTGTATCTCTTTGAGGTAATTATGTAAAAGCATTGAAACATTAAAATCAAACAAATGAATTAGGTAATCATCTTCACTCTCTTTCGAACTTTTTTCATGACCATTGAAAATGGCTACGGGTAAAAAGACTTTCTGAATAATATTTGATTTGCTTTCTGACTGATTAACAGTAACTATGATGTTCCAATAGTTGGTTAGGAAATAGCCAGACAAAGAATAATACTTTATGACTATCTAGAAACTAGTATAATTCATGATCAGAAGCTTAACTTCAAGAAACGTATTGTTTATATCTGGTTGTACTTAACAATAGATTTCAGGGTAACCGTTCCTGTTTACTTGGCACTTGTTTTCTGCTTTTAATTATTCATATTGGCGTTTTAACAGATATTCTAAACTGCTATGTAGCTCTACAAATTGATGGTCTTTATTTCAACGTCGTTGTAAAAAGAATTATAATATAGAATGCTAACATACTAAAGCTGACGAGATCAACTGAGAAACTTATTTTTATATATTACAACAATGCTTCGTCATTCAATGAAGATTATCTTATGTTCTGAAAATATTTTTATGAAGTTATGAAGGTTAACTAATACATATGTGTGGCATCAAGTATATTGAAAAAATGTATAGTTGTATGTTCATTTAAATCACTATACGTATCCAAAAGTTTAAAGCAATTAGTCCCTTTGATAAATTTCGATAGTGTCACAAGAAGACGAAGATTATCAGAACTATATAATCATATAAATTCAATTAGTAATGTTTGTTTGAATCTTCCCATCGATGTGTTAGGACTGCGACTGGTCAGTCTCTAATTGGCATATATGCATACTGTGCATATTGCCTCGATATAGTCTTAATTAACAAGCATGGTAAGCAGAGATGGATTGTAGCTAGCAGTGGAATTCAGGACGCGCGTTTCGTCCTATTTTAGACTCGTCAGCTGGATGTACCTGCATCTCAGAGTTGATGTTCACTGTGGGAGTCGAACTCAGTAGCTTTCGCTTCAAACTTCATTGCGTTATCCACTCGGCCACTGAGTCCTGATAAAGATATATTAGCGCAATACATTTCGAACAATCTGATCACACATATACTTGTTAAGAACATTTATATATAAAAATAAAAGGTCAACTAGACTGGAAATGGGTGGTAGGAGTAGACAAGGATAATAATAATAAAAAATAATGTGAAAACAATTAGAAACCTAATCACTCTAGATAATAAGTTAATATTACCAGCGTAAGTTTAAGGTGAGGACAAACTGTTTTTGAATACACAAATGGGGTTTGAATTTTCATATGGCTAAGGCTTCAATAAACCTTAGTATACGTCCTTTTACACTTTTATACAATATCACAAAAGCAGAGTTAAAATCAGTCTTATGTCCTGTTTCGATTATGTGTTTGGCAATAGAGAATGATGGATGTTTTAACTTATACTCTTATTGGGTCATTTGATTCTATTTGTTTCTGCAATGTATTGTGCTAATATATCACATAGTTCTGATAATCTTCGTCTTATTATTACAGTATCCAAAAGTATTTACTTCTCATAGAACATATATTTTCCAAGTTCATTTGTTATTCATAAAGTTTATATGAAAAGTTGAGCCAATAAACGGAAACTGATTTTGACGAGCAACAGATGAAACATAGAGTTCGTTTTTTCTTGAAGGGACTTCTTATCATGTAACTGTTCAATAGAAAATTATAATAAATTATTATTGCCATAATAACTTAGCTAATATAATGATCCGAGTAGTGTGGAGTTATATAATTCGTTAGACTATCATACGAAAGATGATTATTGATATTTTTGTATTTTTATATCTTTTTATTTCTAAGTTTTTGTTTAGTCCATAGGTCGTTCTCATACACTTTATTACTCTAGATGTATCACTAATTAGTTGTTTGCCGAAAACGCTGGTTTAATAGCACTTGGGGTTTCCAAATTGTACTTCTATGTGGTTATAATTGAATCAAAATATGACAGAGAACTAATGTGTTTTTACCTTCGTTTCCTAATTGGACGTTAACGTTAGAAGGAGCTCGAGGACAAATAAGCACTGAGATCTTGATTGATGTGTCAAACTGGTAAACAGAAGTTGGTTGGTATTACTGGCAACATAGGTGAATTAATAGATAAATGGACCAAATAGAGAGATAAAGAAATCATATAACTGCTCTCCTGTCATTACAGTCTGATCACATGGGTCGCAATACAACTCAAGGAATCTGATTTTTTTGTATAACATTTCCATATCTTCAAACATTCCTGTTTAGTTTTTTAATTTGCTTTCATTAGCTCCTATCATCCAACTAACTCTGTGTTCAAGATTAAGTTATGACTTTATTTAAATCTTATATTTTCCTGTTCGGATGGAATAATGTATTTCCTAACATTGTAATTCGAATATGTGCGAGTTTTCACTGTCATTATGTTTTTGTTTGTTATTTCGAATACATTTATTCAAATGCTGTGATTACGTGGAACAAAATGTCTTACCTAGACATATAACACAGCCAAACAAAGAATCCAATGACGAGAATAAGAAATATCACGAAAATAATAGAGAATGCTATTCCAAATATTCTACCTGCTGACCAACTCTGAAGAAAAAGAAATCAGTAAACATTTTAGTGGTAAAATAACTATTGAGAATATGGTAATAAAAAGCAGCAAGCATCAATCGACGTTGATGTATTTAGTAATGGCATCGAGAGAGAATTTACACAAATGGATCGATACTAGAGTAAGTTGCGTCTCTTTTAAATGTTTAAGATAGAGATACAGAGTTAGTAGTTGTTTGGTAGTTTCAAGCTAAAAGTTTTCACTTTCCTACATCTCTAGAACCGACAGTCACCTGTTCAGCTGATTGACTTAATATATTTTTGTGGTAGTGGATAACTGTTTCCTAAAATCTTTATAATTCAGCCTCCATAATTTGATGGATTCAGTTTCGGCTCAGCAAAATTTGTACGTGTCTCATCCTCGTCACCGTTTTCAGGTTCTTAACCTCACTGACTGGAGCTCTCTATTGAACCTCAATATTGGCTATATGATAGAAAACGTGAAAACACAAACTTCAAAGGCTAGGTTGACCACAACATTATAAACTAGTTAGTTGGGTAAAAATTCATTGACTGACATCAAACTATTAGGACTTCTTACTATACTATCAACTTACATAGCATTTAAAAATAACACTCCATCAATAATGAGTTTGTGTCCATCAACTTGTGAACTTCCTTCTTAAAAATGTGCAATTAATTAAGCTTATGAGTATAAGTCTGTTTACTGGTTTTTACGTTGATATTCAGATCATTCGCTTTGTGTTTGTTATTAGACGATTGAGGATATTCAGTAGGGTGCTCTAGATTTTTGATTGCGGCTTCTGATATTTAACATTAGAAAGTATCTAGAGCCTTATTTGATTTATGAAATTAGTGTATTCTATGACGCTACAACGTGGACTCGGATGAAACTTTATGGTAACTAAAATCGAATTGAAAGCCGCAGATCTTCAGTGATACGGAGTTATTAGGCCATTAATCAGGTAATAAGTTTCCGTTGTCGGTTGGTCGACACAGTTCCAGTTATTTAAACTAATTAGTTAAAACTTTTGACACAGTTTCTTATTATAAGTCGAATCTATATAAAGAATACTATGAAATAAAACGCCTATATCTATGTTCATTGCTTATGGTTTGTCTTTCAAAAAACCTTTGTGACTATTTCGATTGTTTCTCATGTACATAAATATAGTTAAATTGTTTTATTGATTGAGCTGGAGCTTCAGTTGATAAATAATGTTTATTCTGCTTAAAGTTACAAGATGAGTGGAACTAAAAAATGTTTAAAATATAATAGTCTGGAAATCAACGCTAGCAAATAGAAGTACCTGTAACTAAACAAATATATGAAAGTATAATTTGAAAGCTGCAATTTTCACTCACTTTATTTAATTCACAAAAATATCCATCCCATTCTGGTGGACAAGAACATCGTGGACTGGAATAACCAGGATGAATTATACAAACTCCACCATTTAAACAAAAGCGACTTGTCAAGCGCGTAGTTGAAAGCCTGTACTTTTCGTTTTCCGATATACAATCAATAACTGGTTCCGTACAAAATTGTCCACTCCAGTTATCCGGGCAGCTACATATAGTTTCATCGTCATCATCATTGGTTCCTTGATTGGTATGTATGAACCCTTCAGCATTGTTATCCCCTATAAGTTCACGTAATAGCGTACAACGACCACCATTCTTACATGGCGACTTTTCGCAAGAATAGTAAACTGAATGACATTCGGGGCCTGAGTAAAAGCATTTCAATGTAAAAACATAGGAATTTATGGAACGTTTGTTTTATATTACTCTATAACTGTCAGTAGTATGATTTGAATGGAGCAAAGTAATTACAACGATGGGAATTTTCCAGTGGTCGACATCTGAACTTATGATGGTTTTCCTGACTACAAAAAATGATTAAGCTTAATATTTTTTTTATAGTCATTGGTTTTGACTCTAAATGTTACTGAATTGCAACTTTTTTTATTAATTTGAAAGATAGTTGTCTAAATGTCCTAGAACCAGGTTTGACGAGACCTAACAAGTGAACAAATTAACATCATCTAAGATACTGATACTTTTGAAACACAATTTAGTTCTTCCAGCAAACCTTTCAGTTACATTGTTGTTCATCCGTTCAAATCACTGATAAAGGTTTTTCAGTGAATGAGTTTCAGCATTTGAATTGTTTCAAAGAATTCAAATTCCCACTGAACCATCTCCATTGTCGATAATGTTACACCGAATTTAAAATCATTATTCAGTGCTATATGAAAAATGCCTCACATAATAAAGAAAATTAAGTCACGTTCTAAAATTCTGGTTTCCGTTTGATATACACACCTCGAAATCTCTAATTAAAAGTTGAAAATAATTAGGATTTCTTGGGAATTTTAACAAATCAAAAAGCTAATGATATGTATTTGTAGTCTGTGAATGGTTTTTCATTGCTAATATATTCATAAGTATAACTTCGATTCATGTAAATAATGGTTCGAATAAAAATGATTAGTTAGGAACCTGTATATTATTCCAAGTCAGTAACATTTAATTAAGACATTCGAAGCTTCCAGAGCCATACGTTATTAAATTATAGATGAGGTCACGACTAATGGTAGGGATAGGAAACAATGAAAGTAGACGAGGAATATGGATTAATTGAGGATAATCTAATAATAATATTTCTTAGAAATGTTAGTAGAGATGACATAGTAATATACAAGTATACAACTTGACTTCCTAATTATTGGTTCCAAAATATAAAGAAAATTTACCTTCATAGTTTTTACAAATGCATTTTCGACGATGTTCCCTCGGCAAATTTTTGCAGCGTGTATTTTTGGGGCAAGGATGTATTTTGCAGTAGTCAATAATGTCACAGTTGACACCATATCTACCTGAAACAAATATATAACTATGAATATTACTCAAATATACTGGTGAAAGTAAAGATTAGATTTAAGAAGAACATTTGGGGAGTTCAGCTTTTTTGTAATTTGTTTAGTTAGAATATAGCCAGTTATTTTTGTGGGATAAAATTGTATATTTGTCACACAATTCAATTACAGGGAGCTACCTTTTTGGACAAAAAGGTAAGCTAAAATACAACATATTGTTTCACATGAACTGTAAGATCGCAGCTGATTACTTACATGATTTCATTTTACATGAAAAAACTACAAAACAAAATGCTTGTACTTTAGTAAGAGGGCTGTGATTTATGCATATCATGAAATAGACATTAAATTCTACGTCAGTGAACTATTCATCAATTGACCGTCTAGTTTTTGAAATTAAGAGTATTCATAAGTACGGTTACTAATTAATTTACTACTGACTAGATTATACATCTGGTTTTTATATGAAAGATAAATTGGCCATAGCTTGCATTTCAGTTTATTAAGCATTCAGTCTACTGTCATCGACATATCATTGAAGGTCTCCGCGAAAATCAATGAAACACTAATTCTATCTACTTCTGATAGGGTTAATTAGGGGAAAAAAGATGTAGTTCGACGTAATAAGTAGTAATATATCACCAAAATAGAGCTAACGGGAATGCTAGGTAAATCTTTTTACATTTTGTCAGATAACTAGCTCTAAGGTATATGTTGAAAACATCCTTAGTTGGTTATATCGGTTTCGGACTATTTAAGAATACTTTAGCCTAATGTGCTCTATTATATGAAATAAATGTCACCCAAATAAATTTCAAGTGTAATAAAGACTAAAATGTAATGGTGTATGACACGATCTTGATTGGTGTGATTAAGTGACTTAAATGTCGAGTAAGATATTCTTATTTTTAATCCCAAACGATGATTGAATAAATATCTTTAGATTAAATTATCTAAAAAGTTTAAAAACGTGGTATACACTTTCTCATGCACAACTCTAACAAACTTTTGACGTAGAGCATGTTATCAGTTAGTCGGTGAACTTCATATCTAACTAGTTAAGTATAAAGATATTTATCTTTAAAAGATTGGATATCAGTATCACTTTTAATTACCCTAAATTGAGAAAAAGGATGTAATAAAATTTTTAAATTTTAGGACTATTCAATAGCAGTGTTCTGTTAGCACCTTTGCTTTCCCTTCATTCGTTATTCTTTTTTACTACTTAATAGTATTCAGTAACCATATCCATTTTCAATCATTTTATGGCGCGTAACCCTCCATTGTTGTTATTCTGCATCTCTCAGTCTTTACACGAAATTGCAGCATTCAGCTTATTTAATAGTGTCATTACAACTTATTACCGTTTGTAACAACTAACTTCAATTCACAGGAAATCTTTGAGGCTTTATTTATTTGTAGCAGCTTACGTTTTTGTTTTTACAATGCCTGTTTCAGTTGATGTAATTTTATACATGGCTCATAGCCGTCATATAGACTCTCACATGTTATGGAAGTAACCATTAAATAAGTATGCCATGAAAGATTTTACCTTTAATTGTTTATTGATATAACAAACTCCTCAGAAATCATACGAATTGAAGTTTGTATTAATATGAAGATACATTTGGAAAAGAGTTACCGTATTATTCTAAACAATATACCTTGTTTAGAATTTTTTTAATTTTATCCATAACTCATTTGCTTTATCAAAGCTTCGATAGAATTAATAAATATTCAACATAAAAACAAAGCCTTTTAAAATTCATTTAGTATTGATTATTTGAATCTTCCCATTGATGTGGATATCAGGACTCAGCGGCCGAGTGGATAACGCAATGAAGTTTGAAGCGAAAGCTACTGGGTTCGAGTCCCAGAGTGAACATCAACTCTGAGATGCAGGTAAATCCAGCTGACGAGTCATAAATAGAACGAATCGTGCGTCCTGAATTCCACTGCTAGCCACTATCCATCTTTGCTTATCAAAGCCTTTTAAAGTTTTTAGTTAAAAATTTCAGTATATGGAATAATTTCAAACTAAGAAATTGCATTTGAAAATCTTACCATGCAAACAAATTTTTCGTCCGTTCTCATCACAGTCGTATGCCCATGGATGGGGTGAACAGAATAGATCACATTTATTTCCATAGTAATTTGAATTACATGTTAGGCTTATCGATAAGCTAAGACTTGAACAGATAGAAACATATCATTTAAATTAGTATCACATTTGCAGAAAATGCTAGACGAATTTTTACATTTGGTTCTAAATATTGAAGAATATAAGTCATATTATTGCCTATCAAAGAGTAGTATGGTGAAACGTATCAAATAGTGATGGAAGAACTTTTAATATTAGTTACCTGACAATTTCGCTACTTTATCGGATACGTAAAGCTGATAATTATGTGAAATTATTTGCGAAGGTCATACGTACTTAGAAAATTACCACTATTAGCCTATAAGGTTTGTTATGGTCGTTCATTTTACGATAGGTTGTAAATAATCAGTTACATGATTATGTTAAATACAAACATATACGAGTTTGATAAGGGTTGGAAAATTTCTTAAGATAGGATAACTTTTATTTCTGGATTGAGCACATACATTGGTAACGATTGCCTATTTCACGAGGAAACTAAACTCAATGATATGTTCCATGAGATTCGGAGGCTAAAATTCTATTGTAAGCAAGGGATAAATGTTTATTTGTTTTAAATATGTAGAATGACGTCAAAAAAAGCCAGCAAATGATTCTCGTTTTATAGTGCTATTTCAGTAAATGTTACAAAAAGAACTTGGATACCACACTACAGATCTGTTTAAATATTTCCGTTTATTGACCAAGTGCAGTGAAGATAATATAGGTTACAGAACTGTTGTGACTGGTACTATGTCAAGCTCACATGGATTATTCTAGCTTCTGGACAGACCAATGTATTCACTCTGCTCAAGCCACATTTTGACCTTGTCAGTTATTCACTCATTAGTGCTGACTGATTTTATACGGTAGTATGTGTATTAATTGCATACCGCATTCACTAGGTATCTGTAACTTATTTTTGTTTGATTATAAATATTGACTCACGTTTGATCAAAATGAGTTGGCTCACTCGCCTTCTCCTCTTTTTGTTACTTCATTTCTTGGATTGATTGTTCAGATTAACGAGTATATGAAATATACGTGCTCAAAACTTCAATCTCATACTTGGCTTATTTTATTCCGTTGTTCTCCTACGTGAATGAAGTCGATAAAAGTATACGGGGATTGGCAGTATGTATATTTTGATAACAAACATCCTACGATGTAACTGTAGTCAGATACAGGGCCACTAAAGGACGTCTGTTTTAGTTATTTCACGATTATATTGACACACAAAAGATGTTTTACTTCACGATGTACTAAAAAGGGATAACTTTAAATTATACAGTCGCTAAATGATTGGTGGACATTCTGTAACTAGTTAGAAATCATAACAGTAGAGGTAGGATAATTCGTTTGATTTCGTTAATCCAGAGTATTTGGATGTACTTTTCTCTTTATATTTGTTCCTATCATAGAGGTAAAAGTACTAAAAATAACCTTGAGATTGTTATTTCAAAGGAAGATCTGAAAGAACTAATTTCATTTGTCATATTCAACTTGGAATTTAGATTTACGCTTGTGTGTGTTGACATTTCAACAGTTTGCAATGAAATCATCACTTTTCTCTTTTATCAAACTGTTTTAGAACAAATCCGACTACCATACTAGATAGTTATGTAAAGGTGAATCACATTCATTTCATAGCTTCTTATTTAAACATTTGTCCCATTATAGTCAACTTCCCCGCCAGAATCATCATTCCAACTTACCCTCAAAGTTGATTGAATCGGTCTGAATTGAGATGCAATCAGAAATTTATGCACAGTATAAGTTTCATCAATCTATCATTTTAAGACTGACTTTTGTATTTTCATTCTATATATTCATTTGTTATGGTTCTAAACCCTCTCTAAATTTCTGTATAGTTATTAACATGTGTTCATTTATTTTGTTACTTTCAACAAGGAAATGATCTTCCACACTTCTTTTCAGTATGTTAGTTTTACTTCACTTTTTAACCTTTAACTAAAAAGTCACTTATGTTGTATACTTTGTTAAAAAAACTTCGATAAAACTGTGGTCGTTTTGTAATAACACATGATTTTTCTATTGTATGTAAGATAAACATAGATACATTGATGTAGCATTGGTGAATAACGAAGTAAATCTTTTTCTTTACTGAACTCTTCTTATTCATCTTGAAATAAATTATTACAGAAAATGTTGACTTACCTGAAAGAGTCACTGATATGACTGTAATTTAATGGGATTGTTTGAAATACGTTGGTTTTTTCTGGCTGATACAGTCCTGTAGCGACGGTAATTAAATCATGTTCACCCAAAGCATCGTCGTCGTAGACATAAAGTTCTAAGCGATATTTTTCCTAAAAAATGAGCAGTGATACGTGATTTTCATCTTATTAAAAAGCCTATTCTGCTATATTAGAAGTTAAATATTAATCGTTACAGGAAATATCCACATGTTTACTGCCTACAAGATTGTGTCCAACCATATGCCCAATTTTGTTATTGCTAAAAATAGACTATTGGTCAAGAAATAAAATGTGGCTCCCATCGTACTAAGTAGTTAAATGTTATATACCAAATTTAGCGATAAATATTTTTGGGAGGGAAATTCAAAAGTGCTAGGTAACCTACATGAACAATAAAATGAATTTCCTTAGTAGACTTTTGACAGAATTGATGGATTAAGCTAATTGTACTAACAAGAGGAAAGAACTGGAAAGGATTGTCCAGGACAGGGTTGGATGGAGAATGCTGGTGGGCGGCCTATGCTCCTCTACGAGGAGTAACAGGAGTAAGTAAGTAAGTAAGACTAAATTCATTGATGGGGAGTGTATTTCATTTAAGGTCAATGGAGGTGATCAGCAAGTATTCCTTGACATAGTTTTCAGGTTATATGACACTACATTAAAGCATACTAGTAATAGAAAGGCATTTAATACTCTATGTGTGTTTCGAACCCGGACCACGTAGATTAGTAGTATGAGTCGTTATCAGGGGAGAGGTTGACATGTTTAGGAACATGATACTTACATTGATTGAGTGTCTACTGGTGACCAATCCTGTGTTCTTCATTGTCTAGTGCTGGTCTAATTTCGTCATTCAAGTTACACTGTGGCTGCTTGGCAAGGTGGTTTTGTCTACTGAAGTAACAGGAAATGTTTCCATATAAAAATATAGGACCATTTATCATGTACTTAAACGACATTTCGTTAACTCATTTTATTTTGAAATAATCTATAACCTATGTAGAAAAAACTAGTGACCGGAAGATCAAGGAACACACTTTGCCGAGAATTGAAGCAGACACGAAAGGAATGAATAGCAGCTGTAAACAAGTGGAAAGGATTGGCCAGGACAGGGTTGGATGGATAATGCTGGTGGGCAGCCTATGCGGGGTAACAGGCGTAAGTACTTTAACAGAAGCCGATGTTACATTGGCTTTCTTAGTCTGCATGTGTTGGTGCTTTTGTGTTATTGAGGCCAGATCATCTGCAAAGACTGAATCATCTAGCTCCGCTTCGAAGTGTCCCCTGTATTCAGTGCTTCCCCTCAGACGTGATAGTCTTTATAATCCAATCAACAACCAGAATAAAAAGAAGAGGTGAAAATAGGCAGTCTTTACTGACACTGATAATCACACAGAGGGCATCTATGAGCTCCCCTACATGCATGACTTCACGATCCAATACATTCGTCGTAGTTTCATAGGGTGTTGAAGATCTTTTCAGGTCCTCCGTAGGGTTGAAGAAGATTTCACGTGATTCTCCTATCCACTCCGTCGAATACTTTTCATAGTCAAGGAAGCTGATGTTTAGCGATTAGTTTGTAGGGGAATAATTCCTCTATATCTGACTCCAATAAATAAATAATATACCGCTAACTGAATATTTAATGCAGGCTAAATCTCCTAGTAGATTTATGGGTTTACTCGAGATTATTAAAAATCTTGAACACCAGTTATAGAGATAGTTTATTGATGAAGATTGGTAAAAATCCGCAAGCGTACAAATAGCAAGCACACAGGGAAAACAAGTGAGTGAATATGTGTGTGTGCATGTGTTAAAGAGTGTTAAGAATCCTTATATATTTATGAGTGTTAGTGAACTGTGGGTAAACTATTGATTGTCTTTGCTTACAACGAGTGAGAGAATCGATTAAAGATCGATGTTCGGACACATGCGCTCAATCAGACTGACAGATTAATTTACAAAGCGGATTAAATGTCTAAATTACAGAGAACACACAAATAACTCAATAGCTGAATGGGCTTGTTACAAGTTCTGTTCAATCGATTACTAAAAAAAATCGGAAGTTCTGCTATTTAGTTAGTATACAATCAATCTATATGGAAGTCAGATTGTTGATCCCGATGTTGGGCGTCTACTTAATTGTTTATCCAGATCAACAACATTGTTGAAAACGTTTCCCGGTACTGAAATTAATTTGATGCCACTGTAATTCCCACATTCGCTGAGATCTCCTTTCTTTGGTATCTTGACGAAGTATCCTTTTTTCCAGTCTATCAGAACTTATTCCTGTGACCAGATCTTCTTTAATAGAATGTGGAGCATATTTGCAGTTACTTTTATGTGTGACTTCAGTGCTTCAGCTGATATGTTGTCTGGTCCTTATGCTTTCCCGATCTCAGCTAACCTAGAATGGATTCAGGCGTACAACATGTTCAAGAGAAAAAAGCTTGGAACAATATTGTGCAGAGCAAATTATGAATAAGAACAATTAGTTTTGGAAGACAGTCATCAAACTTTGTGGTGTATGCTACTTATGTCGACCTAAGTAGTATATAACAACAGTCAAAATTGAAACGCCTGGCAGCAGAAGGTTGGGAAGATCGAATCGAAGAGAACGGAGACAGTGAGTAGTTGTAATAACAATGAAAGAATGATGAAGATTGAGAAAATTGGCGGAGGATTCGTAAAAGAAGTATTTAATATATGCTTTTCACATTTCACCAAAGAACTCCATAATTTCGTACCAAATTACGTTGGATATCCCCACCAACCTTCTAGTTCAATACGCATTTAAATAGGATTATAAAAATTTAGGTATTTATGGCCATTAACATCCTGTTGAGACCTGTTACCTTGCGTCTTAATGTTTAAAATCCTTTCAAGACTAAAATTTAACAAAAAAAAGCACAAAGTATTTCGATAAAAGAAACTTTAAGACAACTTACAGGTAATCTTTCATTTATTTTGGTAGATACTTTGAGGCGAAAATTTGCAGTGTCGGCCATAGACTTTGTTTTCACACGGAATAATTTCCGTCTAAATAGAATTGTAAAGCAAATTGTTTATCTCATCGTCATAACGTGGTAACTCATGTAAGCTATAACAGACTGAATATTATGATCGTAGCAATGATTTTTTCTATGTAAGAGGTCAACTTAATTGTGTTTCGGATAGCGGAAATAAGGATGTATGTTTCATCTTATTATTGACAGTTGAAAGTAGCTATTTCTTTTTTAAACTTTCTATTAACTTCGAATTACAGTGTTTATTCAATTTTCTTAAATCGCGAGATTATTATCATAATAATATCAGAGTGACAATTCAAATAATTTTACCCTATCGATTATAACTTATCACCTGACGAGACCATTTTCTTACCATAGAAAGTTATTGAAAGTAGTTATTCGTCTGAACAATCATTAAAGATACATCAAAGTCGAGTTTGATGGAAACCAATCACTAAACTTGTCATAGGTAAAATCTTCTCAGTCTAAATAAAGACATTAATTAAAAAAATCACGTTAGACAATAACAATTATTTATTCTAAGATTAGTTGAATTTTGACAAACTATGTATCGGTGTTACTTGAAAGCTGTGATTTTGTAGTGGATCATATTCGAGATGATCCTTAAGGCTTCGTATATCAGTCGTTCTAATAACCGTTACTAGTTAACTCTGAAAGGTGCATAAATTTCAGAGGACGATACGAAGCATTGACTGCGGTTTATTAATGTTCAGAGAAGATCACTAAGTTACAAACATTCAAGCAGAAATGCTGGTGCGAGAAAGTAAACACAGAGTCGAATGGATTGATATAACTTAAGCAAATATATATAGGAAAACGAAAGATTCACATTCACTTGATATTGTTTGCTTGAATCTTCCCATTGATGTTTAAGACTGCAATTGGTCAATTTCTTATTGACATATGTGCATACTGTGAGTATTGTCTCTATATAGCCTTAATTCACAAGCATTATAAGCAAAGATGGATAGTGGCTAGAAGTGGAATACAAGACGCGCGCCACTTCGTCCTATTTGGGACTCGTCATCTGGATGTACCTGTATCTCAATGTTGATGTTCACTCTAGGACTCAAATCCAGAGACGCTCGCTTCAGACGCTGTGGCATCAACCATTTAGCTATTGAATCCGAGTAACTACTGGTTTGTGTAATCGGATGAAAATGACACATTATGTTGATAAGATAAATTGGCTGTTTTCAATGCTAAATAAGTTAGTATTTTTTCAAAATGAAGAATTATACAATGTTTACCAAGTATGTTGGGATTTAATATAGTAAGCCGAATTTAATATGTAGCCAAACGAATGTAACTCCGCCTGTAGCTCTTCTAGAGTTACTGCCGGTCCCAAGCCCGGGTAAAGGAGGAGGGTTGGGCATGGGGTTAGCGACCCCATCCCGTAGAAAAGCTAACTCGCTAAAAAAACGCTAACCAGAAAAAATAATCCAAACCATTTAAACTCTGCCCTGGCAGTTGAAGGAATAATGACGTCTCATGATGAAAGCCGAAATTCTTCGGAAGTCACGAGACCGATGCACCTTCTAACAACCAGAGCAACACTCTTTATAGGTACATGGAACGTCCGGACAATGTGGGAAACAGGAAAGACCAGCCAAATAGCAATGGAAATGAGGAGATACAACTTGGCAGTACTCGGAATCAGCGAAACCCATTGGACACAAACTGGACAACAAAGGCTAGGTACAGGAGAGATGCTGCTGTACTCCGGTCACGAAGGGGAAAATGCGCCACACACTCATGGAGTTGCTCTAATGCTGTCCAGCGAAGCACGAAATGCACTTGTGGGATGGGAATCTCATGGACCCAGGATAATCAAAGCATCATTCAGAACAAAGAAGCAAGGGATCACAATGAATGTTATCCAATGTTATGCACCCACCAATGATAGCAACGACGATGATAAAGATCAGTTCTATGAAAGGCTGCAATCAATTATGGAGAAGTGCTCACGAAAGGACCTCACCATCTTGATGGGAGACCTAAATGCTTAAGTTGGAGTGGACAACACAGGATATGAAGATATAATTAGACGACATGGACTAGGAGAGAAAAATGAAAATGGGGAGAAACTTGCAAACCTATGTGCATTCAACAAATTGATTATAGGCGGAACAATATTCCCACACAAACGCATACACACAGCTACATGGATCTCACCGGACCACACCACAGAGAACCAGATTGATCACATCTGTATCAACAAAAAATTCCGAAGATCAATGGAAGATGTGAGAACCCGGAGAGGAGCTGACATAGCTTCAGATCACCACCTGGTTGTGGCCAAGATGAGACTGAAGCTAAAGAAAGACTGGACAACTGGACAAACAGCACTACAAAGGTTTAATACAGCCTTCCTTCGAGATACTGACAAACTCCATGAATTCAAGATAACTCTCAACAACAGGTTCCAAGCTCTACAGGATCTACTGAAAGAACAAGAAACTACTTTGGAGGACAACTGGAAAGGGATAAAAGAAGCACTAACTTCAACGTGTCAGGAGGTTCTTGGTCCTAAGAAGCACCATCACAAGGAATGGATCTCTATGGGGACCCTGGACAAACTTCAAGAAAGGAAGAACAAGAAACTAGCAATTAACAACAGCCGAACACGAGCAGAGAAAGTCAAAGCACAAGCAGACTACGCAGAAGCAAACAGAGAAGTGAAGAAAAGCATTAAAGCCGACAAGCAGAAATACATGGGAGAACTAGCAACGGCGGCGGAAAAAGCTGCAAGAGAAGGGAATATGAAACAACTATATGATACAACGAAGAAATTGGCAGGGAGATATAGCAAACCAGAGAGACCAGTCAAAGACAAAGAAGGAAAGACAATCACTGAGATTCAGGAACAGAGGAAAAGATGGGCAGAATACTTTGAGGAACTGCTGAATAGACCAGCCCCATCGAATCCACCGAACATCGAAGCAGCCCACACTGACCTTCCAATAGATGTCACTCCACCAACGATCGAAGAAGTCAAGATGGCCATCAGACAAATCAAAAGTGGGAAGGCGGCAGGACCTGACAATATACCAGCAGAAGCACTGAAGTCAGACATTGAAATAACTGCAAACATGCTTCACCTTCTATTCAAAAAGATTTGAGAAGAGGAACAAGTGCCAACGGACTGGAAAGAAGGATATCTCATCAAGATATCAAAGAAAGGAGATCTGAGCAAATGTGAGAACTACAGAGGCATCAGTTTGTTATCAGTACCAGGAAAAGTTTTCAACAGAGTGCTGCTGAATCGGATGAAAGACGCAGTATACGCCGAACTTAGGGATCATCAGGCTGGATTCCGTAAGGATCGGTCGTGCACAGACCAGATTGCGACACTACGGATCATCGTTGAACAATCAGTTGAGTGGAACTCATCATTACACGTCAACTTCATCGACTATGAGAAGGCGTTTGACAACGTGGATAGGAGAACATTGTGGAAACTTCTTCGACACTATGGAGTTCCTCAGAAGATCGTCAACATTATCCAAAACTCATACGATGGATTACAGTGCAAAGTGGTGCATGGAGGACAGCTGACAGATGCATTTCCAGTAAGGACCGGAGTCAGACAAGGCTGTCTACTCTCCCCATTTCTCTTCCTTCTAGTGATTGACTGGATTATGACGAATTCGACATCCGAAGGGAAATACGGAATACAATGGACAGCTCAGAATCAATTAGATGATTTGGACTTCGCAGATGACCTAGCCCTCCTCTCTCATACACACAACCAAATGCAGATGAAGACAGCAAATGTAGCAGCAGCCTCCGCATCGATAGGTCTCCACATTCACAAAGGAAAAAGCAAGATTCTCAAATGCAACACGGAGAACACCAACCCAATCACACTTGATGGCGAAACTCTGGAAGAGGTGGAAACATTCAAGTACCTGGGGAGCATCGTTGATAAACAAGGAGGACCGGATGCAGATGTAAAGGCAAGGATTGGCAAAGCAAGGGCAGCATTTCTACAATTGCAGAACATATGGAACTCAAAACAACTCTCAACCAATTTCAAGGTCAGAATCTTTAATACGAACGTCAAGACAGTCCTACTGTATGGAGCTGAAACGTGGAGAACTACTACGGCCATCATCAGGAAGGTACAAGTATTTATAAACAGTTGTCTACGCAAAATACTCAACATCCATTGGCCGGATACTATCAGCAACAGCGTTTTATGGGAGAGGACAAACCAGCTTCCATCTGAAGAGGAAATAAGGAAAAGACGTTGGAAGTGGATCGGACATACATTAAGGAAATCACCAATGTGCATCACGACTCAATCCCTAACTTGGAATCCGGAAGGGAAGCGGAAAAGAGGAAGGCCAAAGAACACACTACGCCGGGAAATAGAAGCCGATATGAAAAGGATGAATAGCAACTGGAAAGAACTGGAAAGGAAGGCTCAGGACAGAGTTGGATGGAGAATGCTGGTGAGCGGCCTATGCTCCTCGACGAGGGGTAACAGGCGTAAGTAAGTAAGTAAGCAAACGAATGTACTAGATTTTGATGGAGTTTTGTTCTCTGAGCTGGATGGTTTGGTCGTGGACCTTTCGTCGTCCTTCCGAACGACATCATCAGCAGAAACTACAGGTGGAAGTGATGTGTCCGAATTTCTCCACATGTGGTTCACAGCTTGTCCTGTACACCACGATGTTGATTGGTTCTTGTTGACTTTAAATCTGTCATTGTTTACTTCTTTGTTTTAGTTGTATCTCCAATCAACATCGTGGTGTACAGGACAAGCTGTGAACCACATGTGGAGAAATTCGGACACTTCACTTCCACCTGTAGTTTCTGCTGATGATGTCGTTCGGAAGGACGATGAAAGGTCCACGACCAAACCATCCAGCTCAGAGAACAAAACTCCATCAAAATCATCCACCTGAGCTACAAATCTTCTCTACCATCTCAGAATGCACTAGATCTAAGATCCCATAAAATAAAATGTAGCTATCAGATCAATACCAGTTTTTTTTAAATCATGAATTTCATTTGAACATAATTATTGTCTTTAAACGACTTCATGATAATACAATCCAATCCAGTTATGAAATATATAAATTCGAATATTTGAAAGCCCGCGAATTTCTTTCTCTTTTTAAAATTATTACCGAAATGAGTAAAATATGGGATAATGGTTCCTTTCGAAAAAAAACAAATTATTATATATGATTGAAATCATCAGTCAATTGAAGCTAAACCACCATGAAAAACCTGGAAGCATTGGACAGCGGTTTCGTCCTATTGTAGGACTCCTCAGCAAATTACCTTAATTTCTATAAACTAAATGATTTTACTACTCTAATTTACTACAATGATGCATAAATTAATGAATTACCCTGAATTATTAAAAGTTATCTCATACAATTCCAAAATCATATAAACATCACATTTACGTAATTGCCAATCACAATAAAATCCATTATATGTAGTTGATTCTGGATTTGTGTAATTAATTATTATTTCAAAATATCCACCAGGTAAATTTATCTACAAATAAATTAAAATATTAACCTGTCAATTATTATTATAATGATTATATTACTGATATTAATAATGTCTATAATAATTTTATTCACTAAGCAAATGAAATGTATGCCCTCAAGTGCCCTAGTACGGCCGAGAGTGGAGGGGGCCACCCTTTCTCTCGAAATGCTCACACACAGCCATGCGTATATAGCTTCTGCCAGGGAAGTCCTATTCACTGCCTTCTCGTGGCGGGGGTGTTGTTTACGAAATTGAAAAGACGAAAAGCGAATGTCCGGCGCTTTAACCGGGTTGGTGGATATGGAGTATCCACTTCGGGAAGTTGGAAAACCCTGATTCCAAACCAATGGCGCACATGAGCTTCAGGATCTTGAGGGAACAAATGGCGTATGAACCAATGATTGGTTACCGGCTACTATGGGATTGCATCTCTTTACGATGCTCCACAGCCCTGTAGATCAGATCTTTAGGTCATAGGCTCCGGGTGTGGTCCCCTAAGAAAACCACCTGCTTCAGTCTGGGCACCTGGGAAGTATCACAGCCCTCACACAAATGAAATGAGATTTGTGCGGCACATATATATATGGTGCCTCCTTGTACCAGTATTTATGTGTTCAAATAAATGAATAAATAAATGAAATGAATAATGATAATATTACACATCTAATTGTTGAAATTTATAAACAGATATTATTCTCTGAGTTTATATATATATATATATATATATATATATATATATATATATATATATAGAGTGAAAAGTCATGACTAGTGGAGCTCAATCCTTATGAATTGTGAGATAGTAATCCATCACAGACAATGGATAAAGGGTTAAGAAAGGTCATGGATTGATTGAAGTTAGATATTAACACTGTTGGATACCGATTTAGTGGTCTAGAGGTCAGGCGTTTGCACATGAGTCAGATCTATCGTTCGAGTCCTGTATGCGGGTTCTTGGATGAACACTGCTGAGGAATCCCATACTAGGATGAAATGGCCGTCACATACTTCCAGGTTCTCAATGGTATTGTAGCTTAGATCCACTCATGAATTCAACTTTAAACATTCAATTAATCTCAGTCACTGGTCGTTACTTTCTTAAGATATATCAGATAACATTCACCCGAAGGAATAATTCTAATAACTTCTTTACAGTCATTAGACTTTTCATATGTTCATGTATGTATTATTAATGATTTTTGTTTACAAACTGTGATGTTGTTTCTTGAGTTTTCATATTCCATTAGTTTAGTCTTTCTTTTCAGGTGATCATCGACTAAGATGTATTGCTTTATTGAGTTATTTCAGTAATAAATGACGTTTTAAATAGATTGTAACTTAGAAAACGTGATGCCATCAAAAGCATTTGTTTTATCTTACAATTATCTTCCGTCTGACTTACATTAAAAGGCATATATATTTAACAAAAGTAATCATTCATTGAATGGTTATTTAAATAATTCTTGACTCTTTATTTTTTTATTAGAATAATGGTTTGTTGAGATTGCAGTGATTTTAATGGTTGAATTCATGAGTTGATGCAAGTTAGACCACCATTGAAAACATGGAAACACTGGGAAGTCGTTTCGTCCTATTATGGGACTCCACAGCAGTGCGCATCCACTATCCCGCCTCGTGAGATTGGAACCCAGGACCTACTAGTCTCGCGCCAGAGCACTAGTGGGAAGCAGTGACTAGTGGAGTTCAACCACGTCTGTTGTGAGATAATAACTTACTGAAGACAATTGGTGAACGGTTGGTTGAAGTTAGACATTAACACCGTTGGATGCCGGCTCGGTGGTCTATCGGTTAAGTGCTCGAGACTGATAGGTCCTGTGTTCGCGAGTGCGGGATCGTGGATGCGCACTGCTGAGGAGTCCTATGGTGGGACGAAACAACCGTCCAATGCTTCCAGGTTTTCCATGGTGGCCTAGCTTGAATTGGCTCATGATTTCAACTATGAAAATATTTGTTATCAAATAAATAACACTTACTTCTGTAGTTGAATGAAAACATGTAGGAAGGAAAAGATTGATAACAATGAGATAGTAATAGTAGTAGTAAAATCGTTTAAAGACAATAGTCCAAAGCATGTTTGAGAATCGGATCATGTATTACTTGAGATACAAGGTATTATTCAACTATGAATATCTTATGTTATTTGTTCGTCTATATAAGGGTATGAAATGTATGAATCAAATATACTATGGACTATTTCAATGTAAAAATGATTTGTTTATCCATGAAATTTTTATTATGTCAGATTAAATATTTATCCTAGTAACACGAACTGAATAGCAGTTGGTTAATCCAGTTACTATACATGTGAATCAATGATCAGAATGTAATCAATGTTGTATCGTCTGGATTGAATTTTGTTTATCACTAAACATTATGTTGAAATTTAATTTAATAAATGAATATAATCGAACATTTCATTGATTGTCGACAATAGAATGAAATGATAAATGCCATTTGTTACTAAGGTATATTTACAGACTTTTTGATACATTCATTTCAGTATAATCAATGCCAGCTAGAAATATAGGAGTCATAGCATACATCTATCTGATGAATGCCATTAAGTAAAGAGCTCTTTTAATTCTTTAAGTTTTAAGTGAACTTTCCTAATTAGGGCCCACAAATGGACCAGCAATTGCTTTCAGAATCTTTGAAATTAACTGATTAAAAGTTTGTTATATTTATGATATAAGAATTATTCGATGTTTATGAGCTTCATGGAAACATGTGTTCAGAATGTGAAGTTGATTTTAAAGGATTTTATGGTAATGATCAAAAAATTGTCACTGAATATTGTTGAAGTAGTATGCTCGATCATTGACTTTATGATTAAGTTTTTCCACTCATCGGATGAAGAAAAAGTATTTCTAAGTTTACGATCACACCAATTTCCTGTCAGACTAATTAATATACCATCATGAGGTATATTGAGATATTAGGTCAGTGGAATATTTGAGCTGAAACATACTGCGAGTAACTTTTGAAGTTAGAAAAGTTAAAATGTTTGAAGAACTAAAAAAACCTTCGAATTGTTTACTGACTGATAATAGAAAGAAAGGGGATCCAATAAATTTCAATTAAATTATTTCAAATGTGAAAACTGTTAGAGGTGAAGAAAAAGACAATGGATAGCCGGTATATGTGTTTCGTGCCGGAGATAAACAATTTATGATAGAATTGTGGAACAGGTGTAAAACTTTCAAACGAATGAGATTTCGTTAGATTTTTAACAACTTTCAAATTAGTTATGATGGTTTTCATGAGTACAGTAATTAAAGTGTATTATCTTTAAAGAACTAGTAGATCAAAACGACTAATAGAAAATATTCTCAAAGAAATGTTTCCAACAATCTGATCACACATTTACTTATCTAAAGCATTTAGTATGAAAAGTAAAAAATCTTCTTGAATAAAGGTTAAATAAGTGAAACATCAGAAAAACTTAGAATCGAAAATTTTTCATCATCCTTAAGATGGAAAATCGACTACTGATCACTATTTGGCTTACAACAATTAGTTTTTGAACACAACACTGAAACTTAAAAATCCTAGTGCATAGTGTTATATCCCAGTGAAGACGTAAGTACAGGTGACTTCCAGGACCTATTAATGGACTATTATTCTATATATAATCTTATGGTTTAACTATTGAGTGACTAGATTGTGTCTATCTATATTCATCTTATTATTATAAGCTTCATTTAAATCTAAAGATTACTACTATACGAATTACTGTTTCTAAATTATATTCAGTTTATTGATTATTGTCTCCTACGTTTACAGCCAAATTTGTCTTGATCTTGTACAAATATTTTTTTTAAAATTTATGGTGTGATGTGGTCTGTTTGTCTGGTATATAAACCGAGTGTGCTTGAAATAAATGATTCGCATAACAGAAGCTGTAATTGGTGTTCTGGACTCAATTGGAAGGGATAGGCGGATAAGGGACCATCATTGATTTGTCACATTGCTAATATTAGAAAAGTCGTATTTCGATTTGTGGATAGTTCATGTGATGAAAGCCGGACATAAGACCACAATAAATCGGCATACGGTCTTGTTCTTATTTTTTTAAGTTCATAACACATAGGAGCTTGGTAGGCCCAAAATTATCCCCCGAAAACATTTTATATGTAGTAACGTAAAAGACATCCTAAAGTTGATCATGGTGTAGCGTTATTATTCTGGAGTTAATTAGAACATGGTGCAATAATAACAGTTTGGTTTCGATATATAATATATATGTATAGCATTTTTCAAATCGATTTGGTTATGGTGATTTCAAGTAACTCCAGTAATATCGAATCTATAAACTCTAACACTACCACTGGCATGTTTTGATATATCGCAAATTGAAGTCAAGGTATATAGGATTACTCAAAGTTGTCCCAATGATAAAACCGGCAACGCTGAAAAATAAAATCTACATAATTCAGTAGATCAATCAAACAAGCATCCAATTTTCTTCTAAATATGATCATTTCAAAACTTTAAAATGTGGATAACACTTTATGATGTTTTTAACGGTAAAAAAATCATAAAACCAAATGGGATTGCGTGATGAAATTATCTTCTTTCTTAATAGTATCTAAAAACGCCCATTAAGAGAATATCGATCGTTCATTACGGAGTTATGAGGAAAAAACATAAACATATCTCAGAAGCACTTAGACTACTTATTTAATAAAAAGTAGTAATGACATTGAAGAGGAAGAATGTGGTGGAGATTTATGTGTATAGTATTTAACTTCATTCGTTTAACGTTATGAATAATTTCGATTTCGGTTGGCTTAAAACGATCACTAAACTGGAACTCTAAAAAAGAATTTCAGTTGTGAGCTATCTTCTAGTCAACACAAATGTTTACTACATTTTAAATAACTGAACTTCGGTTTGTACAAGACCATCAATAAGATATAACTGTATTCTCCTTTCATTATCTGTTTACAGAAGATCAGGAAATCTGCCATGACATATTGTAACGTATACATTTAAATTTTAGAAAATTTATAAGGAAAAATGTATACAATGTAGTGTTTTTCATTCTAGATTTTCCTGTTGTTCTAGGGTGAACAGAATAATGAGAGTATGATTTGATAGATTCAACTCACTGAAGACAAATGATGAACGGTTGCTCAAAATTGTGGACTGTTTGAAGTTAGACATTAACACCGTTGGATGTCGGCTCAGTGGTCTATCGGTCAAGTGCTCTGGCAAGAGACTGGTAGGTCCTGGGTTCGAATTTAACGAATGCAGGATCGTGGATGTGCACTGCTGAGTAGTCTTATAATAAGACGAAACGACTGTCCAGTGCTATCAGGTTTTCCATGGTGGTCTAGCATCAATTGACTCATGATTTCAACTATGAAAATAATAAATCCTCCACAAAACCCATTTGGATCAACTTAAATAATCCTTTTGATTTACAGAACTGAATCATTTTTTTATTTTTAAGATTTTGTTGAATAATTTTAAGCTTGTTACATACCGAATATGATTGACTCATAAGAATAATCAATTATGTAGTCTGGTTATTTGGTTACAATTTACAGGTCACAATGTGAATCTGAGGAAACGTAAACTTCAGTATTAGGCTAGGACGATGATATAACCAGAAAATTGATGTTATGATCAAAATTATGTATTTCCTATCAATAAAAAGGAGATTTAATGTTCTGATCATGATATTTTTCTAAGCTTCACGAAACCTTTAAAATAATCAGTTTGTATATAATGTATATGAATTACGTAGTTGTTTACATTATATGATTTATCAAACTTCTATCAAATTTTTGTGAATGGTTGAATAAAATACATCACGATTTCGATCTGATCATACAGTGATCATGCTTTATTGATGTAAGATAATCCATATTCGAAAATTATAGGAGAATATATCGGGGTATACTAATATTTATTCGTTCCCTTGAAAGATCAATAGGTAGATCTAACTATGTACACATTCATGTACTTAACATTGGAATACATTTCGGTGTCTGAAGGCTAGTAACTTTGCCAAACTGACAAATCGAAGTGAAGTTGTATTCGAACATATTATTATGTAATTACATGTTGTTTTTGACTAATACTTCGTTGTTCAGCGGAATATTATAAGCAGAGTAATAGGAACTGCATGTATGTATGGGGTGAGAAAGTCTTCTAGTCATCTTTTATTTACTGCATAAATGTCTATTAAGAATTCACCATCAACAGACCTAATGTTTGGGTTTATTTCAATAGTTGTCAAGCTTATAGTGATTCATGGTCAACACCATTTTCAAAAGAGATTTCTTGTGGCGCTATTGCAAAAAATAGTTTTTTTGAAGTACAAGGAGATATTTAGGAAGTTTGTCGAAGCCCTGTAGCATAATGAAAATGAAAAGAGTGAAGCTGAAACAATTCCAAGCATTTCTGCTCTATCGTTAAAACATATAATATCTTTCTAACTTCTGATCAATCCAACCTCCTCATATAGTTTCGTAAGTCACAGATAATTTGTATCCATAGAAAGTCTGGACAAAATGAATACTATAGAGTGAAGTTAGCATGAGAATATATGAGCTAATTTTTGTATTCTACTAACTAAACACTCTCAAAATTATGACTAAATTTATTTGTTAAATCATGTTACTTACGAGTAGTTAAAAATTAAATAAAAAATATGTACAATAATTTCTGTTTTAATTTTGCAAACTAACGGACAGTCGATACTAAAGAATCTATTATTTTGGTATTTTACATTTAGTCAGTAATAAAATATATACATGAAGTTAATGTCAGTCATGTCAAAGAATAAGTAGAATATGTTCCTAGTAAAGGAGGTGCATGTAACGATCAAACTGATTAAGGTATTACGTGGTTTATGCTAATGATGTCGACAGATATAAGTAGTATGTATCACCAATCGAAAGTGGAAAGCCTGGAGGTAGAAGGTTGATAAAATTGAAGAGAAGAAGACCATAACATAGAGTGATTGACATGGAAATAAAGGAATTGTGAAGGCTGAAATAATGGATGGGCATTTCGTAAATGAAGTATTTATTGTATGGTACTCAAATTTTACTAAGAGATCCTGTAACTTTGCATTCAAAATACATTTGGTTATCCCCACTGGTGTTTTCATTCACTACAAACGTATTTTGGAAAATAATCATCTGACACTAGAATTTTGTATTTAGAGTGTGATATAGATGACCGTTATCAATCAAGTATTGTTCCTATTGACAATAATGGATGTCTGATGATGATCTAATTGAAAACAATTGTTCGCTTACATATGTTGTTCTAATAATGGATGTCAATTAAAAAAATTTTGTGGTAAATTTTTCTTGCTTTATATACAGAGAAGGAATGCCGTCAATCTAGATTTGTCAAATTTAATGTTCGGTTAATATCTAATCATTTTAATGCAACTTTAACTGAGCGATTGGTTGATCATTGGTTGCTATTATATTAGTAACTGTGTTGTTATATAAATTGAAAGTTATTTGTTTTGATCTAAAATTGATTTGAGAGTATTTTAATAATAATTTCTATATGCAATGTCATTCAGCTATAGAATTATATTCCATGTTTGTTCAGTTTTCATTACTGTTAGGAGTTAATTACCATCAGTCTAGTTTGTTATTTTTTCTGGCGTGATACTATCATCCACAGCCTTTTATGGGAGAGGACAAACCAGCTTCCAGATGAAGAGGAAATTAGGAATAGACATTGGAAGTGGATCGGACATATATTGAGAAAATCACCAAACTGCAGAATGAGGCAAGCCCTAATTTGGAATCCGGAAGGGTAGCGAAAAAGAGGAAGGCCAAAAAACACATTATACCGGGAAATAGAAGCAGGTATGAAAAGGATGAACTGGAGAGAACTGGGAACAATTGTCCAGTACAGGGTTGGATAGAGATTGGTGTTGGGCGGCTTATGCTTCTTGACGAGGAGTAACAGGTGCAAGTAAAGAAGTAAGTAAGTTTTTTATTTATATCGTATCTTTTTGCTTATGTACACATCTTGCTTTTTTAGATATTCATAAGATCAGTAAGCCTAAAGCCACTAGTTTAATGAAGATATTTGGGAATGGTGACATAAAGTGAAACAAGCCACAAAATATTTAGGTAACGGCTCTTTATCTACTGCTAGTCAATAATAACATCTGACTTTATACTAATTGAATCTTGACAAACTATTCCACAAGCTAATGTTAAGATAACTCACTGTATTTCCAGTGGTCTTATCAAATAGGTTTTTAGTTTAAATGTACACAACAGATAACATAAATGCCGTTCGAACTCAAATATGATTATTTAATATGGATTGTATGATCATTGATAATGGAGATAATTTTGACGAGTAAGGATATGAATAAGTTAGAAAGTTTGACTCATCATTGGAGCTACTTATTTAATAGGTGTTTTATTTATACTCGTTACTTGGAATTACTTTCAATTACTTGTAGACAATTTCATTATGTTATAATACTAGAAGTTTAGTTATTTATTGGTACAATATGGAATTATCAGCACAATGAATTTCAACAAGTTTCCATTTCTTACTTCTTAGTCAATCCTGACAATAAATATTGATTGATCGCCAGTTAGAAGTTAGTAGTCCAGTCAGTCGATATTTAAATAATGTACATTCTTTTCGCTACATATTGCCAGCAACCTCGATATCTTTGATTGAGCCTCTGTAACTTGTACAACGAAAATTTGTACAGTTATCAGAAATGCACAAAATCAGATAACTTGTTGAACTATCTAGATGGCAGAAACAAGTAGCCCAGATGTTTAGGCAGGCCGCCAGTCATTGTTTCGTTCTTCGGTGAACTATTGTATAGATAATTTGCAATGTGAAAAAAGCTATTCAGAAGCATAAGGACCAATTTACCTGACGAGACATAGTAATCTTTGTTCAAAAAATTATAATTGTTTAATTTAGATAGAGCAATCCTAATGTTAAAGTAATTCCAATTTTTTCTAGAAAAAATCATGTTTACTCATGTGTTTCTTTGCTAAAAAGTTATTTTCAAGTTTGGTACTTCAGTTGATTACACTTTGAGAAGATTTTTCTCTCCTGTAAAATCCAAAGAAATGAAACATAATTTCAGATAACTAAATCAGACCTTTCCGACTGAATTGTTTGTAATGGAGAGGCCAAATATTTAATCTTGGTCGTTTTTATATCTAAAATATCAGTAACGTATCAATTTAAGATCCCAGTGACTGACACTTCCAAGTTTCTTGTATTTTATTTCAATTTGCATTCATTCTTTTATTAACAGATTAGTGTTTGCATAGTTGAAATCATGAGCTAATTGAAGCTAGACCACTATGAAAAACCTGGAAGCACTGGACGGTCGTTTTATCCTATTGTGGGACTCCTCAGCAGTGCACATCCATCTAATGCTTCCTATTTCTCCATGGTGATCTAGCTTCAATCGACTATTGATTTCAACTATTGAAATACTAAAATCTCCACAAAACCCCTTTTGATTAGTATTTTCAGATTTTTTTTAAGAATCTAGAACTGATGAAAATGAATATCAATTGTGTATCATGAAAATTTACTTTTTTCTATTTCATACTACTAACTATATATAATGTTACATTAAAAAGAGTTAAATTTATCTCTAAGCCTATTTTTTTTTTCAGTTCCTTATTTTTCAATAAACATTCGATCGATATGTGTAAAAACCTTCAAATTAATCAATTCACTATGAGTGATTTGATCTAAAAGTGAATACAGGTTCACGTGAAGTATATATATATATATATATATATATATATATATATGCACAATAATAAATGAAAATCAAATGATCGTTTTAATCCAATTAACAAACTCAACTATAGATCATCTTCATCTTGATGAATCTTGTTTTATGTAGGTGTTACTTTGAATGTATTATGAAGAGAGACAGAGGATTACCTTTTTTTTTTGTTTTTTTTTGTAAAATGTCTGTATAAAAATTGGAGTATTTATAAGCACAGTTATGATTAACTTTGCTACAAATTCATTTTTATTAGCACTGATATAAATCAAATATACTGATGACAGTAAATCTAAATCTAAAACATTCATAACTCTGTTTGTGTTGGATAATTTATCTTACAGTTATACTGTGTTGAAGAATGTTTTAAATCTGATATTAAACAGACAAACAAAATGGGAACATTACACAGGATTATTGGATCATAAAGTGAGTAAATAAAATGTATTTTTGATATGTATTAACAACATGAACTAGTTGTATAAGTGTCAAGAGGTTACTTTCTATTGTTAACTATTAATTTGAAATAAAACAAATAATGGTGAAATTGATTAACAATATTGAAAAGTAATCCTTTAAAATAAAATTAATTACTGACATTATCCTTATCAGAAGGATTTTTTTTGTGGAGATTTAGTATTTTCATAATTGAAAGTAGGAGTCAATTAAAGCTAGACAGCCAGGGAAAACTTGGAAGCACTGGACGGCCGCTTCGTCCTATTGTGGGACTCTTCAGAAGTGCTCATCCACGACCTCGCCTCGCGAGATTCGAACCCAGGACCTACCAGGCACGCGCTAGACCATTTAACCGATAGACCACTAACATTATTCATTATTTCAATGTATAGTGCTTACCAAACGGGCACAGATATCCTGCATCTTAAATGTAAGTCGTGAAACTCTATAAAATTTAATTATGTTATACTAATAAACAATGTTACTTCCTAATATATATTAACTTTATTCTAAAGTGAATGGGATTATATACTGAATTCTAAATAAATCTGAACAAATTATCAGTGTATTTGAGTAACTTATAAGAGGGTGTTATAGTTTATTTGCCCATACGAAAAGTTAATTAAGTTCTTTAATGAAAGTAAATTTTATCATCTTAAACATTGTAAACAGGGTTTATGTTATTTCAGATCCAAAAGTAAAATAAAAAGCTTTATACTTGTGTAGATATTCAATCTCCGTATGGAATGAAAACTAAATCTAATGATTTGAACTATTGAACTATGAAAGATGGGTAACTGTACTGATATCCTTTTTAAATGACTATATATATTTATTTTTTGATACATTCGACTGTTGGAAACTTGTAAAGATTATAAATAGCAATAATAAAATAACATACTTGGTTGACTAGCAGTTCTACTGGATAGGTTTTTTAGCGAGTTTGGTTTTCTGCGGGATGGGGTCAATAACCCCATGCCCAACCCTCCTCCTTTACCCGGGCTTGGGACCGGCAGTAGCCCCCGGAGTAGCTACAGGCGGAGTTGGTAGTTTCTAACTCTAATATTACTATTTATTCGAAATGTCAATGTAAAATAAGCTAGTAATTATGTAAACCGAAATACATAGATAATCCATTTGTTTTAAGAAAATTTATCTCCATTATTAGTCATAAGAAAAACTAAACATTAAAAGTTTTTCAATATTTTCAACAGGCAGTTTATTTGTCAGTCTGAAAATCAAAAAACAATTACTGTATCAAATTCACTTGATATTGTTTGTTTGAATCTTACAATTGATGTTTAAGACTGCAATTGATCAGTCTCTTATTGTCATATATGCATACTGTGTGTATTCCATCTATATAGCCTTAATTCACAAGTATTATAAACAAAGACGGATAGTGGCTAGCAGTGGAATCCAAGACGCGCGCCACTTCGTCCTATTTGGGACTCGTCAGTTGGATGCATTTGTATCTCAGTGTTGATGTTCACTCTGGGATTGACAAGTACCCAATACCTTTCGCTTCAAACTCTATTGCGTTATCCACTCAGCTACTGAGTCCTGATGCAATACGAGGCCGACCCGTGGATGGGGTTGAGCAAGCTCACGGCACCCGTCCAGAAGTGAAAAATACAGGTAATTTCATTGGTCTCAGTTTAGAGACCGTTGCAAAAATTACACTGTAAAGAACAGATATTACACATCATCTTAGCTCAGAGAGCCGAGAAGCCGTAGAAAATCAACTCGCTAAAAAAACGTTAACCAGAAAAAATCATTCAAACCTTTTAAACACTGCCCTGGGAGTAGAAGGAATAATTGTGACTTCTCATGATGAAAGCCGAGTTCCTTCGGAAGTCATGAGGCCGATGCACCTTCTTACAACCAGAGCGACAATTTTTATAGGTACATGGAATTTTCGAACAATGTGGAAGACCGGAAGAGTCTTCCAAATCGCTGCAGAGATGAGAAAATACAACCTGGAGGTGCTTAGAATCAGCGAAACACATTGGAAGCAGGTTGGACAACAACGACTGTCTTCAGGAGAACTTCTGTTATACTCCGGTCATGAAGAATAAAATGCCCCACATACACAAGGAGTTGCATGCACAAAATGCACTTATTGGATGGGAATCTCATGAACTAAGGATCATCAAAGCCTCCTTCAAAACAAAGAGAGAGGGCATTACAATGAACGTCATCCAATGCTATGCGCCTACCAACGACTACGATGAAGACGCTAAAGACCAATTCTACGACAGGTTGCAGTCGATCTTCGAGAAGTGCCCAACCAAGGACCTGACCATTCGGATGGGAGATTTCAATGTCACGGTTGGAATGGACAACACTGGATACGAAGACGTCATGGGACGACATGGACTGGGAAAAAAGGAACAAAGTTGGTGACAGATTTGCAAACCTATGTGCCTTCAATAAACTGGTCACAGGTGGCACCATATTCCCACACAAAAACATACACAAAGCCACTTGGATTTCACCGGATCACACTACACAAAATCAAATCGACCATATCTGCATCAACAAAAAGTTCAGGAGAACGATGGAGGATGTGAGAACCAGAAGAGGAGCTGATATAGCATCCGATCATCATTTGCTGGTCGCCAAGATGAAACTAAAACTCAAGAAGCACTGGACAACGGGGCGGACAACATCACAAAAGTGTAATACGGCCCTTCTTCTAGATGCTGACAAACTCAACAAATTCAACATAGCCCTCAGCAACAGGTTCCAGGCCTTTCATCATCTACTCAATGGAGAGGGAACTACCATGGAGAGCAACTGGAAAGGTATCAAGGAGGCAATTGTCTCAACATGTCAGGAGGTTCTGAGCCAAAAGAAGCACCCTCACAAGAAATGGATCACTGTTGGTACACTGGATAAAATTGAAAAAAGGAGGAACAGGAAGTCAACAATCAATGTCAACCGAACCAGAGCGGAAAAAGCCAAGGCACAAGCCGAATACACAGAGGGAAACAAGCAAGTGAAGAGGAGCATCAGAACCGACAAACGTAAATATGTGGAAGATTTAGCGATGACAGCAGAAAAGGCTGCAAGAGAGGGAAACATGAGACAACTGTATCATTTAACAAAGAAGCTCGCTGGAAATTACCGTAAGCCAGAAAGATCAGTGAAAAGCAAGGAAGGCAAAGTAATCACCGACACTGAAGAACAACGAAACAGGTGGGTAGAAGACTTCAAAGAACTCTTGAATCAACCAGCTCCACTGAACCCACCCAACGTCGAAGCAGCACCCACAGACCTCCCAATCGATGTTGGCCCACCAACAATTGAAGAGATCAGCGTGACCAAGTGGCAAGTCAAGAGTGGCAAAACAGCGGGACCAGACAACATCCCGGCAGAGGCACTGAAAGCAAATGTAGCAGCAACTGCCAAGATACTCCACATCCTCTTCAGTAAGATTTGGGATGAAGAACAAGTATAAATAGACTGGAAATAAAGACTTCTGATCAAGATACCAAAGAAAGGAGATCTCAGCAAGTGCGACAACTACAAGAGCATCACTCTTCTCTCAATACCAGGAAAAGTCTTCAACCGAGTATTGTTAAACAAGATGAAGGATTCCGTAGGCGCCCAACTTCGAGATCAACAAGCTGGATTTCGTAAGGATAGATCGTGCACAGATCAAATCGCAACTCTGCGGATCATTGTGGAACAATCAATCGAATGGAACTCATCACTCTACATCAACTCCATCGACTACGAGAAAGCATTTGATAGCGTGGACATGACGACACTATGGAGGCTTCTTCGACACTACAGCATGCCTGAGAAGATAGTCAATATCATACGGAACTCCTATAATGGACTAAACTGCCAAATTGTCCACGGAGGGCAACTCACCGACTCGTTTCAAGTAAAGACCGGTGTTAGGCAAGGTTGCTTACTCTCACCCTTTCTCTTTCTCCTGGTGATCGACTGGATCATGAAGACGTCAACATCTGGAGGAAATCACGGGATACAGTGGACAGGCAGGATGCAGCTGGACGATTTAGACTTGGCGGATGATCTGGCTCTTCTATCACAAACGCAACAACAAATGCAGGAGAAAACAACCAGTGTAGCAGCAGCCTCAGCAACAGTAAATCTCAATATAAACAAAGAGAAAAGCAAGACACTTCGATACAATACAATATGCATCAATCAAATTACACTTGATGGAGAAGCTTTGGAAGATGTGGAAACCTTTACATATCTGAGCAGCATCATTGATGAACACGGTGGATTAGATGCAGATGTGGGGGCGAGGATCGGCAAAGCAAGAGCAGCATACTTACAACTGAAAAACATCTGGAACTCAAAACAATTGTCAACCAACACCAAGGTTAGAATTTTCAATACAAATGTCAAGACAGTTCTACTGTATGGGGCGGGGACGTGGAGAACTACGAAAGCCATTATCCAGAAGATACAAGTGTTTATTAACGGTTGTCTACGCAAATCACTTCGGATCCGATGGCCAGACACTATCAGCAACAAGTTACTGTGGGAGACAACAAACCAGATTCCAGCAGAGGAATAAATCGGGAAGAAGCGCTGGAAGTGGATTGGACACACCTTGAGGAAAGCATCCAATCGCATCACAAGACAAGCCCTCACATGGAATCCTGAAGGTCAAAGGAGAAGAGGAAGACCAAAGAACACATTACGCCGAGAAATAGAGACAGACATGAGAAGAATGAACAAAAACTGGATAGAACTAGAAAAGAAGGCCCAGGACAGAGTGGGTTGGAGAATGCTGGTCGGCGGCCTATGCTCTATTGGGAGTAACAGGCCTAAGTAAGTAAGTAATTACTGAGTCCTGATAGCCACTTGCTTGTGCAAAGGGGTGAAGTTTAAGTTCATTTAGTGTTGTTTACTTGTATCTTCCCATTGATGTTTAGGACTGCAATTGACCAATCTTTGCTATATCATTACTATATCAGTATATAAAATCCATAAAAATTTTAATTTTAATTTCAGTTACAATTTAGGACATTTTAATGTTTTAAAATTGATTTAGAGGTCAGAAATGAATGTTTGATATATAGTTAATTGATAAAATAACAACCAATTCATAACGAGAATGATAGTATCATCATAATATCATGAATTAATGATAACTTGAAAGGATATAGGAATCGATTATAACCCAGTGATTATTTTGAAAAAAATTCATTATTGTTTTTATCATCTATCATACCATTTATAATTATCAAATGTATGTATTGTAGTCAATAATAAGATCCATTATTGTTTTTTTAATTTACCTTTTAGGGTCACCTATTTTGTTGATACAGTTTCGTTTTTTTAAACTGAATTATTCAAAAAAAAAATTATTTGGCTAAAAAAAATTAAAGTACTTGTTTTCATTTAAATAACCTTAATAATTGCTATTAGGATGAAACGAGCTTCCTGGATTCCACTACTAGTCACTATCCATCTTTGTTTACAATGCTTGTGAATTAAGGCAATATCGAGGCAATACGCACAGTATGCATATATGCCAATAAGAGACTGATCAATTGCAGTCTTAAATATCAATTGGAAGATTCAAATAAACAATACAAAGTGAATTCAAACTTCACTCCATCGCACAAGCAAGTGACTATCAGGACTCAGTAGCTGAGTGGATAATGCGATCGCGTTTGAAGCAAACGATACTGGGTTCGAGTTTCAGAGTGAACATCAACACTGAGATACAGGTACATCCAGATGAAGAGTCCGAAATAGGGTGAAACACGCACTCTGCATTCCACTGCTAGCCACTATCCATCTTTGCTTTTAATTGATATTAGGTTTATTTGAATACTGTCCATTGAACCTTGACGAAACTTTTAAAATTTTATATTCTACTTCAATAATTTAAATTACAATACAAGTAACATGTTTGGTCTCATTTGGGATACTTCATCTAGATATACATTTATCTCAAAATTAATGTTAACTTTGAATCTGAAACCTTGTATCTTTCACTTAAAAAACTGAGTTACTGAGTTTTGATACATACTAGCTTATGAAATGGGTATGAACTTGGTTTTAATTTCATTTATAATACTTTAAAATCTAACCGTTGGTGATTTAGACCACAATTGATCAGTCTCATTTAGCATACTTGTGACAGTATCGACTTAATTCTCTCATGGACTGGTCATGTACAGCTTATAACATCAACGGGCAGATGAAATGAATTACAAATCCAATAAAAATTAATCGGTATTGATAACTAAAAATGGAGAATACGTTTTAAAATACTTATATTAATAAAAATCAAGTGTCTTGATTTACAGAACAATACTGACTTATAATAATTATAACATATTGGTCATATCACCTACACTACGCAAATGCAAGGAATAGATGTTATTTGAGATAATTGCAAAGTGAATGTATATAAAATAGCTCGTAATAGTGTTCTCAGCATTAGAATTGATTAGTGATACTTTGTACTAATACTGGATTATTAAAGATTTCGATCTTCCTTATGTGATTTTCTGCTCACTTACAGAACAACTATTCCAATTTTACTAATATGAAATCGAATCGATTCCTAAAGCTTATGATCAGAAAACAGATCATTCTAAATCTTGAGTTAAATGGTTTATGTAAGATGATATATCGTTAGTGAAACTTGATAAATACTTCATTTTCATGTATATTTTTAAGTAGAAGCTGTCCCGATTAGCGTCATGTCAAAATTACAGAGGATGCTTAACTTACGATTCATCAAAAATAAACGTTTCATTAAATCGACAACAGTAGTTAACATGTGAAATAGTAAACATATTGTCATTTTGGAAATAAATTTTCATAAACAAACGTCTATATGATAAGTTAATTCATCAACTGTTTAGAAGATCATTAAAAGACAGGAAACCTCAGATAGTCATATAGTTCTCAACAATGCTTATTCCCGAATCTATCAAGGACTGAACCCAGGACGTTTGAATCTCTCTGCGAGTGACCAAACTTTGGACCAGTGATCTAACACACAATAGTTTACATGCCTTACCTTATGCAATTCGCTATAGCGATTGTACCACCTTTTTTTATTGTCATTGGGTGTTAACTGTTTCACTCTTGACACGATTATACAACTTTGATTAGTCTGTAACGTAAACCGTGAAATTTAACCATCTTTATAAACCTTCGAAATTGTTGTCTACTTAATACAAAAATAAACGGAATTCAGTTACAGTCATTACATTTGGATTTGCGATCACATGTTACAGATATTATTGTTGTTTCAGAAATGTGACAGCTTCCTCTGGCTTTATGAATGCAATAAGCCCTCCTAATTGAACTTTAAGATCAATGTCATGGCTTTGTCATTAAATTTTTTCATCAGGAAACTAAACGCGTTATGAATGCTCACGGGTCCTGTATATCATCCATATTTCGCATTATTAGCAACTTTGTCCAAAATATTCAGTTCGAAGTACTCTGGGACTAATCTCTCATTGGAAAGTGTATGCTTATTTAGATATCATTATGTATTAACCGGTATCCACATGGCTCAGTGCTGTAAACTAATTTTCATTCTGTAGTTATTTTTAGAATATATTATTACTGTTATTACGACAGATGAGTTTTAATATATTAACACCAACACGTTTGCGTGAGTATTGGCAGCTGGTTTGCATGAAACACTTCAAATGCTAACATCATCAAAGAATAACCCAATTTGTACAGGATTTTGCCTCTTAATAACTATATCGAAAGCATTGCATCAGCATAACGCAGTGTAATAACATAAATATCTCTACTAGGAACTATCATGTGAACAGAAATTAAAGTACTGTCATTCAGATACTGTTTTACAAATTTGTTGAAGGAATATTGTAAACAGTTACTGATTAATGGTAACAGATATGTTTGAGTTAATTGTAGTAGTAGCTCTTCATTCTAGTGGTAGAGACTCTTAAGCAGAGAGAACTCCAGTGAGTATAGTGACAACCATGAAGAAACGATAACTCCGCCTGTAGCTCTTCTAGAGTTACTGCCGGTCCCAAGGCCGGGTAAAGGAGGAGGGTTGGGCATAGGGTTAGCGACTCCATCCCGTAGAAAAGCTAACTCGCTAAAAAAGCGCTAACCAGAAAAAACCATTCAAACCATTTAAACTCTGCCCTGGGAGTTGAAGGAATAATTACGGATCATCGTTGAACAATCAATTGAGTGGAACTCATCATTACACGTCAACTTCGTTGACTATGAGAAGGCGTTTGACAGTGTGGACCGGAAAACATTATAGAAACTTCTTCAACACTATGGAGTTCGTGAGAAGATTGTCAACATTATACAGAACTTATACGATGGACTGAAGTGCAAAGTCATGCATGGAGGACAGCTGACAGATGCATTTCCAGTAAGAACTGGAGTCAGACAAGGCTGTCTACTCTCCCCATTCCTCTTCCTTCTAGTGATTGACTGGATTATGAAGAATTTGACATCTGAAGGGAAATACGGAATACAATGGACAGCTCAGAATCAATTAGATGATTTGGACTTCGCAGATGACCTAGCCCTCCTCTCCCATACACACGAAGAAATGCAGATGAAGACAGCAAATGTAGCAGCAGCCTCCGCATCGATAGGCCTCTACATTCACAAAGGAAAAAGCAAGATTCTCAAATGGAACACAGAGAACACCAATCCAATCCCACTTGATGGCGAAAGTCTGGAAGATGTGGAAACATTCAAGTACCTGGGGAGCATCGTTGATAAACAAGGAGGACCGGATGCAGATGTAAATGCGGGGATCGGCAAAACAAGGGCAGCATTTTTACAACTGAAGAACATATGAAACTCAAAACAATTATCAACCAATTTCAAGGTCAGAATCTTTAATACGAACGTCAAAACAGTCCTACTTTATGGAGCTGAAACGTGGAGAACTATTTCGACCATCATCAAGAAGGTACAAGTATTTATAAATAGTTGTCTACGAAAAAAAATTGAACATCCATTGGCCGGATACTATCAGCAACAGTTTTATGGAAGAGGACAAATCAGCTTTCAGCTGAAGAGGAAATTAGGAAAAGACGTTGGAAGTGGATTGGACATACATTAAGGAAATCACTAATGTGCATCACTATTCAATCGCTAACTTGGAATCCGGAAGGGAAGCGTAAAAGAGGAAGGTCAAAGAACACACTACGCCGGGAAATAGAAGCAGATATGAAAAGGATGAATAGCAACTGGAAAGAACTGGAAAGGAAGAATCAGGACAGAGTTGGATGGAGAATGCTGGTGAGCGGCCTATGCTCCTCGACGAGGGGTAACAGGCGTAAGTAAGTAAGTAATGAAGAAACGATATACTTTACGACTTTTGTATTCAGCAAATAATAATTTAAATTGTGAAATTCTTACTAAATTCATCATTGTATGAATTCATATTTCCATTTATTAAAATTTAAAATATCAACTCTTTGAGTCTGCTTATAAATTGATTCATTAAACAAAACATATCCAGTTAAACAAACAGTCTACAAATAAAGACCAATGTATGACCTTTAACCCAAGGTCACCAACATGCATATTTAAAACAAAAATCACACTTCATTTGTTTGATACACAGTCTAATCATCACATGTATAAATCATAATAGAATAAATGAATTTTTGTTTATTATAATTATGTTATTTGTAACGAATATGATAACTTATTGTTACTAATATGATTCAATATTTATTGTTACTGGCGAATTCAATATAACATAAAGTTAGTAGCGACTGTAATTGTTTTCGCCAATTTTAAATCAATTCATTGTTAACATTAGTAATCAATCAAATTAGATACAATCGTTCTCTGTCTCTCTCTCTATACATATTTGTATATATGTAAATACATATACATAGTCATACACATACACATAGGAGATAGTACATTAGCATATGTAATTAGACTAACGAACTTTTATTCACCTAGTACCGTTTATTTATTTTTAGAGTTTATAATCAAAATAGTTATATAAATACATAATTTTATTTTCAAAACATTGAAATCATTCATTAGCATATTGATATATCTATCCCTCTCTCTATAAATATAATGAAACATTTGAAAGTTTCAATTTATTCAATTCATTCATTTATTTAGACAAATTAATGAAATGAATTTATTAAATTTAATTGATTATTAATAATAATAATAATAAAATTGATCCGGATCAAAATGATTAAAAAGTTTTCTTGATTAAAAAAAAAAAGGAAAAGAAAAAAAAAAGGAGGAAACATTTTTGTTTTTGTGATCTCTATTTGATCTAAATTTAGATTAGAATTTTTATATGATGATTCAATAATGAAAATGATATCAAGTTATTGTTTAATCATATTACTTAATAAATTGTATTACATTGGAATTTTATTGAATCAAGTTTATTCAAATAATCAGGTAAGTTTATGATTACATAATAATAATAATAATAATTGATATTAGTTTCTTTTCATGAATAACGTTAATGATAAGTTGTTGAGTGGTGAAAATTTACGTTGATTTTAAGGATTCATAGATGTTTTCTTATATTTAAAGTAATTCATGAAGAAGTTGAGAATTGTCAAATGAATATAATCGGATTCTATTATTGTTGTTTCTAATGTCAATGTAATCCAGTTGACGTGATTTAAATAAGATAGAAATATAAACTATGGATATAATTGCAAACCACTATTAAAAGTGTATAACCACAATGTTTACTAGAGTATCTACTTGGATAACAATTATATTAAGTCTGAATAATTAAATTTTAGGACTAGAAGACAGGAAGATTGTTAGGACTGTAATTTAGGACAATTTGTAGTGGTTAAGCTTCGAGTAATTTCTTAGGCTCCCGACAGTTGCTGTTATTACGTGTGCCTGAACACCGATTATCATGACACGCTATACTGACTAGTATTAACGATAGTTGAAAGACAGTTAGGAGTGGCCAAACCAAAACATGGCATCAGTGCTTGAAGTCACTAACTTCTTGTCTGAGCCATGTTGACAGATGCAGACTACTTGGTCGGCGTCCTCGTGACTATCGTAACCAATGTTTGGAAACTTTAGTGACATGGCATACAATATTTGTCTTCCCTTAAACTATGAGATTATAATAGTTTCATGTTTGTCATTCATCCTGTACTATATCCTTATATACAAGCTTTCTTTTATATATTACCACCACCAAATTAACTACTTCCATGAATTCGATGTTCATCTTGTTGTGTTAATGAGGTATGTCAACTTGGACCGATTCATATATGTGCGTGGTCTTACCTTGTAACTGACTGACTGAATTCTTTAAGCTTCGTTAATCAATCACTCTGATAAGCGTTATTAAGTAAATCCCAATGATGTAGAAATTCAGAAGGCAATATGGAGCGCAAACTACAATTTATTTCTGGATAGCGCAGATAACAAATTTGAGAGAACATCAAGTGAACTCGAGTAAAAAGGCTAATGTGCGCGAGAAAGCCAATACAAAGGCGGTTTCAGAGTCGAACCAAATCGAATCGAAGCGAAGCCATTAATAAGATTCAAGCATATATATTACGTTTAGGCCAGAGAGAGAAATGTGCGTATCAAGCATACCCGTTCATATACTCATGATAGTAATAATAATAATAGAAAGAAATAGATTAATTGTTACTGTTCAACTAACATTGTCCGTTAAGTTAATTAAAGGGCTTGATAAAATTAGCTGTAAACAAACTTAATTGTAGGTGAGGCACTATAACTTTTTTTTTAAACATTTATATTCAATTCATTAAAAGCCTTCTTTATGAAGTGAAATAGATGGATAAACAAAAGTTGTTGAATAGTTATGTATACTAATTGACAATCACATCATTAAACTTGATTAATCTCTATCTTTATTAAGATGGTTTCGTTTAGTATATATTCGACTTCACCTTACAAGTAAGAATATAGTAACGGATTAAACCGAATTGTTTATCTTAGTATATAAGATATTCATCAATGTTCATCAATACACATTCAACGTTCTTTCAATGAATCAACTTAACAAGTTTTGTTTATTTTAAACCACTTAATACTTTAAAAATTATGTAATCATCAACCTGCAAATTACCATAAAAGCTTAAATTCATTCATAGAGATAACTTTAAATTCAAAGTTATCTCTATGAATGAGTTTCTATAGTAGTGATCAATAAATAAAGGTAACTAAAACTGTAATATATGCATATCAGATACTTGTAAGACGTGTTTTTTTTTAAAAAAAGAATAATATTTGGCGTATTTACAATCTTATATTATTTTAGCCTACATCGTAATGATTATAATGAGAGACTGGAAGGTTCTGGGTTCGAATCTTGCGAGGCGGGTTCGTGTGTGCGCACTGCTGAGGAGTCCCACAATGGGACGAAACAGCTGTCCAGTACTTCCAGGTTTTCCATGGTGGTCTAGCTTCCATTGACTCATGATTTCAACTATGAAAATAAATGATAATGGTTTAAAAAGATTGTGAAAACTTCAAATGTTTTTATTATGTTCTATTTATTGTTAGTGTTCCCTATATTTAAAAGGAGTTACCTTTGAATGAGGATGAAGACATATAAGCTTTTTTATTTCCAAAACAAAGTTTTCTATCATTAGAAATCTGAAAAATAACCTAATAAGAAATCGATTTCGGTGAAACTTCAATTCATGGACGAACTAATCACATTAAAGATAGCAGATCTTACATTTTGGCGCTAAATTTATTCACTCCTAACCCTATCAGTCAACTGTAAATTATATTCTTAATCTCTCACACGAATAATATAACCTACATTTAACCGTGGTATGTAAGTGAATATTCCAAGGTCATTCTAGCGTTATTCACAGGATCGTTCATAGATTATAGTCTTATCAAAATTTCAATTCACAAACAAAGGTATATATATATATATATGCTATGGAGCAACGTTATGACATGCAGTCCCATGGTAACCGGTGACCAATAATAGGTACATACGCCATATGAATAACTATTGTTCATTTCTACTCTCAATTGCTTTATTAACGTTTTTGAGTAGGAAGAGTATCTTTACTTCAAAAGTTTTATTTTACCGATTTCTCTGATGTATTACCTAGTTATAAACTAGCAATGTATTAACCTGTTGTCCATCATTCCACATGACAAAACACTTACATATATCTTAATATGAGCAACAAATTATTTGCATATCCCTAGATTGTTTCTTTTTTGAAAATGCAAAGACTAATGAAATCTTATTAAGTCTAAAACTGCTTTTGTTTTATTTTTTGTGTGCTTAATTATAATACAATGGCATGCAAATAAACATTTTATTTTTCATGACATGTCAATGCATAAAATAATGTATAGATTTATATTTGTTAAATGTTTTGTGATAAGTAGTATTAGTAGTAGTTATTAAATCACTTTATCTAGCCATTTGAATCAATCATGTATAGTGTTAATAGTTGAATATCATTACCAATTTATCAGAAATTAACGTGAACAGCTTTAGTTTGTGCTATTAGACAGTTTATTTATTTACTTAAAAAAAAACTTTGGTACAATTAAGCACCAAATATATATACGCCACACTTTTCCATTTGATATGTCTGGGGGCTGAAATAGTGCCTGGATGTCCGAACCGAGGCAGATGGTTTTCTTAGGGAGTCACACCACGACTATTTGATATAAATTTATAATCCTCAAGGCCATGGAGCGACGTTAGGAGATGTAGTCTCATGGTAGCCGATGACCGGCGATAGGTTTATACGTCATTTGTTCCCTCAGGATCCTGGAGATCATCTGCACCACTGGTTCGAAATCAGAATTCTCCAACTTCTTGAGGTGGATCCTCCATATCCACCAACCCGGTTTAAGTGCCGGACACTCCGTTCAGGCTCTTAATTTCGTAAACAACACCCGTGGTGCAAGAATGCAGTGAGTACGACTACCATGGCGGTAGCTGTATATGCGTGGCCATTTGAGAGCATTCAGAGAAGGAGAGCTGACCCTCACCATCCTCGACCGTACCAGAGCATTAAGGGGTGTTAACCCATGAAGATTCTTTTTTGACATATTCACTTAAATTAGAGTTACACATAGAAATAAAGAATATAACATATTAGTAGAAGATAAATGATAAATATATGACAAATCAATAAGTTTAAAAATGGGTAGATTTACTTTATCCATTTCGAACGCCAAAAAAACCAAGAAATGTTGGTAAGTTGAAATAAGTAAATGCTCAAAAACCTGACATCTGACGTGCACGATTAGTTGTTTCTGATGTATTAAAAATACATTGATACCATTGAGAAATGAAGAAACTCAAAGACAACACTTATTCAACCATGAACAATTTTTAAAAAGAAACATTGTATTATTTAATTGTACTTACTATTCTGAGTTGCTTTCCAAATATTTGATTGACTTCCACGTAACACCTATCTAAGTCATTTTGTATGGATAATTCATAAATATAAAAGCTCACTTTTGCGCTGTATAATGCTATTGTGAGATTTGAAAACATTTTCAATCATGATTTAGAATTAGATCAAGATCTATTGAAAATCAAATCAAATCAAACAGAATTACTGTTTGACTTCTCATAGGAATTCCTTAGTGGTTCACCTGTTTTCTTATTTGTCACTAAATAACATAGTCAATCAATTTCATTTAAAAAGAGAAATTCTCATTATTGAGACGCTGTTCGATAAACGTGATTGTAAGAAATGTATATTCTTGAGATGAAATCGACCTAAAGATGTCAAATAGGTTTTTAAATATAAGGATTTTCAGGTCGCTATAGCATATTTAGTATCCTAGTTGTATACTCATGTTTCTGCACAAAATTTTGTATTGCTTCTTTATATCTGTAAGTTACTTTTTGCAAATGAGATAATGGTAACTGTAACTTTTACTGGTACAAGTTTACTGGTAATATGAATAATAGATCATTGAAGGTCAGAGGTGATTTTTAATATGAGAAAGAACACCTCAATAAAATTTACCAATGTTGAATATTGTATTCTGTATTAAGTAGAACATTTTAGCCCCATAAAACTGTAAGAACCGCTACTTTTTTACTATTTTTTGAGTCTACATAACAATTGCTATGAAGTTTTTATGCGCTACTAAGCTTTTGATTTTCATGAGTATCAAATAAACGGTTGTTCAGTGACCAGATCCCGAACTAACAGCGCTCAATAAGTTTTTATTTCATCTAGTTATTAATAATCCATATACCATAATTTATTTCTAACACTTGTTTATGGATGTAAAATGTTTGAAAACCATCTATTCCGTTCTCTGAAACTCAAGAATTACTATTCTGGTAAGTGCTTTTCCAAAATGAACTTTCTTAATCATCCTATTAGTACTTATGACAATACAGCTTATATTAGAGCTGCAAAAGTTTATTATCAAATTAA